TAGTAGTGATTCTAATGTAAATTTACCGTTTTTTTAATGTGCGAATTCTTTAAGTGATATAATATCACTAAAGTAATTTTTTTGATATTTTGTCTACTCTTTTTATTGAGAAAGCTGTTAGACCAGACAAAATTAATCATCGGATGCTGAAAGCTACAACAGAGCACTATCATTTCCTTTATCCTGGTTATTTAATCTTTCCGTCTTTTTATTTTTATAAAACCAGCCTGGGCTTCTCCCAGGTCATTTGACAGTGTATCAGCTGATCGGACGTTTTCATTATGTTGCTTCTGCAATTGACAAGAAAGAAAAATTGTTGTGTTTTGTGACCATTTAAAGGCGTTTGACAAAGTTTGGTCAAATAAGTGCTATTCAAACTTTTCAGTATGGTATTGAGGGAAACCTACTGTCATGACTATCCAATTCTCTGGCTATCTTTCAATGTTACTGCCTGTAACACGACAGTCTGATATGTTACTACATGTACCACGTCAATCTGATATGTTACTACATGTAACACGCGAGTCTAATCTGTTACTACATGTACCTAGCCAGTCTGATCTGTTACTACATGTACCTGGTCAGTATTACCTGTTACTACCTGTAACACGCAAGTATAACCTGTTACTACATGTACCTCCCCAGTATAACCTGATACTACATATACCTCGCCACTATAACCTGATACTACATGTACCTCGCCAGTATAACCTGTTACTACATGTACCACGCCAGTATAACCTGTTACTACATGTACCACGCCAGTATAACCTGTTACTACATGTACCACGCCAGTATAACCTGTTACTACATGTACCACGACAGTATAACCTGTTACTACATGTACCACGCCAGTATAACCTATTACTACATGTACCTTGGCAGTATAACCTGATACTACTTGTACCTAGCCACTATAACCTGATACTACATGTACCTCGCCAGTATAACCTGTTACTACATGTACCTCGCCAGTATAACCTGTTACTACATGTACCACGCCAGTATAACCTGTTACAACATGTACCACGCCAGTATAACCTGATACTACATGTACCTAGCCACAATAACCTGCTACTACATGTACCACGCCAGTATAACCTGTTACTACATGTACCACGCCAGTATAACCTGTTACAACATGTACCACGCCAGTATAACTTGTTACTACATGTACCACGCCAGTATAACCTGTTACAACATGTACCACGCCAGTATAACCTGATACTACATGTACCACGCCAGTATAACCTGCTACTACATGTACCTCGCCAGTATAACCTGCTACTACATGTACCACGCCAGTATAACCTGTTACAACATGTACCACGCCAGTATAACCTGATACTACATGTACCTCGCCAGTATAACCTGATACTACATGTACCTCGCCAGTATAACCTGATACTATATGTACCTAGCCACTATAACCTGATACTACATGTACCTAGCCTCCATAACCTGTTATAACATGTACCACGCCAGTATAACCTGATACTACATGTACCACGCCAGTATAACCTGATACTACATATGCCTCGCCACTATAACCTGATACTACATGTACCTAGCCACTATAACCTGATACTACATGTACCTCGCCAGTATAACCTGATAGTACATGTACCTCGCCAGTATAACCTGTAACTACATGTACCACGCCAGTATAACCTGATACTACATATGCCTCGCCACTATAACCTGATACTACATGTACCTAGCCACTATAACCTGATACTACATGTACCTCGCCAGTATAACCTGATACTACATGTACCACGCCAGTATAACTTGATACTACATGTACCACGCCAGTATAACCTGATACTACATGTACCTAGCCACTATAACCTGATACTACATGTACCACGCCAGTATAACCTGTTACTACATGTACCTCGCCAGTATAACCTGATAGTACATGTACCTCGCCAGTATAACCTGTTACTACATGTACCTCGCCAGTATAACCTGATAGTACATGTACCTCGCCAGTATAACCTGTAACTACATGTACCACGCCAGTATAACCTGTTACTACATGTACCACGCCAGTATAACCTGTTACTACATGTACCACACCAGTATAACCTGTTACAACATGTACCACGCCAGTATAACATGATACTACATGTACTTAGCCACTATAACTTGCTACTACATGTACCTCGCCAGTATAACCTGATACTACATGTACCTCGCCAGTACAACTTGATACTACATGTACCTCGCCAGTATAACCTGTTACTACATGTACCTCGCCAGTATAACCTGTTACTACATGTACCACGCCAGTATAACCTGATACTACATGTACCACGCCAGTATAACCTGATACTACATGTACCATGCCAGTATAACCTGCTACTACATGTACCTCGCTAGCTTGATCTGTTACTATCTGGGTGGTAACGGACCTAGCCGTCCAGGGTTCGATTCAAATAATGGACGTGAAAAGGTGTGGTATCACCTGCCCGATAACGTGCCGCGCTTTCCTCCGGCCAATAAGATTGATTTATAATAGCTTAAAGTTTTTTTTTCGCAATTGGTGTAATATAAATAAATGTATAACCTGTGTCTACTTGTAACATCCCAATATAACCTGTAGCTGGTGGCATAGGACAGGGAAACAGTGCTCGTCGACAATAAATTTTCATGTGTCGGTACTTGACATTGCAATATTTACGATTTGTCAAATGTTGCCGTGAGAAAACAAACAAACCCTTCTGTAGAAAGGAAATGACAGATTTACTGAGATAATACTCAAGGCCATTTCATCAACTAAATAAAGTCAGTCGAAATGGTTAGCTCTAACAGGAAAACAGGCTGTAATGTCCCCGAGTATATTCTTATAAACCAACAACACCCGCTGTTCCCTCACTTAACCACCACAGAAAAAAGTTGTAGAGTAACAACAACACTCGCACTTCTCACACCTAACCACTACAGAAAAAAGTTGTAGAGTAACAACAACACCCGCACTTCTCACACCTAACCACTACAGAAAAAAGTTGTAGAGTAACAACAACACCCGCTGTTCTCACTCCTAAACGCATACCTTGTTAACATGTAACATCTTAAATCTTGTTAGCATATGACATCACCTACCTTGTTAACATGTGACATCAAAACTTTTGTAACAAAGTTTGTACTTAAAAATATCAGTGACTACACTGATAATACCGCGTCCATCATAGAAGCCTCGGGAACAAAACTTCAGAAATAACCGATAACCCATCTCCCCTTTCCTTCAGTTTCAGACACGATAACCAAAACTGGCAAAACTCCATCAACGGAAGCCAACAAGATGTACACTTAATGAAAGTATTTACGGAGGAGGGGCTACATATGAGTAAAAAGAAAAGAGAACTGACCGCATTCCAGGTTATACAGACCAATTTATCAACTTGGCATAGAAAACTTCAAAGATCAACAATGACAGTCCAGTAAGTCCAGAATAACCTTTACTAGAACGTCAATTGCTCCGACAAATGTTTGGCTACTTGCAGTGATAAATTGTAAGATATCAAGTTGTCAATGTGATCGCCAACTTGATACAGCGGTCCATGACAGGGATTCAATCAATTAGATCAGCTGTATATGGTGCGAGAGGAAAAAGACATTAAAAAGGGAGCAAAGAACAATGAAATCATGAGTACCGAAATGACCGCAGTCTTCCTTTACAATATTTGTAGGCAATCCAAACACGAGTTGGACTGTATCAGGGCGAATGAGATGAACAAAGATGGAGAAAATAATTAAATGAAAATGGCAATGATATCCGATACAGAAATATCATATCATCACAAGGAAATACCGACAAGCTTGGAAACTCAACATCAGAATCTATAGAACCGAAGTAAACTATGATCAAAAGAAATAAATAAAACGGAAAAGGAAAATAAGACCATGTGTTCCGAAGTGTTAAGCGACATCTGCTTCATCGACCGACGACACCCGCCATGTAAATCATGGTTAATTCAAGAAAGTGTTGTAGTACAACGGAACCACAAGGAATGCTTTCAAACTTCATATCACACATGGAATGTTTTCTAATATGATCAGGACAGCGATTATAAAACATTCCTTGTATCTATCAACTTGCATCTCTCGAAGGATGTATTATCACCTCGGTATTGAAAAGAATTGAAATCATCACACTTATCATACAGCTTGGTTGAAAACTATCTGTGTTGGTTTCTCTGTTGATCGAGGTAAGCAGCTGTGTAACAAATACTAAGAACGTGGTCAGTTCGTATTCCAAAAGTGTAAATGAAATATTTGATAAGCTCTGAATTGATAAATTCGGACTCGCATGAAAACAAACAAGTGAGGCAAGAGGGGAGCACAGCTTGCTATTTCGAATAAGTCAAAAGTATAAACAATACGATCATTGGTAATATTTTTTAGGAATATTTACCGCTGTTTTGAATAATTCAGAAGAAAAAGTCAGTTTGGATCAATTTTATATCACTCTATATCAAACGAGAAATAAACAAACTAAAAGCACACGAAAAAAAAGAGTTCGATATCCAAATGGCGGTTGCAATAACTCAACAAGTCCGTTTTAAAGACTGATATGACTGTATTCTGTCTGATGGTCATTTACATGTGTGGTAGCCATGCTGACTATGGCGGAAGCGGAAGTTGTTGGGGAGCATCCCTTACTTAGATATTATATATGGAGCAGTTATTATAATAGTTCATGTCATTACATCTCCCTTTTTTCAAGTTAAGATCTATGTTATTAACAATATCAAACATGGCCACCAATCAGTCAATAGATGTACAATAACTAACATGGTTTAACTACTTTAACAATAACTCAATATAAACTGACTAGTTAAGCTCACATATGACTAGATGATGAATATTTTAAATGATTCAAATTGAATTAAAATTGTTCATTTTACACCATTGTATTCTGTGTTATTTATCTTATCTAGTCAACTACTAAAACATTAACATATATACAGTCTTATAACACAAGGCAAGTTCCTTTAGGCCTCAATCAGCCTTTTGGGGGCTTTAATGACACGACCGCTGCGTGTTTTGTACATGTTACTCGTCTCAATGTCACTATTGCCGAGTTCTGGCTCTGGGTTAAGTTCTGGTTTGCAGTCAACTTCAAATTCTGGTTCGCGTTCAACATCAGGTTCACGTTCCATATCAAGTTCGCGTTCAAGGTTAGGATCTGTTACACGTAGATCCTTTCTATTTCGTCTCACTGTTCTGTCATTCAACTTAACCTTGTAGGACCTTGGTCCTACCGGACCAATCACAGTTCCATATTTTCTCCAGTTCTTTTCTCCTAGTTCACAAAGTCGAACCTTTGTATTTTCTGTGAGTGGTTCAAGCGTTTTAACTGCAACCCGATCGTGATAATACTTCTGTGTTTTTCTCTGTCTTTCTTTCCACGACATGACATAGTGGTCTTCGGGTTTGTTTAGTTTTCCAGTTGCAATGGGCAAATTACAGCGGAGTTGTCTACCCATTAACATCTCAGCAGGAGATAATCCATTCTCCATAGGTGTTGTTCTGTATGCCAATAATCCTAGGTGTGGATCTTGGTTGGTTTGTTTACATTTGCGAATAATGGATTTCATAGTTTGGACTGCTCGTTCAGCCATACCATTGGATTTCGGATATCCTGGACTGCTAGTCACGTGCTGAAAATCCCATTCCTCCGCAAATTTAAGAAACTCCTTGCTACTATAGCAAGGGCCATTATCACTCATTACCTGTTCAGGTATGCCGTATCTAGCAAAAGTAGTCTTCATGACTTGGATCACCGCTGTTGAGGTTTGATTGGTTAGTTGTACCACCTCAGGGTAGCCAGAAAAGGCATCTACGACAACAATATATGGGGTTCTATCCAGTTCAAACAAGTCTGTTGAGACTTTCTGCCATGGTCTTGACGGTATTGGGTGTGACAACAATGGTTCAGCCATCTGTTGTTTCTGGTGAACTTGACATGGTTCACAAATTTTCACCAAATTCTCTATGTCCTCAGTCATGCTAGGCCAAAATAACACTTCGCGTGCTCTTTGTTTACATTTGCTCATGCCTAAATGTCCAGCATGTATTTTCTGTAACATGTCTTTCCTGAGATTTTTAGGAATTACCACTCTGGATCCCTTGAATACTATCCCTTTAATCACTGACAGTTCATCTCTATAGTTCCAAAATGGTCGTATCTCATAAGAACAGTCACTGCGACTCTCTGGCCATCCATCCATAATGGTGTTTTTTAAGCTAATGAGCACTGTATCTTTTTGTGTTTTTACACGTATCTCTTCAAGTTTACGATCTGCGACTTGAATATTTGCCATGACTCCATCAACATATACCTCAACGTCATTCTCGGTTGTGGACTGTTCACCATGAACTGGAGCTCGCGACAACGTGTCCGCAGTGTACATATACTTTCCTGGTGTATGTAATAAGGTTACGTCATATTTTTGTACCCGTAGTCGGAATCGTTGTATCCTGGGCGGACAATCATTTAAACCTTTTGTAAAAATCGCTAATAGTGGTTTGTGGTCTGTTTCAACCTCAAACTTTGCTCCGTACACATACTGGTGGAACCTTTCACATGCATAGACAACCGCCAATGCTTCCCGCTCGATCGATGCATATCGTGATTCTGTGTCCGTCAATGCCCGTGATGCATACGCAACAGGGAGCCACTCGGTGTTGTGCTTTTGTAGAAGTACTGCGCCAAGTCCTTTCTGACTTGCGTCTGCAGAAATCCTGATCAACTTTGTGGGGTCGTAGTACTGAAGTACTGGACTGTTTGAGACAATTTCTTTCAAATTCTCAAACGATTTCTGGTGAACATCTGTCCATTCCCAACAGTTTTTCTTATCTAGCAAACCTCTCAAGAGTGCTGTATGCGTTGACAAGTCTCTTATAAAACGCGCTAAGTAGTTGATCATCCCTAGGAAACGTTGAATATCGTTTTTGCACTTGGGGTTTTCCATGTCTTGAATAGCTTTGACCTTTTCGAGGTCAGGCTTAACACCGTTCTTTGTAACTCTATCTCCAAGAAATGTTAGCTCGGGCACAGAAATTTCACATTTCTCACGCTGTAGTTTTAACCCAGCTTCTCGCGTTTTATCTAACACGTTTCGCAAGTTTCTGTCATGGTCTGCCTGATCAACTCCCCATACTATGATATCGTCCATGGATGTATCCACGCCCCTCATGTTCTCATACAAAAGGTGTATAGTTCTATGGAAGATCTCTGGTGCACTGGAGATTCCGAATGGTAAACGAAGAAACCGATATCGACCATATGGAGTATTAAAGGCACATAATTTGGAACTTTTTTCCTCCAGTTGTAGTTGCCAAAATCCGCTTGATGCATCAAGCTTTGAAAAGACTGTTGCACCAGCAAACTTCGCCATAATTTCTTCACGAGTGGGTAACTTGAAATGTTCTCTACATATAGCCCTATTCAAGTTTCTGGGGTCCAGGCAAACACGCAACTTTCCATTGCTTTTATGTACAATTACCATGGAATTTACAAATTCAGTTGGCTCCTCAATAGGCTTTATAACCTGTAGTTCCTCCATCCTGTCTAACTCCTGTTTCAACTGGTCGTGGAGTGCAAATGGTACCTTTCTGCAGGGTTCCACTACTGGTTCTGCATCAGGTTTTAACTTAATCTTTACTTTGTCGGCAAGACATCCTAGCCCTTCAAATAAATCTTTGTACTCTGTGAAAATATCTGGTGATTTTACACTGTCCTCCTTTTCCACCATCAGTACCCGTTTGACAAGTCCCATACTGTCACACTGCTTTCTACCTAGGATAGGTTTAACAACACTGCTAGCAATGACAAACAGCGCTTTCTTTGTAAAACCTTTGTATTTTATGTCCAGTACACATTGTCCCTTGGTTGGGACAGATCCTCCATTGTAGGCTGTCAATTTAACTGTTGACTGGTGAAGTCTAATTTTATGACATTGCTTGTTGATCCTATTAAAATCTGCAATACCCATAATGTTGACATCTGAGCCTGTGTCGAGCTTCATCGGTATAGCACATCCATTGACATCAATGTTAACTATCCATGAATCATCAGTTTTGTTGCTGTCATGTACTGCATCTACAAAGAATTGTTGATCTGTCTCGACTGAGTGTACTTTCTGTTGGTGTTTTGGTTTCGTTTTCAAATTGTTGTTGTTAAAATTGGTTCTTGTCCTACACAGTTTCTGGTAATGTCCTGTTTTACCACATTTATAACAAGTTTTTTCCTTAGCTGGACATGGACTTCCTTTATGATCCATTCCACATTTCTGACATCGAGATGTATTATGTTGCGGGACTCGTGGGCCTTTTCCTTTGTATGAACTCTGGTTGGGATTCTTTTGAGACTGTTTCTTTATCAAATCTACGGATTTCTTTTCAGTAGTGTTTTCCGACACGATACCTTTCATTTGTACGTCAGTTCTTTCCGCGGCTCTACATAAATCAATGCATTTATCCAGATTCAGCTCGCGTTCCCTTAACAGGCGTGCCCGGGTTTGATCTTTGCCGATCCCTTCTATAATTCTATCTCGAATCAGACCTTCCTTCAGATTCCCAAAACCACAATCTTTTGAAAGAACTTTGAGCTCTGTTAGAAATTGATCAAATGTTTCTCCGGATTTCTGTACCCTACTATTAAACACATGTCTCTCATACGTTTCATTCTTTTTCGGAATGCAGTATTCAGAAAGTTTCTGTTTCAAAGGTTCTATCTTATCCTTTTCCTCCTCTCCGAAGTTAAATGTACCTACCAGCTCTATAACTTGCTCTCCTGCCAGCGATAATAGAGTGGCACATTGTAGTTTCTCAGATTTCTTATCCTTCTCAGTGGCACACATGTATAGCTCATATTGTTGTAGCCAGCGCTTCCAACTTTCTGAAATGTTCCCATCTAAGGAAAATGGCTTCGGCGCAGGAAAATAATCACTCATCCTTGACGTTGGACATTTACTGTTATTTCTGACACCATGCAATAACTCAACAAGTCCGTTTTAAAGACTGATATGACTGTATTCTGTCTGATGGTCATTTACATGTGTGGTAGCCATGCTGACTATGGCGGAAGCGGAAGTTGTTGGGGAGCATCCCTTACTTAGATATTATATATGGAGCAGTTATTATAATAGTTCATGTCATTACAGCGGTTAGAATCAATGACCAGTTTTTTAATCATGAAAGGCAGCCTTAGAGAAGATTTTACAAAGGACCCACGCATTCAGACCAAAATGAAAATATCAGTCAGTATGATTTCATCACTGTGAAAAATCAAGGAATCGGTAGATGTGCATTGTAATGATAGAAACATTTAAGAGTGCAAAACATTCTTATTTAGTATAAATAACAGTCAATTATAACCAATTAAAATACTGTAGGGTCACCCTTGACTTCTCATACCTGAATCATCCAACAGTCATATCACAGACGCTGCAAACAGCTACATATCTGTCACGGTACAGCTGACTGACCAATTAGAAGAAAATCTTCAGAACTTGGTCATTTAGATCCACTGATATTATGAATATTCGGTCCGTTCGTTTACAAAGAGGAGAAAACACAGTGCAGATTTTAAAAAAACCCACTTTTTACTTCCGGTGAGAAATCGATATTTGGTGACGTAATCCGTTATGGGTGTGAGAGACATTTAATTCCGATTGTGCATAGGAACATTGTCGACCTAAATCTTCGCACTAGCGGGAATTCCTTTATCATTTTTTTTACCTGAGGTTGTTGTTGTCATTTTAAAAGTGTTGTTACATGTACTGGGAGAAGTCTTTGGAGCCTAAGACCCGGAAGTCCTATTTGATGGAAATAAGGAATTAATTTTCAAAAAAAAAAAAAAAAGTCCGAAAAGAGACCAGGAGGTCACGGGTTGGATCACAGGCGGAAACACTCATATTCTATTTTCTGTTACAATATTTATATAAGAAGGAGGCACGATTGATGTGAGATGGGCGGGTCGTTGAACTTTTTGTATATGTTACAAGACTAAATCATACCAAAAGGAACGATATGACCCGTATCAAATCAAATCGGGTAGAAAAGTGAACCCTTTGTCAGTTTAAATTTCGATTTACTACTTTAATTTTTCAATAAGACTAAAATGAACCAAAATCAGTAATACAAACTTATTTATAAGGTTGGCAGTTATATTTATTGTGAAGGGCTCTGAATTGTTGAACAAGCCGATAAATAAAGGTTAATGACTTAGACACTGATCCCTTATACCTACACATCACAAGGCCCGTGTTTGATATTGCTGGACGTTGTAATCTTGCAGGACATCAATAAACCGTTATCAGTAACGTTTCTGCTTTGAATATATTATTAAATGTAGGTAATATATGATGTATCACATATGAACGAGCTCTGAAGAATACGATTTGCCTTCTCCTATTAACACGCTTTTGACATTGAAGTCAGCTGTTGTAGTGAGCTAATCGAGGCCTGATAAACAACTTAAGGGGAGTTTACTCCCGAGGATTAGCAGGACTTGAAGTGGACACACACGCGCACAGTAAGAATGTACGATTTTACCTCAACTGACGGTATTGTGACGAGGTCTGGTGCGCACGTGCGGAGGAATTTGATAATTTCCGCAATAGTATGTCTTGTTCTAGGACTGACTTTCGGTCTTCTCATCGGAAGATTCGGTACATGTCCGGAGAAATCGGAAGGGAACGTTCAAAATGGCGTTTTCCTGCCAGGTGTCCCCGACCAAATTGTTCAAGACGGGGATCCTACCATCAGAGACGAAATCATCAACAATATCAAAAGTGACAACATCAGAGATTATCTAAGGTAAAAGTTTAGGAAAATGTGTGATTACGGCACACCCAAGTAAAAGCGGGATGCCAATTTTAGCCTTTTTATGCCTAGTCAGTAATAAGCCACGTGAAAAACACTTGAAAGTTATCTACATGAATTATATTTTTCAACAAACCAATTGCGTATAAAGGTGGAGGGATGTAAAACATAGTGTTAATGCTTAAGTTCATAAACATTCTATATTGGAGTAAAATTTGTTATTTTGTTGTCTTGATTGCTAATTAAGAAATGTTGTAAGTTTCAAGATTGAAGCCAGAAGTGGTCGAAAACTGTATTTCTTAGTCACGAGTTATGATCTGTACGGCGGTAATTATGACACTATTGAGGAATGATTCAGGTAATGATCAGGTAATAAACATGCGCGTGAGACGTACTATTGGAAACAAACATGTTATAAAAGATAAACCTATACTAAACAGAACATTTTAGCGGAAGGAATTATCCGTTTAGAAGAAAAATGTTTACGCGATAAATAAATTAAAATTGTGTAAAAGATAGACCTTCACTAGGAGAACAATAGATGTAATATAAATGACAACCACAAAATATATCTGGTGTTTTATGTACAAGACAAACGTACACTTGCGTAAATATATTGTTTGTAAAAGACAAAAATACTACCAGACTAAAGATTAGTAAGATTTCACAATCTATCCCCATATCTGATCCACCTTTCCCTACAATCGGGATTAACGATAACACATTGTAATCCTTATTAAGTGTATATTTTGTTTAGTCCAATGACAACTAAATGATAAATCTTCAGCGTCAGGGTTTTGGTTTTTTCGGTCTATGTAAAAATAGCGTGCTTTTCAGTTCAGTGAAATAGCGTGTTGTACATGATATCAAATTGCTGTATCATTTACATGTTACACATGTTACAGAGGGTACTAGACTTACACATACCAAATACACATTAAACTGTGTTCTCTGAATGGTGTATCTAAGTAGTGTGGTTATGGTGGTAAAGTTTAATATAGTGAAGGATTGAATAGGGTAATAAATTCTGTCTAGAGCAGCATAAACACTCAATCCTACATTTCTAACGGTTATTTCTGATACAACATACATAACATACCACAACTGTGTGTAGTCACATATACAATACATCACATCTGTGTGTAGTCACATATACAATACATCACATCTTTGTGTAGTCACATATACAATACATCACATCTGTGTGTAGTCACATATACAATACATCACATCTGTGTGTAGTCACATGTACAATACATCACATCTTTGTGTAGTCACATATACAATACATCACAGCTCTGTGTGTAGTCACATATACAATACATCACATCTGTGTGTAGTCACATATACAATACATCACATCTGTGTATAGTCACATATACAATACATCATATCTGTGTGTAGTCACATATACAAAACATCGCATCTGTGTGTAGTCACATATACAATACATCACATCTGTGTGTAGTCACATATACAATACATCATATCTGTGTGTAGTCACATATACAATACATCACATCTGTGTGTAGTCACATATACAATACATCACATCTTTGTGTAGTCACATATACAATACATCACATCTGTGTGTAGTCACATATACAATACATCACATCTGTGTGTAGTCACATATACAATACATCACATCTGTGTGTAGTCACATATACAATACATCACATCTGTGTGTAGTCACATATACAATACATCACATCTGTGTGTAGTCACATATACAATACATCACATCTTTGTGTAGTCACATATACAATACATCATATCTGTGTGTAGTCACATATACAATACATCACAGCTGTGTGTAGTCACATATACAATACATCACATCTTTGTGTAGTCACATATACAATACATCACATCTTTGTGTAGTCACATATACAATACATCACATCTGTGTGTAGTCACATATACAAAACATCACATCTGTGTGTAGTCACATATACAATACATCACATCTTTGTGTAGTCACATATACAATACATCACATCTGTGTGTAGTCACATATACAATACATCACATCTGTGTGTAGTCACATATACAATACATCACATCTTTGTGTAGTCACATATACAATACATCACATCTGTGTGTAGTCACATATACAATACATCACATCTGTGTGTAGTCACATATACAATACATCACATCTTTGTGTAGTCACTAATACAATACATCACATCTTTGTGTAGTCACTTATACAATACATCGCATCTGTGTGTGTAGTGACATATACACTAAATCACATCTTTGTGTAGTCACTTATACAATACATCAGAGCTCTATGTAGACACATTTAAAATACATCACATCTGTGTGTAGTCACATATACAATACATCATATCTGTGTGAAGTCACATATACAAAACATCGCATCTGTGTGTAGTCACATATACAATACATCACATCTGTGTGTAGTCACATATACAATACATCACATCTGTGTGTAGTCACATATACAATACATCACATCTTTGTGTAGTCACATATACAATACATCATATCTGTGTGTAGTCACATATACAATACATCACATCTGTGTGTAGTCACATATACAATTCATCACATCTTTGTGTAGTCACATATACAATACATCACATCTTTGTGTAGTCACATATACAATACATCATATCTTTGTGTAGTCACATATACAATTCATCACATCTGTGTATAGTCACATATACATCACATCTTTGTGTAGTCACATATACAATACATCACATCTGTGTGTAGTCACATATACAAAACATCGCATCTGTGTGTAGTCACATATACAATACATCACATCTTTGTGTATTCACATATACAATACATCACATCTTTGTGTAGTCACATATACAATACATTACATCTGTGTGTAGTCACATATACAATACATCACATCTGTGTGTAGTCACATATACAATACATCACATCTTTGTGTAGTCACATATACAATACATCACATCTGTGTGTAGTCACATATACAATACATCACATCTGTGTGTAGTCACATATACAATACATCACATCTGTGTGTAGTCACATATACAATACATCACATCTTTGTGTAGTCACATATACAATACATCACATCTGTGTGTAGTCACATATACAATACATCACATCTGTGTGTAGTCACATATACAATACATCACATCTGTGTGTAGTCACATATACAATACATCACATCTGTGTGTAGTCACATATACCATACATCACATCTTTGTGTAGTCACTTATACAATACATCACATCTGTGTGTAGTCACATATACAATACATCACGTCTGTATGTAATCATACACAATACATCACATCTGTGTGTAGTCATATATACAATACATCACATCTTTGTGTAGTCACATACACATGTAATACTCACTGCAGGGTCATTGAACAGAAAGACGGAGACGTAGGGGATTCTTGTTCCGCACTTTATTTGCAGGAACACAGGAGCCTGCAATGCACAGTGCATGCATTACAATTACACATAACATAAGACAGTTACTTATAATTTGCCTACAACGCTATGTTACATATTGGACAAATACTCACCAGGGGGAAAAAGTGCATGTGCACATGTTGCCGGCCAGATGCGGAATGACGTGACCTGAACCCGAGGACATATGCTTCGTGACACGCGCATGTTAAACTCTCACAGTCTCGCACAGCTCGTGCTAATTTCGCGTGCGCTGGAGACATAGAGAATTACGTACACCAGGTTACATAAACAATAAATCACATCTGTGTGTAGTCACATATAGAATACATCACATCTGTGTGTTGTCACATATACAATACATCATATCTGTATGTGTAATCACATATACAATACATCACAGTTCTGTTTGTAGTCACATATACAATACATCACATCTTTGTGTAGTCACATATACAATACATCACATCTGTGTGTAGTCACATATACAATACATCACAGCAGTGGGTAGTCACATACTCAATACATCATATTTGTGTGGAGTCACATACTCAATACATCATATCTTTGTGTAGTCACATATACAATACATCATGTCTGTATGTGTAGTCACATATACAATACATCACAGCTCTGTATGCAGTCACATATACAATGCATCACATCTGTGTGTAGTCACATATACAATATATCTTATCTGTGTGTAGTCACATATACAATACATCACAGCTCTGTATGTAGACACATATACAATATATCACATCTGTTTGTAGTCACATATACAATACATCACATCTGTGTGTAGTCACAAATACAACACATAACATCTGTGTGTAGTCATAAATGCAATACATTACATCTTTGTGTAGTCACATATACAATTCATCACATCTGTGTGTAGTCACATATACAATAAATCACAGCTCTGTATGTAGACACATATACAATACATCACATCTTTGTGTAGTCACATATACAATACATCACATCTGTGTGTAGTCACATACAATACATCACATCTGTGTGTAGTCACATATACAATACATCACATCTGTGTGTAGTCACATATACAATACATCACATCTGTGTGTAGACACATATACAATACATCACATCTGTGTGTAGACACATGTACAATACATCACAGATCTGTGTGTAGCCACATATACAATACATCACATCTGTGTGTTGCCACATATACAATACATCACAGCTATGCTGTGTGTAGTCATATCACAACCTCCTTACCTCCAATAGAATGCAATACAAAATATCACAATTGAGTGTAGACAAAGGCAATATCCTTCTCTTTAATACAATACAGTATAAAACACCTGTGTGCACGATCTTTATCTCTAATACATGTTTACAGAGCCTTGTCGGAGTTTCCCCATCTTGCTGGTACTGATGCTGACTACCGCCAAGCGAAAGAACTACACGACTTCTGGAAGCACGAAGGGTTGGATGAGGCTTACCTCACTCCTTATGACGTGTTACTTTCCTATCCAAACGTCACTGATGACGACATGATGAACCGGATAGAGTTGTTAAACGATACAGATGGGATAGTGTACCACTCCCCTTTAAGGGAAGCAATACTACACCCGTCTGAAAACAAGAGTAACGTTGTCCCTCCCTTCAATGCCTACTCTGCCCCAGGGGACGTAGTATCGGTACGTAAGAGGAGCGGGTAACCATATAAGGCATACTTATTGATTCTGATTTGTTTTGTATTGATTCTTCTTCCATTTCGGTCATTATTGTTGTGTACAAACAGATGTTGTGTTTTAAAAATAGCTTTGGCATCCTCATGAAAAATTATGAATATATAAAAAAAAAAATTATATGAAAATATACCCCATTTTGTTTTATTTTCAATTATGGTGGATAACAGTAATAATTGTTTTTAAAACGTTAGTTTTATCTGAATAATTTAGAAAATTATTAGATATTGTATCTCACTAACCAAGCGCAAATTTTGAACGTGTTTTAAACATTTCTTTCATTGTGACAAAATATATAAGGATGAAGAGAATGAGAATTATATCAGTCTTACATCCCTTACCCCTTAAATAAAAGAAATATATGTATTTATGAAACACCATGCCCCCGGTTGCAGCGAAATTAAAAAAAAACCCACATTGTCAAAAAACCAGAAAGGTCTTATCACAAGGAATACACACGCTAAATAAGAAAGCCCTACCTCTTACGGTGCAATAATTATGGGTGAACGTTGACAACAGACAAACAAACAGATCGAGCCACAAACAGACAGCACAAAAACAATATACCCCGGTCTTTCGATTCGCGGACATAACATGACTCATTAAACTGTCCTATTGTCGCAGTTTATTCGATATTCAAGATTCTGTTCCCCGCACTACGATTTTCATGAAAGATGTCGTCAACTGACTGACAACCTCATAACACAGGGTTTCAAGAGAAACAGGTTGGTGGAAATGATGAGAAAGTACAGTCGTCTTTATCATCTTACTGGGAATGATTTTTATTTCTTTGTGTGATATGAAGCTGGACATATTTGATGCTCGTTAGTTTGTCTGTTTGTTCCGTTGATGTATACTTTGAGAACATGACATTACATACTTGAATTGATCCAGATTTACCTGGCAGGTGTCGTCGGTGAAACAGTTACTGTACGTATTTCTAGTCTCCGTGTAAATGTTCCCTTTTGTTTATGTTTTGCTTTAGTTTTATTGAATTTGAGTTTGGATTATGATTCCGTTCACATTCCGTCGGCATTTCCTAGTGGTTTTAGTATTCATATATATTTCTTTTCATAATGACTCATGATCTGGTTATATGTTGAAATATTTTCACAATACATACCACCGTATCTTAATTTACACATTAAAATGCGCACAGCTGTTTCGTCCCTCTGACACCGAGGGTCAAACTTGTTGCAGCCTCCTTGGAATCGACCGAGGAACATGAAAGCGTGGAAAGAAATGTCAAATACGAGATGGAATGGTGCACTAATCCCTAAATTCAATACTTTTCAATCATTGTTAGTTTCAATAGAACGCCATATACATGTGTGCATTTTGACCGTGCCTGTAATCGAATAAATAAAGACGTGTCATGCAGGTTATGATAATATTTTACAGGAGCGTTTGGTTTATGTTAATTACGGGCGACTGGAAGACTACCGCTGGCTGAGGAACAACACCTCTGTCAACATCACGGGAGCCATTGTAATAGCCCGATATGGAAAAATCTTCCGAGGTGATAAGGTTGGTGACCGTTGTGTCTGACACTTAGAATTTTCTTTGTTGTTATTTGTTTTCAGATCGATTAGGAAACTATTTCCTGGTGAGATGTTAATTGTGTGATTCACATTGTATGGATTGTTTAGGAGTAATTTTTGTGCCTGTAAATCAATTATAATCATGTTAGACAAAGCTTGCGTCTAATTAGATGACAATAATTTAATATTTCTCGCGTCCTACAGGTTCACCTGGCTAGCGCATATGGCGCAATCGGTATTATTATTTACTCTGACCCTGCCGACTACACCTTGAACGGAAGTACGTCACATGTGTATCCGGACGACTGGTGGCTCCCTCCGTCTGGAGCACAGCGGGGCACTGTGTATCGCGGACTCGGGGACCCACTGACTCCAGGCTATCCTGCCACAGGTACATCCGTATCGGCTATGTCATGTCAAAGTTCGTATGACAGCCATACAATTTTCTTTATTTTCAAAATATCGCCAGCTTGTAATTATTATTATTACATTTATTTCATTTGTCGAGACACAGTCACGTGTTCTACAATTTTTATCTTTATTGCACTGTAAACTGGATAATTTATCATATCGAACCGCTTCGTTCTATTTTTAATAAAAAGGAATATCTGTTCACGCCACGCATCTTTATTTAAAAAAAAGTATTTGTTCGGCGCCCATCATTTGTGATTATAGACATGGAGGTAGACGGCCGACAAGATGGAGAAGCTAACACGAAGCGGTTTGCCTCACTTTCCAAAGAAAACCATTTATAAATACAGTAAAATGCACATTTTTGGTTTGTCTTAAATCACGCATAACAATAAGTCAAGGATTCAATCGGATCTGAAGGATTTCTGTAATGTTTGTTAAATGTGAGATGGATGGTTAAAAAAAATGAAATAAAACAATTAGTGCACTATTATTGGTTCAGTATGAGAAGTTATGGAGTAGAAAAAGAAATATCTAACCAATAACACGGCCATAAAGAATCTCATTACTATCCAACTAACTGATTGATAACGTTTCTTCAGACACGTCATACAGATACGCAGAAAATAGCAGCGAAGCTCAATTACCTACCATTCCCGCCCACCCTGTAGGTTACGGTATAGGACAGAATCTACTCAGGTAAGATATAACAAAGAGACAAAACGTTCGGCCCTGATGAAGAAAAAAAAACATTGGTTAACATATTTTGTTTTGTACAGCCGTATTCGATAAAAGTTGCCGCTTAATCCTTCAGATAGTGTTTCAGAATTCTAGACCAGGACCGGATGCACAGTCTTCAAGGTTTATGTGTTTACTCAGTTTTGACTTTGTTGGAATTTATCTTTTACAATCTTATACTTAAAAGCTAACCTTCCCCTCCATTCTTACATATACCGGATCACTCCTTGCTTCACGTGACTTTTACAACCAAATGATCTTTTTTTCTCTGAAACTGGGTGGGTTGTATATCTATCACATGGAATTGTGTTTTATTGACATTGTGATATTACAATTTTGGAAAGAGTAATGGCCCTCGTTTTCTTCAACATATTTCCTCCCTCAGAAATATCTTCCTGTGAATTGCATTGTGATGCATTAATTAAAAAAAAGTTATTGCCCTTTGGTCTTTTTAGGATGTTAATTTTGAAATTTTGTCCAGATATTTTTCTCAGTTTTCCATCCACCTCTTTAAAATTTGAAAAAATATGCTTTAATTTATCATTACGATATACAGCAGTGTTGCCCCTATTATCATTGTAACTTATCATTACCGTTTCCATAGCTGTATTGTTTCCGATATAGTAAATCCTGAATGTGTTACCACCCCGCGGTACTCATGTTTTCGTGTACCAAGTATTATGAGATAAAACTACAATTGCCACTATTTATAGCTCACTTGAATAGCGACACGCTTGTGAATATACTCACGTTCTTAAAAAGTAAGAAAATAGCAATTTACGATATTTATTGAATTATAGGACTAGTATACCTCGCCTATGGATTTTCCTCAGTCGCTCCTTAGGTTTAAAATTTAGGTCCTTAGCATCTCTGATGAGTCTTAGAAGGATGAAACAGATATACATGTATAATGTATAATGCAATATCTTTCTTAAATTTGTATCAAAAACTGCTATTCAATCCTTTCTCAAGCACTGTTCTTTCGTTGCCTCTAGGAGCTCTGTCACCTCACATTTCCGGTAATGGAATCTTACTGATTCCCGTCTAGTGAACATGCAGCAATGACAAGGGATTCTGCCAGTATCTCCTACTTCCTTCTTACAGTATATATACGTTCACGTCCTCATGTCTCACTTAACGTTCTTCACTGAACTTTTTATCCAATGATTCTTCAATGGACGTAGTACCACTTCTGTATTATGCGTTAGCTTAGTGTTAAACTCCTATGTTTCTTGTTTGATTTCCACCCCTTCGTTCTGTTACATCCCTTTTAATGAAATCCCGACCTCAGTATCACTCTTTTTTCCCCCAGTTTAATTGCCTTAGATTGGTTTTTTCTTAGATTCATAACAATTCATGTTAGCTATTGTCCTTTATACAGAATTTATTTGTACAACAAAAACAAAACCTAGCTGATTTTGTAGACTTATTAACTGTTGACTTTGAAAGTTAGGAAAATCTATACTATATATTTTTTATTGTATATTTTTATCATTACTATCATTACAGCGCTATGGCAGGAGAGGAGGCACCAGCTGACTGGAGAGGAGCATTGAATATTACCTATTACATTGGTGGAGAGCTCAATACACCAGGCTGGTTAGTATTTCGATAACAAGAACAGTGACCGTAAATTGTTGGGACGATCGTTTTCTTTTGTTGATACATGCTGGCCGTGATTCTAATTAAACGCACCCGTGTTCAATAACTTACGAAACATTACAGATTTGTTTCTCTTCTTGCTACATTTCTTTTACTCTTCCAAGCCCCCCCCCCCCTTTTTTTTTTAAAATTTTACTAATATCGTAATTCCTTGGCAAGCATTCAGCACCTCATCTACATATAAGACAAATTCGTGTGGTAGTGATGACATGCGTAAATGTATATGTTGTATTACGGTACAAACGTTTTACATCAATTTTTGTATTTTTCTGTTTCTCTGTAGGAAAATCAGAATGTTTATTTCAACACAAAATGCTATGAGGAGGACATACAATGCGTTTGGAATCATACGAGGGGCTATAGAACCGGGTAGGTTGAATTTCTTAGTCTTCTAAGTATCTACAATAACAATAACAAATTCATTACAAATAAAAATGATTCTTCTATTTTCCACAGACCGTTATGTGTTGGTGGGTAATCACAGAGATGCCTGGGTGTTCGGTGCTATGGACCCGTCCAGTGGTACTGCTGTGATGAAGGAAGTTTCTAGGGCGATGGGTAATCTGGTGAAACAAGGTAGATGTTAATTAATCGTCTACAATATTTCGACCAAAAATGGGTTTAATTATTGTATTAGTGGCCTTCCATCATTTGTTTGCTGATGATTTTCGTCCTTTTTGCCACGAGTACAAGTACAAAATGCATAATCCACACTATTATACTGCTAACCGATACCTATAGCTGCCTGCAGGTTTACAGCAAACGTAAATGTACTGGTTATAGATGCATTTCAGAGTTGTCTCAAACACGAAACTTCATTACAGATATCAACTAATTAATCATGGTAAATAAATGGATATCAGATGGATTTTACAAAATGTTTATTTAAGGAAGATGGCGACCTCGACGAACCATTATTTTCTGCAGTTGGGGCTCAGAGGAGTATGGACTTTTGGGATCGAACGAATGGGTAGAGGTACGATATTACACAAACTAGTCCATGGAAATGAAGTTCCTTTCTATAAATCTAAAGCGTTTTCCTAATCTCAACTTCCCTTCTCGATATGTGTATTCATATATAGTCTTACACTATATTGATTAATTGTTTTTCTCTCTATTTCAGTTATTTTACTTACAATAATATAGTTAAGTAGCGAAAGTTAATGCGCAACATTTTGTTTACAGCAATATGTGAAGAACCTAGGTTCACGGTCAGTTGCTTATATCAATGTAGACACCGCCGTGAATGGTACGTATCCTTATTTACCATGTACTACAGAGTTACTATAACCATACATACGTAATGTACATATACTCTTAAATTCTGCGCTGTACCTTCCTCTATTGTCTCGTTGTTGACTACATTTCCTGTTGTATGACAGACTTCGTTTTAGTCAAGTATAAACAACTGTACGTATCACTTTATATCAAAGTCAGTATCGACAAGTCTTGTACGGTGATAAGCACTCTCTTGCTAACTTAGGTATAGTCTTTAGAAATATATACTCTTGAATTCGGAAAAATCAAGGTCACGTCTTTGACATTTCCTCGATAAAATGACATGTGTTTTAATTGTGTCCCCGTGTGTTGCAGGGAATTATTCATTTCAAGCCTCCGGGACACCTTTGATGTATCAGTCGATATTCGACGCCACTAAACAGGTAGAAAGGACGACTAAACAAAAGATAAGTCAGAAGAGTTCTGACTATCTGTCTTTGCTACGCTGTCAATAGTCAGAACATACATCTGTATGCATATGTAACAACACGGAATGTTAGAGGCCAGTGCCTATGTCGACATTCGGACAAAGTTGCATATAATTAAGTAATTTTGTAGTTATAAGTTCGAAACAGTGGACGTTCGCTGACTCCATTACGTGCTTATTTAAGTAAATTTATTAGTTTATTTAAGTTATAAATATTGTTTGAATGTCGATCCGCGCAACGATTGCTTAAATTCTTCTTTTCATATTAAAACAATTAAGAAAATACCGACATCACCACAGAATCTTTATTCATACTTAGACCCGAGTCAATCCAAGTAGATAATGTCACGTTCCCGCAACCACCAGGCATATTAACGAGAATCAAACATATCCAACTGATATCACACAAAGAGACGGAACTTTTCCAAATGTGGTCGAAATCTTCAACCAGCACCTTTCGAATCCTGTGTTGGGAGTTATTTTTCGGAATAGCGATAGTGGTAGTGGGAACAAGTACTTGGATATCAAACAAGCTTCTGTATACTTGTGTTATTACATCTAATGAACTTGTAAGGAATGCTATTATTGTATGAATCATATCAAGTATGGTAAGTGTGTCCGAAGATAGTCATAGATACATGGTGGTCGGCAGTATCTTTTTGATCACGGCATGAGCTGTATTACGACTAAAGGTCTTCTAAGCTAGTATTATAAAGAAATACAATTAGATATTTATATTACATAGGTACTTAGATCTACCGGTAAAATACCAGTTATGTTTAATGCCATACACTTGTAAATGATGTTCAGTTCATCATTAGAGCCATATATAACCATTGATTGATGGATAGGTAGCCAATCCTGATGATGGAGACGTACAACAAGGTCTAAACACGGTCTACGACAAATGGCTCAGAAGCTTTCCCGCCCAGGACAACACCAAACCATAGTAAGTGGGCATTCAAATATGTAAGCAACATCACTGAACTTGTATCTAGGAACATCTTGACAAATGGTCTGTGTATCCGGTAAAAGTGGTTTCCTCATGAAGGTTGTACATTGTATTTCATGATTTTTGATACGTTAATTAGATTGTTATTTAAGCGATCCGTGCAATTATTTGTTGTTTGGTTTAGTACCCCGAGACAATATTACACCTCACTAAATACATCTGTATTATCGTATATGAGAGGTATCCGATATTATATCATGTTATATTGGAACTTACACACCGAAGTCCGTCCAATGCAACCTAAATGTTACTATTTGTTTACTTTTCAATCGTTACTTCTATTCCGTCTCCGATTCCTTGCTAAATTTCCTGGGTCTGTAAACCATTGCTGGCGTTTTATCATCAACATGTGAATCTCTGGACGGAGCAGTATGGGGACGCTTGGGGCAGGTAGTGACCACGCCGTGTTTGTACAACATGTCGGCATTCCGTGTGTGAGCATTCAGTATTCATACGACAGTGTAAGTTTAATTTACGCTCTCCTGCCTAAAGTACAAAGGGGTTTAAACCAATTATAAAAACACGCTAGAATTTGCATTTATAAGTGTATTGAGCATTTGAATGCATCACTTCAAGGAATATTGGCAGTGCCCGACTTAATGACCACTGAGAAACCAAATAAAGAGAAATCGTTAATGGTTGACATTGGTATTCAGATATAATTAATTCAAAATATTTAAGTGTAATATTATACATATATAAATATATATATATATATATATATATATAAACAGCTGGTAGTTTAACTTTCTGTTTCGAATATAAATAAAAACATCTTCTGCAGCTTACTTGAATACACATTTAGAGTTAGATACAAGAGCCACATAATGAATTAAACATGTAGCTGTTTCGTCCTTCTTGGACACGTCTGTGATGCTAAGGGCCTGAATTGACATATCAAACGCAGTATGTTTTTATAGGGAATTCCGGAGAAGGATTTAAACTCAGAACCAATGCAAGCCTAATTTCTTCACCGTAGGAAAGAATATACCAAATTAATTAGTGATTGGATTTTTATTGCATCATGTAGAATGGAAAGGCAGCTAAAAGATAAAAATGAATTATATAGATATTTTAACAAAGCACAGTCTGTATTTAATGATTTTGTTGTATTATCTCAAGGACATCAAATCATAACTCGATAAAATAATATATCCATTCGAAGATATGGGACTAGAACAGTTCTCTCAGCACGTAAAAACAACTTATATATCTCTGATTTAGCGCTACAGCGATTTAAATATGCATATTTGTAAAATATTTATAGAATGAGAGTGTCTAACAGTTCATTAATAAACTGTCTATGTAAAACTACAGACATATGATAAATACATTTTCTAGCAGCTCTAGTATATTCTGAATGTTTGTGTTGAAACACTTCCTCTCTACAGAATACCTATGAGATTGGGTCATATCCCTTGTATCACACTGTGTACGAGACATTCTACGCTGTAGATCAACTTATTGATAGAGGCTTCAAGGTAAAGTTATGTTCCCGTTTTTACCACACTATTAATTATTTGTATTTTTGGTGTATAACGATCTTATAATTTCATTTCTGTTAATATCTTTAATTTACTTCGAGTGCAGATACATGTATCCCAATGTTTTCAATGTAATTTAATAAGGCAAGTTTTGTAAAAATATTCCTGAGCTTCATAAATACCATTCGTCTAAAACGCTATTAGATACTAGTGTAGTAATATATAATTAGTCTATTTGCGATAAATTCTTTGGTCATGCATTGTTTGTGCACAAACATATTAACTATAAAGTTGTCCTGTAGTGTCACCAAGCCATGGCTCAAACCACAGCAGAGATGGTCAGGAATCTTGCCGACTCACTCATCATTCCTTTCGATGTAATGGACTTTGCTAACAATCTTCAGACATTAGTTAGCACACTGGATGCGGATTATGGAACACTCCTCAGAAATCATGGCATTCAGTTTGGTAGGTTCTCTTAGTAATAAATTCGTGTTGTTGGTTATCCGCAGATCACATGCGAGGGTCGATATGAAAGCAGTAACCGGTAGAAGGTTAAAGTTAAATTATTGTAAAATTACAAAACAATAATGAGTGAGACCAAGTTGTTGGTTTTAATTTTAGTTCTAGTTTAAAGATTTACAGTTTGGAATCAGGGAATGTGCGAGCGGTTTAGATCAAATTACTAAGAATAAAAGTTAAAAAATGAAAAAAAAACCTTTCGCAAAATGAAACAAAATTACATTTGTTTCTTTTAAATACAAATTAATGTTCTACTTACCCGAACAATGGATTTAGGGCGCTTCAAATAACTCATTCCGAATATATTCTCGTTATAAGGGAGTGTCAAAAAGTGATTTTCGTCTTTGGTACATGTGTATATCGAGGTCTTTGTATCTCCAGAATGGATAAAGCAGGCAGCAGACAACTTTTCTTCAGAAGCAGCGACATTCAAGACGTTGATTGATAATGTCAACAAGAACGAGTAAGATAAATGATTATTAATAATCCCGGTCTCTACATAGGATGATATGGTATTTTCAAAATGTTAAATAAAACTGTAAAAAAAAATGAAACGATGACAATATATGATCAAAGAATTTACACAGAGATCCTTGATAGCTACAAAAATCAAGTGATCCATAAGGGTAGGCGTCCGCAACATCGGCAGACTTCTGATCTTAATAAATGATATCATGTCAACAAATGAAATTATGGTTTATAACAAAGAAAACCACCACACACATTTACTGGGCACAGGATATATCCTAACCATGGCGACCATAACATAGTCTTATCAACGGAATATCCCTATATAGTGAGATAATATGTCGACTGTCGAAAGTTTCATGAAAATCAGAATAATCCCTTGTAAATTGAGGAAGTTAAGTTGCTACTGTTTAGAAATAAAAGCTTCACAGTAGGGGAATTCAAATCATCACACTTAAACTCGGTGGAAAACTTGGTTTCGTTGTAGAAAAAATTGCGGTTGACAGCTAATGTAGAAGGGCCTGCATGACCTTGATTTCAATTGTGTTTAAGTATATCTATTGAAAATGTTCATTAAATAAATTCCACTGTAAAGTTATCAGTGACAGCATTTTCACGCAAAATATTTCTTTACAGTCCGTTCGCCATTCGGCGAATTAACGATCAACTGATTTTGATGGAGCGAGCGTTCACGGATCCTTCTGGACTTCCAGGTCGACCTCAATCTAGGTATGGTTTAGATCGTATTGTGTTAAGTCACATTGACGGACATTTGTTATACTCGTTAAAACATTGAGTAATTGTGTTCAGTCACAATGGCGGACATTTGTGATACTCGTTAAAACATTGAGTAATTGTGTTCAGTCACATTGACGGACATTTGATATACTCGTTAAAACATTGTGTAATTGTGTTAAGTCACAATGTTATACTCGATAAAACATTGAGTAATTGTGTTGAGTCACATTGACGGACATTTGTTATACTCGTTAAAACGCTGAGTAATTGTGTTAAGTCACAATGACAGACTTTTGTTATACTCGTTAAAACATTGTGTAATTGTGTTAAGTCACAATGACAGACATTTGTTTTACTCGTTAAAACATTGAGTAATTGTGTTAAGTCACAATGACAGACATTTGTTATACTCGTTAAAACATTGAGTAATTGTGTTAAGTCACATTGACGGCATTTGTTATACTCGTTAAAACATTGAGTAATTGTGTTAAGTCACAATGACAGACATTTGTTTAACTCGTTAAAACATTGTGTAATTGTGTTAAGTCACAATGACGGACATTTGTTTAACTCGTTAAAACATTGAGTAATTGTGTTAAGTCACATTGACGGCATTTGTTATACTCGTTAAAACATTGAGTAATTGTGTTAAGTCACAATGACAGACATTTGTTTAACTCGTTAAAACATTGAGTAATTGTGTTAAGTCACATTGACGGCATTTGTTATACTCGTTAAAACACTGAGTAATTGTGCTAAGTCACAATGACAGACATTTGGTATACTCGTTAAAACATTGAGTAATTGTGTTAAGTCACATTGACGGCATTTGTTATACTCGTTAAAACACTGAGTAATTGTGTTAAGTCACAATGACATACATTTGTTTAACTCGTTAAAACATTGTATAATTGTGTTAATTGTGTTTAACTCGTTAAAACATTGAATTGTGTTAAGTCATATTTGTTATACTCGTTAAAACACTGAGTAATTGTGTTAAGTCACAATGACATACATTTGTTTAACTCGTTAAAACATTGTATAATTGTGTTAAGTCACAATGACGGACATTTGTTTAACTCGTTAAAACATTGAGTAATTGTGTTAAGTCACATTTTGTTAAAAAACACTGAGTAATTGTGCTAAGTCACAATGACAGACATTTGGTATACTCGTTAAAACATTGAGTAATTGTGTTAAGTCACATTGACGGCATTTGTTATACTCGTTAAAACATTGAGTAATTGTGTTGAGTCACAATGACAGACATTTGTTATACTCGTTAAAACATTAAGTCATTTGGTATACTTTTTAAAACAGTGAGTAATTGTGTAAAGTCACAATGACAGACATTTATTATACTTTTTAAAACATTGTGTAATTGTGTTGAGTCACAATGACAGACATTTATTATACTTTTTAAAACATTGTGTAATTGTGTTGAGTCACAATGACAGACATTTATTATACTTTTTAAAAGAGTGAGTAATTGTGTTGAGTCTCAATGACGGACATTTGTTATACTTTTTAAAACATTGTGTAATTGTGTTGAGTCTCAATGACGGACATTTGTTATACTTTTTAAAACAGTGAGTAATTGTGTTGAGTCACAATGACAGACATTTATTATACTTTTTAAAACATTGTGTAATTGTGTTGAGTCTCAATGACAGACATTTGTTATACTCGTTAAAACATTAAGTGATTTGGTATACTTGTTAAAACATTGTGTAATTGTGTTGAGTCTCAATGACAGACATTTGGTATACTTGTTAAAACATTGCGTAATTGTGTTAAGTCACAATGACAGAAATTTGTTATACTCGTTAAAACAGTGAGTAATTGTGTTAAGTCACAATGACAGACATTTATTATAGTTTTTAAAACATTGTGTAATTGTGTTGAGTCACAATGACAGACATTTATTATACTTTTTAAAACATTGTGTAATTGTGTTGAGTCTCAATGACAGACATTTGTTATACTTGTTAAAACATTAAGTCATTTGGTATACTTGTTAAAACATTGTGTAATTGTGTTGAGTCTCAATGACAGACATTTGGTATACTCGTTAAAACATTAAGTCATTTGGTATACTTGTTAAAACATTGTGTAATTGTGTTGAGTCTCAATGACAGACATTTGGTATACTTGTTAAAACATTGCGTAATTGTGTTAAGTCACAATGACAGAAATTTGTTATACTCGTTAAAACAGTGAGTAATTGTGTTAAGTCACAATGACAGACATTTGTTTTAGTCGTTAAAACAGTGAGTAATTGTGTTGAGTCACAATGACAGACATTTATTATACTTGTTAAAACAGTGAGTAATTGTGTTGAGTCTCAATGACGGACATTTGTTACACTCGTTAAAACATTGAGTAATTGTGTTGAGTCACAATGACAGACATTTATTATACTTGTTAAAACAGTGAGTAATTGTGTTGAGTCACAATGACGGACATTTGTTATACTCGATAAAACATTAAGTAATTGTGTTGAGTCACAATGACACATTTGTTATACTCGAAAAACATTGAGTAATTGTGTTGAGTCACAATGACGGACATTTGTTATACTCATTCTGATTCTTGTATATGTGTTGCCCGTGATAGGTGTGTATTTACTTACTCTCATCTCCTTGACTTTAGACATATCCTATTTGCGGAGAGTAGTGTGAATACCTATGCGGGAAGCAGCTTTCCAGGCCTGGTTGATGCTTTATTTGAAATAGAGTCGAAAGTGGAAGCAGAGGCACGATGGGAGATTGTGAAGCACCATTTTTCAGTGATCGTATTTACAATTAACTCAGCACAGTCAACGCTCAGAGAAGTGTCCACATTTATGCCAGAACTTCAAGACCTACAGTAAAAATGTTTTTGTTAAAGTCACAAGCGCAGTAATGAAACAGAACCTATGTAAGGCATACTTTTTATCCTGTAGTGATCCTTATTCTAATTAATTTCCATTTATTTCTGTTGCACTTTCAAAAATCTAATATTTACGAGACGACTTTTTTCAATATTGTACCAAACACTGTACCAAATAATACCAATACATTTCAAAAAAATGTTATCATACACACGTAACACCGATTTCATGTTTAACCAGTCTTGTGTAACACCGTTAAGCTCATAAACTGACGATGAACCCTAACCAGGTAACTGAGGAGAATATTAATTAGTATTTCACATTAACTGTCTCTCTTGTTTTTCCTTCACTTGTTCTTCCTCTTGTTTTATGATATCAGTAAGCTCAGAATATGCAAGACATGTTCTGAGATTCGGACAGACAAGAAGTACTCCACTCCTGTGTGTTGCTTATGTTGATACGTGATAAAAACGAGAGACGTAAAAGTATTGTGAAATAGTAATGTTATATTTTTTAAACGCTTACCTTGGCTCTGTAGACAAGAGAAACACGATTCATATGAAATGTCACGATATCATTGCTTCAGTACAGGACAGTAAATATTGTGAATACGTGTTTTGAGAGCACGGATCTTGCATACATCTACATATGTTTTCTCTGTAGTATTATTTGTTTATTGTGTTGTACAAACCTCGGTAACATCACAAAATTGTTTAGGTTCGCCTGAGTGAGGCCTGGAGTAATATCATATCTGTTCCGTTACTTTGCTTGCGTTGTAACCAGCCTGAGGATGTGAACACACTGTAAATATAAGTATGTAAACGGATCACAACCAAAGGTAACATATCGTCTTTAGAGTACATGTAAGCTACCGCGTTCAATTGTCTCGTGTATAGTTTATTTCCCTTTTCCCTTGTATTTGCTTTGTTTTCGTCACTCTTGCTCACTTCTTGAAAATTTGATTATAATTCTCTCGCTTAAAATGTTTGTAATTCTATAATTACATTTTTTTCTTTGAAATCTTAGAATTATGAAGTTGTCACTGTTATCTATCAATACAAACTGGTTTTTGTGTGATTATTTAAGCTAAGAACCTGATGCTATTGAAGCAAAACGAGCATTTAGCAGAAACCTACAAAGGGAAATGATTGAGTCCTGTATGTAAAAAATATGTGATGACCCGTTTCAAAATAAAATTTCATGAGGAGTTACGTTTCTAGTTATCTATTACCAGGAGACCTGCAGTAGATACATTTCTTGGTCGCCTTGGATGGATTTCTGTCTAAAGAATTTTGTATTTATCAACAGCGTGTTTTAATGGAAATCCGACGAATGTGCCAATGGTTGATATTAAGTAGACACGACAAACCACAATCACTGTGATAACTCTAAGGCTTAAGACCGGCATTATCCTTTCTCCGTTTGCTAAATATATCGTACATATTCCTTCCAGAGTTAAAAGCAAGAAATTCAAGCGTTAATGACTCTCACAAAAATAGATAAAAATCAACTACCTAAGCATGTATGTTTGTATAATGTATCAGTTGAGGCTCTCGAGGTTGCGACATCAATCTAAAAAGCCGAACTATTTTTTAGCAAGATATCATTTACACACGTTAAGATAAATTTGTATTGATATGATACAACTTATTGTGTCATGTTTGAAACTAGGCTCAGAAATAAATAAAAAAATTCTATAAATACACATGTTTTTCCATATACTACATTCCATAAGAAAGGACAACATAAACAATCGAACACAAAATTATGTATGAAATGCAGATTTCGGGATGTTCGGTGGTCTGTATAAACTCTTGTGGGTTTATACAATGCAGACTCCTTGGTGCATGGCTGACCACATCCGAGGGTGAAGTCGATCGAACATTCCTGACATCAACCACCGTATATAATAACACATCATGTACGAGGTCGGATATTTTCGGCATGCTTCGGACGCCCACATAAATTACAGGCAGCGTGTACAATTTTGAGGACCCAGTCCACACATATCCCTCCAAAGCAGAACAATACAAAAACCTGTTTTCCTAACATCATCTTACACCGATGCAGAAAATACTTTCTGTTGTTGTATACTTTGTTCTCATTTGAGAACGTAGTATCATTTTCTTGGATTGTACATGGTAGGTGCCGCCGATAAAGCAGAAGACGCTTATTCTTCCGGGACACCTGGTCTTATTCATCATGTACCTTTCCAGAAGGAATCATGTATATAATTCGTTTATTCATATTTGCCCTAGTTTTAATTGGATTATGATTGCGTTGACATGTTGATATTTTCATGTTGTTTGAGTGCAATGATTTTGTATTTCTTTTTCTTTCTGTGTGTACTGATTACGATATCCGACAGAAAGAACAAGCATGCCTCCTATAGTACAGTTCTGCAAAATGAAGCTGCAGGCACATGATCACAGACAAATGTGAGCAAATACGGCTGATTTTCAATAAATACATATATGTTTTGCTGGTCACGTTAACTGCATAGGCCACCATTATGAAGATTGTACGAAAGACATACAAGTGAATAAAACCTTTTAATACAAATTTAGATTTCGATACGGTGGAGCCAGACAATTAATTGAACTCAATCATACAGCTTTTTCGTCCTTCTAGAACTGGTCAGTGATGCTAAGGGCATGAATTCTTCATCTGTCTACAACACTTTGGGTATGCGTGTAAAAGTTGAAGTTGTTGTGGTAATGGATGATTAATTTCATACTAAATTTTATTTCATAAGATTTACAAGTAATCCGACTTTTGACAGAATCCTGACATTTGCACTATAGAGGAAAATAAAAATTACAGTGGGTTTCTGAGGAAAAGAACTTTTGCGAAATTTATAGAACCCAGTTATTTATAGTAATTTTCCCACTGACTTGTGGAATGTCAACAGGAATAAGAGCGTGGTTGCTGGTCGTATCCGGATCTCCACACATAGACCAGTGTATGAGGTTTCCGCCTCTGTTTTCTTGTATATTTAGGTATCGCTTTTGTGCCCTTTCACATTTGAGCTGAGCGATACATTATTTTGTTTAAGCCTGTAAAAGTGTTACTAAAATGTTTGGAAATCATTCAGACGTAGATAAGTTGGATTATTGGAGTGATTTTCTTGTTGAGCAGCTGAGACCAGTTTTAATGATAATTTCAGGCTATTTAGTTCTTGGTACCGTGGGGAACGTGTTTGTTATGTATATTTACTGGTTCGGCAACAAAACATCAGGCGAAGACCGCTTCTTTATACCGTTTCTTGCCTTATTTGATCTTTGTGCAAATGCAGTGTGCTCTGGTTCTGAAATTATAACGGAAGTGAATCCCTTACGTTTTGACAGTGATATCGTGTGCAGACTAATGGCATTGTCAAGCATAGCATTTGTGACTATGTCCTCTCACCTTCTTCTCCTCATCACCATCGACCGCTATCTCAAGATCTGTACACCGTTTAAGTCACAGATGACACTCAGAAGGAAAAAAATCGCTCTTGTTTTCATCGTCTTTGCTGGAACTGTTGTGGCATTGCCTTCTTTAGGATTATACGGGTCCGTGGCCGTGACGATGTGGGAAGGGAACGTTACAGGAAGGCTGTGTATCAATGTCCCGTCAGGAGAGACAAGAATATGGCATCTGACTTACAAAACAGTGATGTTTTTATACGGGTCCGTTCATTTTCTAGCGTTAGTTGTGTTATACATACTAATGTTAAGGTCCATATACATCCAAAGCAGAACACGTCATCGGCTACAATCTTGCCAGTGGCAGCGTCCTACACGTGGGACACAAGTCCGAGAACAAACGAAAATAGTGTCACAATCAGACAAAAGAGCAGGAGAGAACTGTGTTACAGATACACCTGGACACACCTCTTCTTATTCCATAGCGACTATCAGTGACGGGATGATGGTCCCAGGAAATCTCCCGGGAGGTGAAATGGAACCAGTAACTAATAATAGATCCAACTACAGTCTGGACGTGTCTTGTCAGGATGATGGAGGTAGACTGATGGTAAAGAGTGATACAGTAGATACACAAACTAACCAAAACAGAGCATCAGATATTCCAGGATTACAAAAACAGGATGCCAAACTTGTGAAATCTACTAAACGCTTCAAAATCAAGGGTTTGCGACTAACGTTAGTTTTTCTAGTTATCTCTATCGTTTATGCTATAACTATCGGTTTAAAACTTGTTCTAATGACCATTGAATCTGCCAAGGAAAACTTCTGGATTACAATGACTCCGTCGGAATTCGTCTGGTTTAGATTTTTGTACTGTGTCTTTGTAGTCAACTTTATCGTCAATCCGTTTGTATATGGTTTCCTTGATCGAAAATTTCAGCAAATCGTGAGGAAACAGTGTACTTGTAGATGAAAAACTTAAACAATGCTAGCCAGCGAGGAAACGGTGATTTTTTTTAGAGGGAACACTTAAAGAATGACGGTTGGCGAGGAAACGGTATGAAAAATGTAGACACTTTGAAGTAAATAGTGTGCTTGTAGACTGTGATGATAACGTTATGGTTGTAGAGAAAACCCCTTTAACAAGGACCGCGAGGATAATTGGTGCTTGCAGGGCTAAAAAGTGCGAGATATTATGACGTTTAGAGATGAGTGTCGCAGGATGTATCGTCAATGTCAGGTTGAATTCATGGACCAGAGTATATATCGTCCTCAAATTCATCACATCGTAAATTGTTTTGATCAAACATTTGATATCGTATGTGGATTAATTGTAATTATTCTAAACAACGCTAGTAAGTATCATGTACAACATTGTTTACAAAGTTAAAAAAAAACAAGATACTTGTGTATATTCTGAACCGTGTCCAATCTTTGGATAAATTAAAGTGTAACCTGCAAGTTCTATTGCAGCAAAATTAGTTTGCAAAAGAAGAACTCGAAATGACATTTTTGATAAGCCTAGATTTAACGTGTAGATGTGCGTGTTACATTTTGTATATAGGTTTCCTGTAACTCATTTAAAGCGTGTAGGATGATGCACTGGTGGTTTAAAGATTAAAAACATGGATGTAATCAATAAGTATTTTAGAAATGTATTTAATATAAGTTGTGTCAAAAACATAATTAGAGCCCTTGTTCAAATCATTGCTAATTGAATTTCACTGAAAATTAGTTGTACAATGTGTGTCATTTTTGTTGGAACCGCTACGTCTATGACTGGACCGGAAAGTAGTTTAAGATAAACAGAAGATTGAGATGAAGCTAAAAATAAATAGTAGTTTGAGATGAAACTAAAAATAAACAGTAGTTTGAGATAAAGTTTGAAATAAACAAAAGGTTGATATAACGTTTACACAAGAGATCTCAGTGGGATCTTGGCTCCCACCATTATTCAATCTTTATATGCTCTTTGAAAGTTGGATCTTTTCCCTTCTTTTCTCCTCTCTGTTTTTGATCTTATTGATAAGACAGTTGAACATTCCTTTGCAGAAATAGTGATAATAATCTTTACCTGCCAAATCCAATATGGCCGCCTGGCAGCAATTTTTCTTCTTCTGGTCAGTCCCAAAATCAAAGGAACACAAGGAGAGATCAAAGGGAATATACGTATGAAATTTGAGAGATATCCGTTGAGTACTTCTTACGAAATAGCAATAACAATCTATATTAGGCAAAATCGAACATGGTTGCCTGTCGGTCATTTTTTTTTTTTTGCTTTTGCTTTTCTGATCAGTCCCAAACTCAAACAGGCACAACTAGGGACCTGAAGGAACCTATACATGAAATTTGAGAACGAACTAGAGAGAAGATCTCAAGAAATAATGATAACAAACTTTCGAAGTCAAAATCCAAGATGGCCGCTTGTGGGCCATTTTCTTTTACTGATCAGCACCAAAATCAAACATGGCAGAAACAAGGAACAAGGACAGCGTACACGTGAAGTTTGAGAAAGCTCTATGCTATAGTTCCCAAGAAATAGCGATAAAAAACTTCCAAAGTCAAAATCTAAGATGTCCATTTGTCTGTCATTTCGTTTTTATGGTCAGTCCCTAAATCAGATGGGCACAACTAGGGACAAAGGGGAACCTACATTTAAAATTTAAGAAAGATCCAGTGAATACTTTTCAAGGAATAGCAATAACAAACTTTCTAAGTCAAAATCCAAGATGGCCGCCTTTCGGTCATTTTGTTTTTCTGATCAGATCCAAAATCGATGGTCACAACTAGGGACTAAGTGGAACCTACATATAAAATTTGAGAAAGATCTATATAGTAGTTCTTAAAAAATAGCGATAACAAACTTCATTGAAAAGATCCAAGATGACAGCCTGTCGGCCTTTTTGTTTTTTCCATCCGTCCCAAAATCAAACGGGCACAACTAGGGACAAGGAAAACCTACACATGCAATTTGACAAAGATCTATACAGCAGTTCTCAAGAAATAGCAATAACAAACTTTCGAAATCAAAATTCAAGATGTTCATCTGTCAGCCATATTGTTTTTCTCATCAGACCCAAAATCAAACTGGCACAACTAGGGAACAAGGAGAACATATACAAGAGATTTAAGAAAGATCCATCAAGTACGTTTCAAGAAATAGCAATAACAAACTTTAAAAGTTAAAATATAAGATTGCCACCTGTCGGCTTATCTGGTTTTTGATCACACCCAAAATCAAATGGACACAACTAGAGACAAAGGGAAACCTACATATGAAATTTGAGAGAGATCCGTCTCTTCCTTTTCAAGTAATAACGATAACAAACTTCATTTGAAAAAATCCGAGATGGATGCCTATCGGCCATTTTTTTTTATCAGTCCCAAAATCAAAAGGGCACAACTAGGGACCAAGGGGAACCTACATATACAATTTGAGAAAGGTCCATCCAGTACTTCTCAAGAAATAGCGATAACGAAAATTGTTTCCGGAAGGACGGGCCACGGACCACGGACGCAGAGCAATTTGAATAGCCCACCATCTGATGATGGTTGGGTAATACACAGAGGTTTGAGATGAAGTTTTAAAATAGAGTATTTTGGGATAAAGTTTAAAGATATAGAGTAGTTTGAGATCAAGTTTTTAGATAAAAAGTAGTTTGAGATAAAGTACATGTTATTTCTGATGTTTACATCTACGTATAATGGTATTTCATTGACCCAAGTGATATAATAAATATATCTATGAAAAGTTCATCAACAGGTTGGGGGCAATTGTCAGCACTTATAAGCTTTGATGGATTGACAGATGGACGGACATATGGTAATTCAAATGTGAATACACCGATACAAACTTACCGACAGGAGTATAATTGAAGAAAGCAGTATTTTAAATTTCTATGTTTTATATATCTGTTTAGAAATCTGAGACCTGCTTTCTTTTTTCAGGAGCCTCTGTTATTACAGCCCTTGAAGCTGAATAAAATCACAAGGTCCGCCAAGTTTGTATCATGACGTTCAAATGGACAAATGTTATCAGACAGGTCACACCTAGGCCGAATATTCTGTCTCTAAAACAACAGTTTATCGTCTAATTTTCATTATTTTAAATAATCAGCTGATTTGTGTTCCTCATTTTTTTTTATAATTTGGCGTCCAAACCAGCTTATCAACAGGAAAATTAGGAAAGGTTTGTGAAACAAGCATGTGATGATATGACCTTATGCTTGTTCAGAAATATCTAAACATAACATCTGGATCAAGACATTGTCTGTAACTTATTACACAAGCAGCGAGTGTTCTGAAAGACAACATCCAGGTCAGTGAATTAGAAAACATACCGAAGCAACCTGGAAACTCTGACAACAACCTACAAAATGTAGAGACTAAGCTGAATAGAATAAAACCTTTTCGTGGAAACAGAGAGGGACTTATATCAGGACGGCATTAAGGCATGGCACATGAATTTAAGTAAATCTAGGTCGAAAACACAAGTTATAATGACCAAATCATAACTCAGAAATAATAATCCTAAATCTAACCGCAATGAACGCTGAAGTCAGATCCCCACCACCCAACCAGGTCGGACATGTAGGCTACTAATTGATATAAACCGTTTTTGTACTGATCAACACGGATGCACGTGCCCGTGAAATATATGTTCTATTTGTTTTAATCCCGGTGAATTGTTCCATTGACAGTGTGAATCTATGTAGGCAGGGGAGCCTAAATCCTACCAAATAATTTGAAACTTTACAGTTTTACGTTTTACAAAACATTTATACAACAGATGTATATCCAAAACATATAATCGTTTACAACACCGGAAAATCCGGCTAGACTCTCTAAGGTAATTAGTCAGTCGAGCACCTACTTTGGTACCAACCAGTCCAAATGATTCCTATATAGCTACTGTACTGTGTACAGTAGGCTACCGGATGCACGGTATTTTCTGTGTTTTTTTATTGATATATTAACTGATAAAATTCAAACGCTGCGCTCTTTTCTGGTATGACCTAATTCGTATTAATGCAGATTACCAGAGAAATATTAACATTAATTTTCGGACGTACATTGGAAGTACGGAAAGACATACAATGCAAGTAGGGGAAAGCACTTAATGTCTTCTCAAGCTGAGCAAGCGGAATCCGAACGAAAACAATCAGAGTTGAATAGTCTCCCCTGATGGAGTTCTTTTACTTTAAAGTTAGAATTACGTCGCTTCGAGGTTTTCAACCTCTGATGAAAACATTTGGCGCGTGAAACTTCCTTTACAGGATTTTAATGAAGTCAGCGGATACATAGATCGGTGCTAGCAGCAATGGCGAGTGTAAACCTATCAGGTAAAAGTTTATATTAATTAATAGCCGACACATATGATATTTACGTTCCCATTTGTTGATATAGTATGTTTACATGTGACGGGTGGTCTTACTTTCGGTTTCACTTTCTCAGTTGATAACTTACAAATATGTACATACCACAACAGGCCAAAATATATTTCCTAATTTCATAATTTGTGGTAGAGTTTGGAAAATATTTACTCACTTATGTTAAAAGGACAGTTATATTATTCCATGTACACGTAAGGCGCCAGTGTGAAAGAACGATCAATGCACATTTCTGTCAAGTGGCCCGATAGAAATCAAATCTGGGTATCCGCATGGTTCGTAATCCACGGCTTTACTGTAGTACCAATAAGTCAAAGGAGTATGCTCCGTCAGATGGGTGCCAGAGGCCGCATTCAACACTTATGCATAAGCCAGAGTGGTGTGCTCTTTTTGCACGTACATTTTCAACCAAGTGTAGATATCATCATGTTTTACACAAGTACATACTATATAGATAATTACTGACATATGCGCCATGCCACTGTCTTAAACGAGGTGATTCAAACAACATAGAAAATTTACAAATCATGGTGTATGATATTTGTGATATCTGAATTAAATTTAATATGCATTTGAGACACATGCAAAAATGGAGAATACATACATTACATTTGTTGGCTTTACACATGTATTGACATGATATGAGGTCTAATGAAACTGATAGGCAACACAATTCTGACAGAATTTTTGATTAAGGAGAAGCTGGTAACCCATTTAATACATACATGATATCATTTCCTGACTTTCATCACATGTAGATTAGATTGTATCTGTTAAATTCTTTACTAATGATGTATATATGTAGACATAAATGTGGCATTCAATTATGCCTTAGAAACTTAATTTTCATATGAATTTTTTATATATCAACTTGAAGATTCTGACAGTGAAGATGAGAGACCAATGCTGGGTGGTAATTCATTTGTCTCATCGAAAAAACACAAAATGGAAGACATGGGAATATTTCATGCAGAAGGACCTCCTCAGAAAAAAACTAAAAAAGACAAAGGCAGTAGCTACACAGAAAAAGCTAAAAGGATGATGGTGAGCAAATGTCATAAGAAAGGAAAATTCTTCAGAATTTCTATTGATTTATGTAGACAGAGTGTCTGAATACTTACAGTGTTTCGTTCATCTTAAAGAATGGTTATCATCACATTTCCTTGTACAGAAACTTGTTGGTCTAGTTTCTATTCCACAATTTTTATATTATACTCAGTGCATACTTATTAAGAGCCTCACCACTACTTGACAGGGTACATAAGAAAAAGGACAAAAATGTCAATTGTGAAAAGAAAAAAATAGGAGTGAAAAAATATTGATACCAAGATACTGTACTTGTATAAGATACATACATGAATATGTGTACAAAGGTGTCTGTTTTAGTATAATTGTTGATTACATTTCAGCTCAAGTAAAAGAAATATTTCTTTTTAATTTTAGGCATTGATGGGATACCAAGCAGGAAAAGGTTTGGGTAAAAATGAACAGGGTAGAACAGAAATCGTAGAGGCATCTAAACAAAAGGGTCGCAGAGGTTTGGGTCTCCATCTTGCAGCTCTTGAGGCCGATGAGAATGCAGAGTGGGACTTTGAGGCAGAATCTGTGAGTTTAAGTGTCAAAATCTGTCTACAATTGTTAGTCAATATATACATAATATAACATGTCAGGTTAAGTAATTGTGAAACAAATGAGTTTTTTCTGCTCTATATGTAGATAACTATAGAGGAAACAGCTGACTGGCTCCCACGTTGTGAACAGGCAGTACCCGACATTGAGACACTGAGAGACTGGAAAGTTATTGGTCCTGTAAGTATAAGATATTGACTTATTTTTAAAATTGGATAGACTATCATGTGTATAATTTTAAAACTTTATCAAATGTTATATAGGCTTGTATGTATATTGGAAGTTTTACCTATTCAGATGATAATCAAGAATATTGTACAGATAATTTCTGGAAGATTAAGTTAACATGATTGCTCAAGTCACCCACAAAGTTTCTAGATATTTTACTGAAGATCTACTCATCTATTCAAAAAAGAAATCATGGCATACGTAACTGATAATAACTTGTTCTGATAGTGAGTTTATTTTTGTATGTACTTGTCTCTTTCAGATATTCATCAGTTGATTTTATTGATTTGTGACAGTAAATAATACATTGACTTTAAATAATATTTGTTTTAAACATTTTCTTTCATAGAAAAAGCGAACCATTGATGATGAAACAAAGTTTTGTGATGAAGATGTTCTGAGAGGTATTTTGAATAGCAAGGTGGGTAGTTACAAAATGTAATTATGTATGAACTGTATTTAAACCATGGTTGAATTTAATTTCTAATCATTTGGCAATAGTTGGACCATTGTTGGCATAATTATCATCAAATGAAATAATTCAATATATAAAGTACAGCTATCCCAGAAAGGTGTAATGGGTATTGGGTGTAAACATGTACTTTGGCTGACATTTAGTGTACCTTTTACATTGTCCAATGTAATACTCATTTATTACAGTTGCAGTTCAGCTGATGAAGGTGATGTTGTTATGCACAACATATTTTCTCTTGCATGTAATTTATATGAGTTATCTCCCTTATGTTAATGATGCAGAACTTTAATTTTTATTTAAGTGTTCTCTCCCAAGATTATCATTCCAAAAAAAAAGTTATTTATTGATATTGGTAAAGAATTGTGTGAGTATTTTGTCAGTCAAATTTAAGATGCCTAGGTTCTGATGTACATTCTGTCTACATATTCTTACATTTGATGGAAAGGAAGTGGGTCTATTCATCAGTTTAGTACTTCTACTAGTGTGTAATTTATATTGACAGTCTGTGTTTGATGAACTTGAACCAGAGGAGATGAGGAGAGCCAGAACCAAGTCCAACCCATATGAAACAATAAGAGGAGTGTTCTTCCAGAACCGGTTAGTAATGTATCTGAATCTTGTAAGAAATTAAATGTCAGCTGATGTTCTGTATACACAAAAAGTTCTGTTAAAATCATAAACCTTGGAGGCCAATAAGTTTGTATGTATGGAGGATTTAGCAGATTTTCATTATTGCTGAATTATCACTTGGTTAGTTAGATTAATACTATATCATGCAAGATTTTCATGTTAAAGTTACAAAGAGGAATCCTTTGTCCTGTTGAATTATCTGATCGTCAGGTCTTTTTTAGAATAATCATCAGATAATGGGCTGATCATACTGTCCTTTATCCTTGGTCCATCTTCCATCCATCATCTGTCATTTGTCCTTCTGTTCTTCATAAACAAATCTTATTAATGCTATTTCTTTAGTACTGAATAAATAATTCTCAAATTATTGCTACTTTTAGTATTTCTTCTGAATGGACATTCTCGAGTTTGATACATAGGTTTCCATTGGCTTCAGCCCTTGTTTTGCCAGATCAGAAAAAAGGAAATGGCAGACAGGTTCCCGTCAGTTTCAGTCCTTTTGTGCCTGATCAGAAAAAAAGAAATGGCAGACAGGTTCCCGTCAGTTTCAGTCCTTTAGTGCCTGATCAGAAAAAAAGAAATGGCAGACAGGTTCCCGTCAGTTTCAGTCCTTTAGTGCCAGATCAGAAAAAAGGAAATGGCAGACAGGTTCCCGTCAGTTTCAGTCCTTTTGTGCCTGATCAGAAAAAAAGAAATGGCAGACAGGTTCCCGTCAGTTTCAGTCCTTTAGTGCCTGATCAGAAAAAAAGAAATGGCAGACAGTTTCCCGTCAGTTTCAGTCCTTTAGTGCCTGATCAGAAAAAAAGAAATGGCAGACAGGTTCCCGTCAGCATCAGTCCTTTAGTGCCTGATCAGAAAAAAACAAATGGCAGACATGTCTCCCTTGTTTTTTGATGCTTCCTTATGATGGATTTACCTGTCAATACAACACATCTATGTAAATAATAGAAAAGGAGGGAAAAGATCCAACTTAAAAAGAAGTAATGTAGACCATATCTCTCAGGGATCTCTTGTTTGTTAAAAGTGTTTTTATTGGGTGTAAATTACTGTATTTTAATTGTCAACATGATATCAGGTCTCCTTACTTCAGAGGTCTTCCATGTTTTCATCCATTACGGTTCCTCTTGGATTCTGTGTAATTCTTTAAACATTGGTTCATACTGAAGTTGATTTTATATATAATACAGTACAGCTGTTATCAGAAATATTATACCACTGCTTCAGTTTGTCATAAGAACATGTGATATAAGTTTAATAGACAACAATAATCTATACTAAACGTTTCCTCTACATTTTAGGTATGCTGATATATATGTGTTTAACATATCGTCTTGTATAATTCATCATTGTAATAACATGGTAATATTTTGTATGTTTCAGGGCAGCTATGAAGATGGCAAACATGGATGCTGTACTGGATTTTATGTTTACAAAACCTGAAACAGTAGACGGGGTGAGAGACAGATATTTGTTAGTTTATAAATCCTGAGACAGTAGAAGGGGTGAGAGTCAGGTGTTTGTTAGTTTATAAATCCTGAGACAGTAGAAGGGGTGAGAGTCAGGTGTTTGTTAGTTTATAAATCCTGAGACAGTAGAAGGGGTGAGAGTCAGGTGTTTGTTAGTTTATAAAGCTTGAGACAGTAGAAGGGGTGAGAGTCAGGTGTTTGTTAGTTTATAAATCCTGAGACAGTAGAAGGGGTGAGAGTCAGGTGTTTGTTAGTTTATAAAGCTTGAGACAGTAGAAGGGGTGAGAGTCAGGTGTTTGTTAGTTTATAAAGCTTGAGACAGTAGAAGGGGTGAGAGTCAGGTGTTTGTTAGTTTATAAAGCTTGAGACAGTAGAAGGGGTGAGAGTTAGGTGTTTGTTAGTTTATAAAGCTTGAGACAGTAGAAGGGGTGAGAGTCAGGTGTTTGTTAGTTTATAAATCCTGAGACAGTAGAAGGGGTGAGAGTCAGGTGTTTGTTGGTTTATAAAGCTTGAGACAGTAGAAGGGTGAGAGTCAGATATTTGTTAGTTTATAAATCCTGAGACAAAAGAAGTGGTGAAAGACAGATATTTGTTAGTTCGTGAAACGTGGAACAGAGAAATGGTGAGAGTCAGATATTTGTTATTTGCATGAACATGTGTAATTTAGTCTTATATCATTAGAAGACCAACTTTGTATGGACAGCAGAACTCTGTCATTAAATCTGCTACACATTTGTATATTGTTAGTCATAGATAAATTGTTTCAATATTCCTAGAAATCTCTGATCAACCCTGGTGAGCTGCTGTACTTTGCAGACATCTGTGCAGGACCTGGAGGATTCAGTGAGTACATTCTCTGGAGGACTAAAGGGGATGCTAAAGGCTTTGGAATGACCCTTAAAGGCGCCTGTGACTTTAAGTTAGAAGAGTTCTTTGCTGGTCCAGCTGAGATGTTTGAACCTCACTATGGTAAATATATCATATTTTAATGACATATCTTCAATAGGGTATTTTTAAAGTTGCAGCTCACTTTTCATATTAAATAGTAAGCAAAAAAACTTCTGACACAAACTATCAAAAGTAATGTCCATAAAATAATGCAATTTCTGTCACATGGCTACTTTTATTGGTTGTTAGGTGTAGGAGGGATGGAAGGAGATGGTGACATTTTCAACCCAGCTAATCAGGCAGAATTCATCAAGTTTGTACATGAGAGCACAGAGGGACTAGGCGTCCATTTTGTCATGGCAGATGGAGTAAGTTTTTTAATCTACAATAGTGTACATTTCTTTGATATAGATCATTTGTAAAATTAATCTTTAAATTGACATTATCCTAAAATCTTATCACTTAAATGTTTCAAAACTTTTCTAAAGAAACTCACCAATTAGCTTGAAATCTTCACCAGTAATACAGTGATGTTGATCATATTGATGTTTTATTAAAGAATATTCAGGATGTGGAAATTTGTTATGGAAAGTGAAAGAAATGAACAATTAAGTGAGTTGTGTTATTTCAGGGTTTTTCAGTGGAGGGACAAGAAAACATACAGGAAATTCTGTCAAAGCAGTTGTATTTATGTCAGTTCCTAGTGGCAATATCAATCCTTAGAACAGGTAAGTGTTGTGATAGTACATCACTAGATAACACTATACAGAAATACTCAAAGGATGACTGTTTCATGTCTCAAAATTTTAATTGAAAATAAGATTTCATATTCTGTAAGAGAGTCAGTATTTTTGGTAGTGACAGTAAAAATGATTATTGTTTTTGATGGTGTTTAACACAAGTTTTGATGCTATGCTCGCCTTTAAATCTGGCCATCTCCACAACAATTTTAATGTACAAGTTCTGATTATGCTGTCAAATGTATTGTCTCAAATTATTCCCTGACATAAAGAGACACATCGAATAAACACAGACAGTAAAATTGGAAAGAAGGAGATATTCGCCTTTTGCACTAATTACATTGGGACGTGGGAGCTAAAACATGCCTATAGAGTCTCTGCTACAATCATTCAGTGAATGAGAGTTCCATCTTAACCTAGAATGAGATGATAGAAATTTAAACAATTGTTTAACCTCCATGTAAAAATATGGAATTCTCATTAATTTTTAAATGTTTTAAGTTTTGGTAGGTTTATACAATAAAAGTTGTTACAATATTAATATTGATTATAGTGAATGTCTATAGATATGGATGTGATTTTCATAAAAAATGACAACAATTATGAATTTATTAACTAGTAGTTACTCTCAATGCATTCCAGGTGGACACTTTGTGTGTAAGCTGTTTGACCTGTTTACCCCCTTTAGTATGGGGTTGGTATATTTGATGTATCGTATATTTGACCGTGTGTCAATCTTTAAACCTGTCACCAGCAGACCAGCCAACTCAGAAAGGTAAGTAGAAAAATTAAATGTAAGCCATGTTTGAGAGGACCGTGGAATCACCAAAATAAAACAGGGTGTCCACCACACACCTTTGCCAAGTCGTAGATCCTTCTGATTTTAAATGCTCTCAGGCTCCTGCCCTTCTACAGTCACTGAAATCTTTGGAGCTTTTAGATCATACCCAGTTTATGGTGTTGAATTAATGTGATGAAGTTTGAATAACATAGTATTTGTTAAAGTCAGTCAACATGACATGTTTCGGTACATTGTATGAGATGTTTTAGTTACAGTGTTTGGCATTATGTAGATACAATGTATTACATATTATAAGTACAATGTATGAAATGTTTGTGGTACAATGTATGTTTTTTTGTATGACTTGTTTTAGGTACAATGTATGACATATTTTAGGTACAATGTATGACATGTTTTAGGTACAATGTATGACATGTTTTAGGTACAATGTATGACATGTTTTAGGTACAATGTATGACATGTTTTAGGTACAATGTATGACTTGTTTTAGGTACAATGTATGACATATTTTTGGTGCAATGTATGACTTGTTTTAGGTACAATGTATGACATATTTTAGTTACAATTTATGACTTGTTTTAGGTACAATGTATGACATATTTTAGGTACAATGTATGACATGTTTTAGGTACAATGTATGACATGTTTTAGGTACAATGTATGACATGTTTTAGGTACAATGTGTGACTTGTTTAGGTACAATGTATGACATGTTTTAGGTACAATGTATGACATGTTTAGGTACAATGTATGACTTGTTTTAGGTACAATGTATGACTTGTTTAGGTACAATGTATGACATGTTTTAGGTACAATGTATGACATGTTTTAGGTACAATGTATGACTTGTTTAGGTACAATGTATGACATGTTTTAGGTACAATGTATGACATGTTTTAGGTACAATGTATGACTTGTTTTAGGTACAATGTATGACTTGTTTAGGTACAATGTATGACATGTTTTAGGTACAATGTATGACATGTTTTAGGTACAATGTATGACATGTTTTAGGTACTATGTATGACTTGTTTTAGGTACAATGTATGACTTGTTTTAGGTACAATGTATGACATGTTTTAGGTACAATGTATGACTTGTTTTAGGTACAATGTATGACATGTTTTAGGTACAATGTATGACTTGTTTTAGGTACAATGTATGACTTGTTTTAGGTACAATGTATGACTTGTTTTAGGTACAATGTATGACATGTTTTAGATACAATGTATGACTTGTTTTTAGGTACAATGTATGACATCTTTTAGGTACAATGTATGACTTGTTTTAGGTACAATGTATGACATATTTTAGGTACAATGTATGACATGTTTTAGGTACAATATATGACTTGTTTTAGGTACATTGTATGCCGGAACCTGAAAGAGGACCGAGAACCTGTTCGGCAATACATGCATGAGATCAACCTTGACCTTAACAAGTTGATGTCATCCTTGTCAGTGGCGGATGTTAATGAGATTGTACCAGATTCAGTACTGGAGGAGGATGCGGAGTTTTTCCAGTACATGTATGAATCCAATGTGCTGTAAGTATATTACTTGATACGCCAAATTTTGTTGGTTCACCACAGATTATGACCAATGCTTCTATTTCACAGGTATAACCTTTTTGTGAGGATGTAGGTATCATTTGCTGAACAGAGTAGATCAGGAATCTCAAGATAGGGTCTCCATTCCTCCCTCCTTCCCTCCCTTCATCACCCCCGCTTAATATCTCTGTATGTGCTACACTGTTGATAAAGCTACAACTGACATTGTATAGAGCTGTACTACTGACTGTTTGTTTCAGATGCTGCATTTGGCCTACATTTTATGCTGCAATATTTCATGTTTTAGAGAATTTTTTTGTAATACTGTACAAACTGAAGTCTACATAGTGGTTACCATATTGTAAGAAAATTGTGAGGCTTAAATTAAAATGTGGCTAATTTGTAGATAAAATAGAAAAAAAACCAATAACACCTGGCTCTGTGACCTAAGTATTGTAGTGACTTTTAACCCAGAATATATTATATATGTACTAACTAACCTACCTATATTTCTAACCGTATTGAGTTTGTCAGTATGGGGACAACTTATTGCAAGTTGTCATAGCCTGAACAGAAGAATTTGTCCAGTGAGAAAAAAGGCTGGATTAAACACCTGGTTTAAAGAGCACATTGTAATTGACTTTACAAAGAAGTATTTGTAGATTTGTAAAAGAAATTTAAAAAATGAAAAAAAAAAAATGATATTAGATGGTTTAGTGTACATATTGTATACATTTGTGTTTAGACTTGGTAGAGTACAGATCACAAGCCTGAGGAAGATACAGACATTTACACAGAACAGGTAAAACATGTTTTAATATATGATGTAATGATGTGATGATTGGTATCAACACCTGTTTTCAGCTCTCTATACTGGAACCATACGTATTATAACTCAAACAGATCTTAGTGAATTTCTTCTCTGTATATTTCTTTTTAAATAAATTATTTGTTGATATGAGAACCTCATTAATGCCCAGTGCATACATACATGTACATATGTTACATTATTGTTAATTGTGTAACAATAGCCAAAAATAACAATAAATCAACACAATGCATCATATACAGTAATGTTGTTGATTCGAAGGTTCCTTATATTAATTACTTGTCGTAATTGTACCTAAGTTTGATATATATTGAAATCAATCAATAAATCAATAAATCAATCAATAAATCAATCAATCAATCAAATCAATCAATCAATCAATCAATCAATCAATCAATGCATGCATGCATACATACATACACACGCACATACATACTTACATACATACATTTGTCTATTTTAGACTAGATCATACAGCTATACAATGTCAACATGTAAAAGATGTTTCTGAAATATTTGTTTTTTGACAAAGCCATCATAAACTGTATTTTTAATCATTTAAGTGCAAAATTGTGACGGTGATGTGTGCTTTGGTAGAATTTCCGTGATGGTATTTGAATTTGTTATAATAATATTCCTGTTTGATTGTATCTAAGATTGTCAGCTGTGATATTTCAGTGATCTGTATGAGGGACGTCAATCAGACATTCGACGGCAGTGTTTGGAGCGCTGGGAGGTATGTTTCTATATCACCCTCATAATACACAAGTTAACATTTAACATATTCATCACTTCTGAATCAATATCTAGTTATAATTTCTAATACCAGATGTAGTTTTAACTCCTGGTACCAGTGTAGTTTTAACTCCTGGTACCAATGTAGCGATAACTCCTGAAACAATATCTTGTTTTAACTCCTGGTTCCAGTGTAGTTATAACTCCTGGTTCCAGTGTAGTTATAAGTCCTGGTACCAGTGTAGTTATAAGTCCTGGTACCAGTGTAGTTATAAGTCCTGGTACCAGTGTAGTTATAAATCCTGGTACCAGATGTGCTTATTACTGCTTGTACCAGATCTACTTATAATTTCTGAAATCAGATTTAGTTATAACTCCTTAAACCATATCTAGTTATAACTCCTTAAACCATATCTAGTTATAACTCCTTAAACCATATCTAGTTATAACTCCTTAAACCATATCTAGTTATAACTCCTTAAACCAGATCTAGTTATAACTCCTTAAACCATATCTAGTTATAACTCCTTAAACCAGATCTAGTTATAACTCCTTAAACCATATCTAGTTATAACTCCTTAAACCATATCTAGTTATAACTCCTTAAACCAGATCTAGTTATAACTCCTTAAACCATATCTAGTTATAACTCCTTAAACCATATCTAGTTTTAACTCCTGAAACCATATATTGATAACTTTTGAAAGTAGATCAAGAATGTTATGATATCTATAATATATTTATGATAATGTAATTAAAAATAAGGACTTTCATTTTATCACATTTCATGAATTTCTCACATGAATTTCAAATTAGTAATAAACAAAACAGTTCTGAAGTAAACATCTTGATGGACACAATCTGTCATGTATATATGTGTATGAAGTTTTAGGAAATGTCCTTAGATATATACTTTTAAGTATTGGTTAAAACTTAAACTGAATCTACTTGTAAATGATGATCACTGGCATTGCTTTTTTTATTCTCTCTCACACAGGTACCTGATGAAGTCAGATCAGCTCCGAGTAAAGAGGACCCCTACAGAAAGTTTCAGGAAATCACACAGGTAAAACTTTGACATAAACTTTCAGGAATTCCTGCTAGTTTCACTTAAATGGAAGCATTCAACAGGAAATTGCACAGACAAAACCTCAATTAGAAAAGTTAAAGAAATCACACAGGTCACTCTTACCTACGTCTTAACCTTAAACATACATCGAATAAAAAGTTTGTACGGGTTTGATCTCCTACACTACTGGTAATTAGAACATCATACATTGGTTATTGGTTTATCTTGGTGAAGTGGTGTTTCATATGTGGATTGTCTAACCTACATTTTGACCTTTGACCTTGAAAGAGAAGGTTCGTTCGAGCTGTGTCTCTTACGCTACTAGTCATCGGATTTTCAGATTAGTGTATGCGTTCACCTCTGTGAGCATTTGTGTTGGTAGGGGACTGTAATTCACAATATTCTCTTGTTTGTTTAAAGGATGAAGATGAAGATTTCTTCGAGCGTTCGGTCACCCACCTAACACATGAAAGTCTGGCAGCTATAAAAACACCTTATGACTACAGATGTTATGTGGTTGGAGGACTAGAGAGGAAGCGATGGTATATATTAGGGCTAGGGGTACGTATTTGTGTTATTAGCACACACTGGTTTGTGGCAGTCAGCATGATTTTGTAAGGTAAATGTTATTTCACTTGTGTACAAACAATTTTTATGTTGCAACTCAATGACAAGGATACTTTGTTGTTACAGAGGTCCCATGTGTTCAAATGGGATGGAAACCCTAAAACTAAATGGAGGAAGATGGAAGAAAATATGAGAATTGAGCTTCCTTACAAGACTCTCATTGAAGTAGAGTTTGTACAGGAGTTAAAAGGGGAGGTAAGTTGATCTGACTGACATTATTTGGTCAGAAAAACTTATCACTTTACAGATAAAGTTGAGTAAAAAGTGAGTTTTACTTAAAATCTTCTTTTATGCAAGTCTAAAGTACAACCTTGATTATCTGAGATGTGTTTTTTATCAAACTGACGTACTTAGGATTTTCTTTATATGCAGAAGATCAAATCATTTTTCAGTAAATCAGTTGATGTACTAGAGTATAGAGTGAATTGGTAAAGGATATGGTACAAAAACCTGTACTGTAAAACGTATAAGACTCCAGTATAAAGATTGTTCTATATTTAGCTGTTTAAGAGTAAGAGTGATAGATTTACATGTATATAGCTGGATCACTTAAGCATATGTGACCTTTGACCTTGCCAGGGTATGGGGCAGAAGAGACTGATGACACTTCATGCACTAGATGCCTTGTTTCTGTATGGGAAGGATGTTAGGAACTTGCACTTCAATGAGCGGTATGTAAACTCCATGACATTAATTTATCACTGCAACCCATGTGATTGTTTATGTAATAACGATATGGAAATTTGACCATTAATTCTTTGGCTGTATGCTCATATGTATCGCTCTGCACTGTTTGAAATTACAGAAAGGTTTGTTGTAATTTGTATTCCACAGAATGGAAAAGCTGAAGAAATTTGTGAAGTCCATCAACAAACCTACAAGGTCAGACCTGGTCCAGATTGTGGTGCCCAACATCTTCAGACTAGAACACATTGAACAGATATTTGAAAGGTGAAATTTGATACCTAAATTTATTGTGTTATCTGATGCTGAGTTTTAATTTATTGCCAGTTGATCTATATTTTATCCAGTACATATATATGTATAAGTTGTAAAGTTATGAAGAAAATACATAGATACACTGTGAAAAATACTGCTCATTTTGGAGTTGCTTGTATTCTGTTTTCCCACGATCCATGAAGAGATTCTGAAACAACCTTGTCTTAATAACATGTAGATTAGCCATGAAGAAGGTGAAGGGCTCGAGTCAGCCCAGACTGTGTTACTCTCCTCCGGACAGACAAGATGGCCGAAGTTTTCTACCTACAGGTGTCTGCTTTGTCAAGACTTGTAAAGGTAGGTAGTTAACGAAGAAAACATGGCTTCGTCAAACTTGACAGATGATTGCTTTGAGTTGACCACACATACTTTACTTTCTGTTTATAGATCACAAGGACTTTACGTCTGTTTATAGATCACGAGGACTTTATGTTCTGTTTTATAGACCACAAGGACTTTATGTTCTGTTTTATAGATCACAAGGACTTTATGTTCTGTTTTATAGATCACAAAGACTTTACTTTCTTTTTATAGATCACAAGGACTTTACTTTCTGTTTATAGACCACAAGGATTTATGTTCTGTTTTATAGATCACAAGGACTTTATGTTCTGTTTTATAGATCACAAAGACTTTACTTTCTTTTTATAGATCACAAGGACTTTATGTTCTGTTTTATAGATCACAAGGACTTTACTTTCTTTTTATAGATCACAAGGACTTTACGTCTGTATATAGATCACAAGGACTTTACGTCTGTTTATAGATCACATGTACTTTACGTTCTGTTTATAGATCACAAGGACTACTTTTTTCATAGATTATAAGGACTTTACATCCTGTTTATAGATCACAAGGACTTCAAGTTCTGTTTACAGATCACATGTACTTTACTTTCTGTTTTATAGATCACAAGGACTTTACATTTTTTTATAGATTATAAGGACTTTACATCCTCTTTACAGATCATACTTTACTTTCTGTTTATAGATCCATGGACAATAGCTCTAAGTAGATCACAAGGAAGGAAATATTTCTATAATCTTCTCACCAAAGAATCAAAGTTTGAAATTCCAAGAGAAAGCATAGCCTCTGTGAGGTAAGTGAATTTCTATGAAGCTGTAAACAGCACGTTTAATCTTCTGATCCTTACAGCATTGTTTTATATATATGTGTCTGTATAAGACACCTTGTGTAAATAACAGGGCCATGATATAAACCTCTTCAATTTTGAAACATGTAATGTGTAAGTGTCCTCCATTAAATACAAAATTATCATTATTTCTGTGAATATTGAATGGTATTTACAAAAAGTTTTCACTTAAATGGATACAATGTATAGTTTATCGAGACTTATTACAGTGTAGTATTCACTGAAGATTCCTGTAATGTAAACATATTCCAGATGTTGAACACAACAGAGCGATCTTCGGATCAGTTGATTTGTGATCCTACATTTTGGATGTTTGATGTTCTCTGAGCAATTCTTTAGCATACTTACACAGGGGCACCAAGTCTTACGGTGCTGTTTAGTTTACATTGTATTTATGTGTAAGCTGGTATGTGATTGATCTGCAGGGACACCAAGCTGAACACATGGTGGTGGGTATGGGAGGAGGGAGTGAAGATCCATGACAGCCAGTCGTTTTATCCACATGCAGACAAGGTGTCAAAGGAAGAACTTGTCAATGTCATCCACGGACTATTAGAGAGACTAACTGGTCATCGATGATCCATCCAACGGTCAGAGCTGACAACTGAACATGAATGGTAAAACATTCACTGGACCGTGCTGAAAACTAGCCAGCCCAGTGCTTACAGATGACCAGCCATGGGAGCACATGCATAAAATCTGAAATGAATACTCATTTGGGGAGAAACTGTACTCATTCATTAGGAACCTGTTAGGTCAGACGAAATGTGTCAGTGCTACATGCTGTGAATATCAAATACATTGGTTTGGTGTAGAAACTTTACTTTTTATCAGTAATTTTATTTTAAAACTTTGAAACATGATTAGGTACATATTTAGTTCTGTAGGCAGGTTATTTATGATTATGGAGGTATTTTATGATTATATCGGTATATGTGTGACCACGGAAGGCATTAAATGATATTGTCTTCAATCGGTAGCTCTGTGGCAACAGACTTAGTTAAAAGATAACATAACTTTACATGTGCAGCTGTAGACTTGTCACAAGATATCGGTATAATGAAGCTCCTCATGAAGCTGGATGAATGTAGCTTTACATTTAGATAGTAAATCATACAGTGTTAGACATTACATGTATATGTAGTTCCATACCAGTAGGAATACAAACGTTGTTCGGAGGATGACCAATGTCCGATTTTTGTAATTGTTAGCGGATATAGCTTCTTAACTTGTCTTCAGATATTATTAGATGGCTTAGGAGTGAATTCCTAAGTTATGAGGTGATCACGTAGCTGTAAGACTGCTACATAGACACAATTAGGTGGCACCACGGTTGTAACGCTAAGGATGTCGTTAGGTGGTCCTAAAGCAGAGACTGCAGAGGACATTGGAAGGCAGCTATAATGCTCTGTGTCAATGTCATTAGAAACTAGGAGACTGCTGACGTCATTATAATGTGGTCTTACAGCTGCAGAAGTGTTAGCATCGCTAGAAGGTGGTCCTAAAGCTGTGGGACTGTTGACATCATAAGAAGGTAGTCCTAAAGCTGTCAGACTGTTGACATCGTTAGAAGGTGGTCCTAAAGCTGTAAGACTGTTGACATCGTTAGAAGGTGGTCCTAAAATTGTAAGACTGTTGACATCGTTAGAATGTGGTCCTAAAACTGTAAGACTATTGACATCGTTAGAAGGTGGTCCTAAAACTGTAAGACTGTTGACATCGTTAGAAGGTGGTCCTAAAATTGTAAGACTGTTGACATCGTTAGAAGGTGGTCCTGAAGATGAGGGACTGTTGACATCATTTGAAGTTGGTCCTAAAGATGAAGGAATACTTACATCGGTAGAAGCAGGTTCTGAATTGGAGACTGCAGACAACGTTGATAGTCCTCTAACCGTTGAACTGCTATGATTGTTAGAAGATGGTCCTAAATCTGAGACTGCAGATGTTGTTAGATTGCCCTAAAGTTTTGGGACAGTAGACGGATTTCGATTGTCCTTAAGTCATCGTCGTTTAAAGTTTATCCTAAAGCTGTCAGACTGTTGACACAAGTCTCAATGAACAATTTCATAAACTACGACAAATCTCAATGAACAATTTCTATCCTAAGTAAATCGTTCACATTCTCGCCAACCGGGTATTTTGTTTCTACAGATTCAGCGCACCTGTCAACAACATTATAATTCATACTCAAGATTGGTTAAATGAGGGTGAATTAAAAACGAACAAAAGACCAAAGCATCACATGTTACGGAAGGTAAAGCGTCTTCTGCTTCATTGACGTTGTGTTGAGATTCTAAAGCTGTGAGACTATGGACGACATTAGAAAGCTACCCTAAAGCTAGGAGACTGTTCGTGACATTAGAATGTGGTCCTGAATCTGTGAGACTTCGGACGTCATTAAAAAGTTATCCTGAAGCTTTTGAATTGTGACTGTGGTCAGGTAACTTTGTAGTTGAGATTGCGAACGTTTTAAGAAGGCATCCTAAAGCTGTGAAACTGTGAACGATATCAGAATGTGTCCTGATTCTGTGAGACTACCGACGTAATTAAAATGTGATCCTAAAGCGTTGAGACTGCAGATATTGTTAGAAGGCAGTCCTAAAGTTATGAGAATGCGGATGTGGTTACAGATACCAAATATAGCTTCCTAGTTGTGTAAGTTTGCAAATAATTTTAGATGACCCATAGTTGTGAGAATGTGGTCTTGTTTTTGACTGAAAAATAGATGTCTAAGAAGAGAGGAAATAATATGAGTGCGTGTGGATATCAGAAAAAATAAAGCAACAATTGAAATATGATCTCCTTTAATACATTTAGCTTGAGTTTTAAAATAAATGAAATGTTAAATTCTTCATCGGGCTTCATTAGTTTTTTTTGCATCTCATTTGTCAGCGCGACTCATCAAAACACATTAACAAGTGTATCATAGTATTATCTCATTTGACATGTTTTAAGTATGATGGCCAATCGAGTTTAACCACATTGCAACCCTCACTACCTTTCAGAACATAAAAAAGAAGTACCATGTGTGAACATAGAACTAGGTTTACAACTACACATTCGGTACTAGAAAACGTGTTGTTTGTCATGTGTTTTTTTCACGGAAATCTTGATACTGGGACCGTTTCATTAAATGATCGATAACGTGAAGACTTGGTAATATCTATGTTAGCTATGCTACATAAATGTCTTTACAAGATATATATTGTGTATTAAGTATCGTCGAAAAAAGGCAGAACATAAATACGCACAATAGGAATGCTGGTAATTATAACAGTTTAAAGCACTTTAATATCAAATCAAATGCAACTTGAACATGTGAAAACCATTGGTTAGTGAAACAGGTGTGTTTCTATCATCATACGAGCTAAGACTGTCTCTGTTGACTTCGTTGTAGGTAAAGATGGAGATAAACGGATGATAAACAAGACATCAGTATATTATTAGAGTTTTGATTTCAGCTCGTCGATAAATTCATCCTCGTATTAAGATAAAAACAAATCAGCAAGGAAAGGGAAATATTGACATATTGAAGTCCCTATGGATATGTGAACAGACTGTTAGATGATCGCCCAACTCAACAAAGATATTATCAGCCAGAAACTCAAGTCATATTTTGCTGTGGCGTACTTTTCGGTAGTAACCAAAAAGGTACAGTGTAGTAGGGGCAAGCCAACATTAATTATAATCAACGTATTTGTCTTTTGACGATGTCGATACGATTTATAGTGCGTTTAGAAATACAATCAAGATCTTTGGATGAAAGAACAAAACTTTGAACGATGTAGGTACGATTTCCAGTCTGTTTAGAAATACAGATCTTTGGGCGATGTAGGTACGATTCCCAGTGTGTTTAGAAATACAGATCTTTGGGCGATGTAGGTACGATTTCCAATGTGTTTAGAAATACAGATCTTTGCTCGATGTAGGTACGATTTCTAGTGTGTTTAGAAATACAGATCTTTGGACGATGAAGGCACGATTTCTAATGTATTTAGAAATACATATCTTTGGATGATGTAGGTACGATTTCCAATGTGTTTAGAAATATAGATACATTATGTATCCAAAGCTACGTGCCGGTCATGTTGCTGGTCATGTGGTGATATTTAATATGGTAGAAACCGAAACAGCTGTTAGTGATAATAAACAAACATAACAACTGAAGGGACAATACAAAAATCTTTGTTTATTGGTATAACCAAAGAACCGATCGAATGATAAGTATCAACACACAACAAGAAAAAAATTATATGATGAATACAACATGAACGAATCAAAAGACAACCCAATATTTCTCGTTATCATTAACTACCACAAGTCTTAATGAACAAATTTCATAAACTACCACAAATCTCAATGAACAATTTCTATCCTAAGTAAATCGTTCACATTCTCGCCAACCGGGTATTTTGTTTCTACAGATTCAGCGCACCTGTCAACAACATTATAATTCAAACTCGAGATTGGTTAAATGAGAGTGAATTAAAAACGAATAAAAGACCAAAACATCACATGTTACGGAATGTAAAGCGTCGTCTGCTTTATTGACGAAAGCCACCATGGAACACATCTAACTGTCACAGTTTTTATCAACAAATCTCTCCAGACACTGCGGTATAACGCCGTTTTGGCTCCGTTAGATTAAGAAATGAAATATTCACTACAAATCGATTATTGAACTGGTATTTCAGATAAAATGTATCCCTGTGTGACAGCTGAAATCGAGGACACATTAAAACATATCCGACCACATCAGTAATAGGAGATGGTATCTTGCATGGTTCTATTTTTGTCGTGAACAGAAACATATGGGAGTGCCAAAGTTTTCCTCATAAACCACTACAATGGTTATGTACAATGAAATTTTCTTGAATGAATAAATAAAAACAAATTCAGGGTCACAGACACTTTCGTAAAGTCAGACTACTGTAACAAACTACATGAATGAAATGGTGGTTAATACTACATGTAGATATACAGACGCAATTAAGACGTACCAGACATCTTCTATGAATATAATTATATTTAAAAGTATTAGGCTAATGCCATGATCATAGCTGCTAATTAAAATGGGGATAAGTACTGTGGAAAATATTACGCAATCTTCTCCTCCAGAGAGACTCTGACCCGAGGTTGACGTGAAGTCTCGTTATGATTTGATGGCGTTGGCGACATTGCCCTGGCGGATGCTGACCTCTTTGTTGGTTTGATGGAATCATTGGGTGTGTTTATTGACGTCTCCGAATCCTCCGAAGACAAAGGACGTACTCGCGTGATTGGACCACGTACTAATTTACCTGGTTCACACGAATGACATAAATTATACACGACATAAGCTAATAGACTGGTTACCAGACCAACAGCCGCCCCACCAGCTCCGAATTCCAGCTTGTAGTTCACCTCTCGTTTCTGCTTTTTGGAGTTGATGAAGCAGTCACACTCCGTATACTGCAAGCCAGTGCATTTCTGTGTACATAAAACAGTGATAGGATTTCTTCGCATTCAAGACATTGAAATCGGTTATATGTCGAAAATTGAAAATTGGAAAAGTGCAATTTTGAATTTTAAATACGATATGTACCTGTATGACTACCTACCTTGCCCATTGGTGATGGGCGGGACTCGCAAATTTTTCCCTGCCACGGAGTCGGACAGTGACAAATAAAGTCTGGAAATACATTCTCACAGGAGCCTCCGTGAAGACAGGGAGCAGAATCACAGCTTGGGAGGCCTGTAAGCAAACTATGGTTATTTTTTTCCTACTTAATTAACATATCTCCTTCATACCTTCTGTCCTATTGTATGAATGTGTTCGATGATGTATTTAGTATGTTAGAATACGCACATCATCAAAATACCATTCCGTTTGTTTATTATTTCCTTATTCAGTGACTAGTCGGACATTCAGATGATTTATTTAGATTTCTGTTTGGAACATGATGTTGATGCTGTTCTTGTCACCGGTAAGTGTTCCGAGAAAGGAACAACACAATTGTGATATTCACTGGTTTATCAATTCTAAATATAGTCAGGTTAAATGGTCCTTTCTGTATGATATCGTACACATCACTGTGTTAACACTCCTTACGGAACACATGTATCTTTGTTCCCGTTGATGCCATTTTGGCTGTCATTTAGAACCGACTTTGATTTTGAGTATTGGTATAGGATTATGTGTGTAAAAATCTTACTTGTAGAGACTAAGCGAGTTTACCTGTTTGAGTTATTTCACTCACATCTCCCAGATAGTTTACTGTACCTTTTTGATAGTACTGCCTTGTCCAATCGGCCGGACAGTTCACTTTTTTGATAGAACATCCCGGTACAATCACATTAAAAGTTCATTTGTTTGGCAGTCTTCCAACCACCCGAACAGTTTATATGTTGACATTACTCCTCTGTCTGACCGACACGACTGTTTACATATTTGACATTCCACCTTTGTCTACCATCCTGGACAGTTTACCTGTTGACACTACTCCTCTGTCTACCATCCTGGACAGTTTACCTGTTGACACTACTCCTCTGTCTACCAGCCTGGACAGTTTACCTGTTTGACACTTCTCCTCTTTCTGCCATCCTGGACAGTTTACCTGTTGACACTACTCCCCTGTCTACAATCCTGGACAGTTTACCTGTTGACACATTCCTCTGTCTACCAGCCTGGACAATTCACCTGTTGACACTACTCCTCTGTCTACCATCATGGACAGTTTACATGTTGACACATTCCTCTGTCTACCAGCTACGAGCCTGGACAATTTACCTGTTGACACTACTCCTCTGTCTACCAGTCTGGACAGTTTACCTGTTGGCACTACTCCCCTGTCTACCAGCCTGGACAGTTTACCTGTTGACACTACTCCTCTGTCTACCATCCTGGACAGTTTACCTGTTTGACACTTCTCCTCTTTCTGCCATCCTGGACAGTTTACCTGTTGACACTACTCCCCTGTCTACAATCCTGGACAGTTTACCTGTTGACACATTCCTCTGTCTACCAGCCTGGACAATTTACCTGTTGACACTACTCCTCTGTCTACCATCATGGACAGTTTACCTGTTGACACATTCCTCTGTCTACCAGCTACGAGCCTGGACAATTTACCTGTTGACACTACTCCTCTGTCTACCAGTCTGGACAGTTTACCTGTTGGCACTACTCCCCTGTCTACCAGCCTGGACAGTTTACCTGTTGACACTACTCCTCTGTCTACCATCCTGGACAGTTTACCTGTTGACACTACTCCCCTGTCTACCAGCCTGGGCAGTTTACCTGTTGACACTACACCCCTGTCTACCAGCCTGGACAGTTTACCTGTTGACACTACTCCTCTGTCTACCAGCCTGGACAGTTTACCTGTTTGACACTACTCCTCTGTCTACCAGCCTGGACAGTTTACCTGTTGACACTACTCCTCTGTCTACCAGCCTGGACAGTTTACCTGTTGACACTACTCCTCTGTCTACCAGCCTGGACAGTTTACCTGTTTGACACTACTCCTCTGTCTACCAGCCTGGACAGTTTACCTGTTGACACTACTCCTCTGTCTACAAGCCTGGACAGTTTACCTGTTTGACACTACTCTCCTGTCTACCAGCCTGGACAGTTTACCTGTCTGACACTACTCCTCTGTCTACCAGCCTGGACAGTTTACTTGTTGACACTACTCTCCTGTCTATCAGCCTTTACAGTTTACCTGTTTGACACTACTCCCCCTTCTATCAGCCTTTAGAGTTTTCCTGTTTGACATTTCTCCCCCCTTCTATCAGCCTTTACAGTTTACCTGTTTGACATTACTCCCCCCTTCTATCAGCCTTTACAGTTTACCTGTTTGACACTACTCCCCCTTCTATCAGCCTTTACACTTTACCTGTTTGACATTACTCCCCCTTCTATCTGCCTTAACAGTTTACCTGTTTGACAGTACTCTCCTGTCCAACCTCCCGGACAGATACACTTAAATCCATTGACGAGGTCAACACAAGTCCCATTCATCAGGCAAGGGGAGCTGACACACTCATCGACGTCTGTAAATAAAACATTGATACCAGGAGTTTCGATGAGGTAGCGCATGCTCAGCTGCAAACATATGATAGAAAGTGATTTTATGAGCGGAAAATTAAGATATTACAATTTAAAAAAATAAAGTCAATGATGTGTCAACTGACCTGTTTGGCATTCTGCACCAATGAAGCCGTCGACACATGCGCAGTAGTACTGATTCAGTAAATCAACACACGTAGCGTTGTTCTGACACGGATTGCTAAGACATTCATCAATCTCTGGAAGTCACAACACTTAATCAGTAAATATCATTTTTAGTTGTTAACTTATGTGTACCTGGAAACAGGAAGTGAAATATATAGTTAAATTCAGCATGGCGAACATTAATTACTGTACGTATGAATATTACTTGTGATAATATGTTTCTATCTGACACTGTCTGTTCCGATTATAATATCTGACACAATTTACCGTCCGCAGCTGGTGCTATCGCAGTTAGGACATTGATAGTGCCTAGTTGACAAAGTTGATTTTTAACCATCTGATGGTGATACTACCATATTTCAGGATTATGATAGTACAAGATAGACACAGGGGATCGTTAACTGTCTGATGGTGGTACGGCCAGATTGTGACAGGGGATCGTTAATTGTCTGATGGTGGTATGGCCAGATTGACACAGGGGATCGTCAACTGTCTGATAGTGGTAAGGGCAGATTGACACAGGGGATCGTTAACTGTCTGATGGTGGTACGGCCAGATTGACACAGGGGGTCGTTAATTGTCTGATAGTGGTAAGGGCAGATTGACACAGGGGATCGTTAACTGTCTGATAGTGGTAAGGGCAGATTGACACAGGGGATCGTTAACTGTCTGATGGTGGTACGGCCAGATTGACACAGGGGATCGTTAATTGTCTGATGGTGGTACGGCCAGATTGACACAAGGGATCGTTAATTGTCTGATGGTGGTACGGCCAGATTGACACAGGGGGATCGTTAACTGTCTGATGGTGGTACGGCCAGATTGACACAGGGGATCGTTAACTGTCTGATGGTGGTACGGCCAGATTGACACAGGGGGATCGTTAATTGTCTGATGGTGGTACAGCCAGATTGACACAGGGGATCGTTTACTGTCTGATGGTGGTACGGCCAGATTGACACAGGGGGATCGTTAATTGTCTGATGGTGGTTGACGGCGTTAATTGTCTGATGGTGGTACGGCCAGATTGACACAGGGGATCTTTAATTGTCTGATGGTGGCACGGCCAGATTGACACAAGGGATCGTTAATTGTCTGATGGTGGCACGGCCAGATTGACACAGGGGATCGTTAACTGTCTGATGGTGGCACGGCCAGATTGACACAGGGGATCGTTAATTGTCTGATGGTGGCACGGCCAGATTGACACAGGGGATCGTTAATTGTCTGATGGTGGTACGGCCAGATTGACACAGGGGATCGTTAATTGTCTGATGGTGGCACGGCCAGATTGACACAGGGGATCGTTAATTGTCTGATGGTGGTACGGCCAGATTGACAAAGGGGATCGTTAATTGTCTGATGGTGGCACGGCCAGATTGACACAGGGGATCGTTAATTGTCTGATGGTGGCACGGCCAGATTGACACAGGGGATCGTTAACTGTCTGATGGTGGTACGGCCAGATTGACACAGGGGATCGTTTATTTTCTGATGGTGGTACGGCCAGATTGACACAGGGGATCGTTTATTTTCTGATAGGGGTACTTGTAGATTCCAAGATTTCTAAAATTTACCAGATTGACCCAGAAACTGTCTGATGGTGGTAATACCATATTTCAAGGTCTGATACAGGAGGTTCCTCTATGATGTTTATAACTTTGACACATGGTTTTACCAGACAGGATTACCATGTCTGATGGTGATATCTCTAGATTTCAGGAGTTTGATAATTACCCGTTTGACAGAGCGCTCCTGTGTAGCCTCCACCGCACGTACACGTAAAGTGGTTTACGTGGTCGACACAGGTCCCGCCATGCAGACATGGCTGACTTAAACACTCATCAATATCTGAAATAAACAATAATTCATTATTCGACCTTATAAGGGTACTTAATGATCTTAGACACAAACAATGCCAACACGTTTTCTTCAGTGTAATACTGAATCCGCCTAACACTTCTACACGGCACCGACCCGAATCAGGGTGTTCAAAGTAGGTTGTATGCAGCTTGTGTAATTTCGTTAAAGTGACGAATACAAAAATACATCTAGCTACATACTACACTACAGAACCACCAGGGATACTAACGAGCATCAATCACATCTAGCTCCATATCACAGAGCAGAGTCACAAGGCATAATGACAAGCATGAAATACATCTAACTTTGTATCACACGACAGAGCCATCTGGCATACTGACAAGCATGAAATACATCTAACTTTGTATCACACGACAGAGCCATCTGGCATACTGACAAGCATGAAATATATCTAACTTTGTATCACACGACAGAACCACCAGGCATACTGACAAGCATGAAATACATCTAACTTTGTATGACAACAGAACTTACAGACATACTGACCTATTAATAGTCTTTGGCTTTTAAGTACATGCCAGGTAATGAAATATCTTTCCTGGGGATCATGATGGTGATAGTTCCGATAGTTTTTATCGGTACTCATCTCTGGAAACTTTGTTTACAGTTTGTGATATATGGGTTAACTACTAGAATCAATTACGACATGTTAACATCAGAGGTAGCGGAATTGTGTTCACAATAGGGGGAGTTAAATCACAACATCAAATTATACATCTAATTTGAAGTTGTCTCTGTCCGTGACCTTGATCATAAGTTCTGCAGAGAATATAGGTACAATTATGGATGAGTGCATAATGTCCTGACTGAAACTGTTTTATTGGATAATAAGATATCAAAGATCCAGGTTTCCTTGTAAAAATGTTCAATAGAACAATAAGTACAGGAAAAAGCTACTTGACATGTTTTAACGCAAGATGGTTGACGGTCACATGAATTCAATAAGCAAAGAGTTCGAATCCTAACGTCTACAGGTAATTCTCTGTGAGTAATCGAATTTCCTCAAAACCTAAAACTGACATTGTTGCACTCAGACAAAGAGTTGTTAAGGACGTGGTGTTTCGTGGGATGTGATATAATACGTATAGCAAAACCGTGATGGGTTTGAAGGAAGGCAGTTTTACAACTTCAACGTATCCTTGGCTTTTGACCCCGTGTCCTTGAAACTTATAATTCCTATAATCTGAAATGCATACGCCTACGCAAAAATATTTTTGTGCGGTTATCAAACGAACTGGCATTTTGTTGTTGTTTCAGTATTTTAGCCCTTGAGGTGCATTAAGATTCGACGAATTTTGCAATTTTACACGAATTATACATTGACATTACAAGCACCCTAAGCACTTATTCCATGCAAGAATTAGTTTTCCGCTGTTATAGCTCTGTCCTCTGGATGTACTTACCTATCTCGTAGTTCACTCCAGTATACCCTGCGTCACAGCGACACTCGTACCCGTATGTACTTACCTATCTCACAGTTCACTCCAGTATACCCTGCGTCACAGCGACACTCGTACCCGGATGTACTTACCTATCTCACAGTACACTCCAGTATACCCTGCGTCACAGCGACACTCGTAACTGGATGTACTTACCTATCTCACAGTACACTCCAGTATACCCTGCGTCATAGCGACACTCGTACCCGAATGTACGTACCTATCTCACAGTTCACTCCAGTATACCCTGCGTCACTGCGACACTCGTACCCGTATGTACTTACCTATCTCACAGTTCACTCCAGTATACCCTGCGTCACAGCGACACTCGTACCCGGATGTACTTACCTATCTCACAGTTCACTCCAGTATACCCTGCGTCACAGCGACACTCGTACCAGGATGTACTTACCTATCTCACAGTACACTCCAGTATACCCTGCGTCATAGCGACACTCGTACCCGAATGTACGTACCTATCTCACAGTTCACTCCAGTATACCCTGCGTCACAGCGACACTCGTACCCGGATGTACTTTCCTATCTCGTAGTTCACTCCAGTATACCCTGCGTCACTGCGACACTCGTACCCGGATGTACTTACCTATATCACAGTTCACTTCAGTATACCCTGCGTCACAGCGACACTCGTACCCGGATGTACTTACCTATCTCGTAGTTCACTCCAGTATACCCTGCGTCATAGCGACACTCGTACCCGGATGTACTTTCCTATCTCGTAGTTCACTCCAGTATACCCTGCGTCATAGCGACACTCGTACCCGGATGTACTTACCTATCTCACAGTTCACTTCAGTATACCCTGCGTCACAGCGACACTCGTACCCGTATGTACTTACCTATCTCACAGTTCACTCCAGTATACCCTGCGTCACAGCGACACTCGTACCCGGACGTACTTACCTATCTCACAGTTCACTCCAGTATACCCTGCGTCACAGCGACACTCGTACCCGGATGTACTTACCTATCTCACAGTTCATTCCAGTATACCCTGCGTCACAGCGACACTCGTACCCGTATGTACTTACCTATCTCATAGTTCACTTCAGTATACCCTGCGTCACAGCGACACTCGTACCTGTATGTACTTACCTATCTCACAGTTCACTTCAGTATACGCTGCGTCACAGCGACACTCGTACCCGGATGTACTTACCTATCTCACAGTTCACTCCAGTATACCCTGCGTCACAGCGACACTCGTACCCGGATGTACTTACCTATCTCACAGTTCACTCCAGTATACCCTGCGTCACAGCGACACTCGTACCCGGACGTACTTACCTATCTCACAGTTCACTCCAGTATACCCTGCGTCACAGCGACACTCGTACCCGGATGTACTTACCTATCTCACAGTTCATTCCAGTATACCCTGCGTCACAGCGACACTCGTACCCGTATGTACTTACCTATCTCATAGTTCACTTCAGTATACCCTGCGTCACAGCGACACTCGTACCCATATGTACTTACCTATCTCACAGTTCACTTCAGTATACGCTGCGTCACAGCGACACTCGTACCCGGATGTACTTACCTATCTCACAGTTCACTCCAGTATACCCTGCGTCACAGCGACACTCGTACCCGGATGTACTTACCTATCTCACAGTTCACTCCAGTATACCCTGCGTCACAGCGACACTCGTAACCGGATGTACTTACCTATCTCACAGTTCACTCCAGTATACCCTGCGTCACAGCGACACTCGTACTTGGCGATCAGGTCCAGACAATAACCAGCATTCTGACAAGGGCTACTTTGACACTCGTTTATATCTACATAGATAAAAAGTACGCATGTATTGGAAGGTCTACGTGCAAGTATTAGAAGAATTCGGGAAACATGTCAGGGGAAAATTAATTTTTTCTGTAGAAAAGATGTCGATCTGAATTCCACTGTTCTAAAATTAGTGATAATTCCAAAATGAAGTTTTCTTTTATGCTATTTTTGCTGATCTTGTTTGGCGTATACTGTGTTTTGTTCTTTTTATTAGATCCGATTTCATTTTAAATAATTGTTTGAATGATAATATCCCATGTTTCTTTTTTTTCTCTTAATGTTTGATGATGGTTTACAGTTGTGATACTTCATATCAGAATGAAAGTCAAACCTATCTTTATCTACATCGTTACTATACAATGCAAGTACAATTAATGGTAATTTAATAATACATTTCAAGTGGCACATGTGCGGTTCTCTTAATAGTTAAAGTGATTCAGGTTAACCGTAGTATTAAGCTCACCCTAGTATCAATACTACCCGGCTGTTAAGACCACTTTCACTCAGACCCCTATGTGATTATTATCGTATTTTGATGTCATATTATTGCCTTATCGAGTTCTTAATTGTATCAATCAAAATGGTTTCCATGTTTTTCATATTTGCATATCCATGTCAAGATTATTATTTTTTAATTTATTTTGCTTCAATTGGTAAATTCAGTTAAAATGACAAAAGTCGTGGATTTTTGTATTTTGTGATAAACAACGGAAACAATTTTCAAACTTATTAAGGTATCTTCATTAGTATCTGACACATCTAAATCTAACGAACAGAATTAGACAAACGTTATCACAACTTACAAATGCCTTCTCTCGTTTGTGCTAAGTAGAATAAAGAAACATATCTGTATGTTTGTAAATTCTATGATTACCGATTTCGCACAGCTTTCCAGTAAATCCTGGTACGCATGCGCAGGTAAAGTCCTCCGTAAAGCCAACCCTTGAGCACGTGCCATTATTCTCACACGGGAAAGATTCACATGGATCTCTGTCTGTCACGAGGAGTAAACATTGTATTACATCACAAAGTAAGGATATCAATCGGATTCCGAGTGGCAGATATCATACACCCCTGTACACGCCCAGTAATATATAACGCACTGGTCCGGTGGCGCAGTGTTAACGCACTCGCCTTTCACCAAGCCGACCGGGGTTCGATTCCCGGAACGGACGTGAAAAGGTAAGGGGTCACCTCCCCGACCACGTGGGTTTTCCCCGGGTATTCCGGTTTCCTCCCACAATAAGACCCCTGGCGCGCTTACATCCGGGCCAACAAGAGTGATTAGTATAAGTTGACATAACTTGTTTCGCAATTGTTGTAAAATAAATAAAGTTTATATATATATATATTTTTTTAACGCAATGTCAAATGAATGAATACATCGAGTGTGTCGCCTCTTTATTTTATCTTCAGTACGTGTTCAGATCAAACATGCAGTGAATTGAGCACAAGTAATCAATTCTATCGACGTGCATGGCATGATCTAACGTCTTTATGATTACGTAATCTTAGCAGTAATCAATGGTGTTTCTAACTGCAGTGTATTAATGTATAGTGATAAAGATGTAGTAATATATTTAGTCCACGGACATCCCCACAGACAAGAGAAGTTGATTATTTATATATTGCATTACCAACTAATACGTTTATAACGGAAATACTTTCTGTCTGTTAGTAATCATTTCAATATAACCAAGCTAACTAGTGAATACAATTGATTAACGATAGTTCGAATCCTTGAACGGTCATCTCGATAAATTGAAAGTTCGGAGGAATTTGCTCTAAAATAACAGCAACCAGCAAACTTAGTGAGAATGTATACCCAGTTACCATAAGTCGCTGTGATGTTATACCATATATTGTACAGAAGTTAAACAGGCATGATAGGATTTAAAAAACAACAGGAAAATACCAACATGTCGACATAATCACAATCCAAACTCAAATTCTATAAAACTAGGGCAAAATATGAGCAAAAGAAAAATTAACACGGAGACATATGAAAAAGGAGAACGGAAAATAAGAAAATGTGTTCCGGAAGGATGCACGTCTGCTGCTTCATTGACAAACCCACCATGTAAAATCTTGGTAAATCCAGGTACTTGATATCAAGTTCTCAAAAGAGAACAAGGTATGTGACAGCGAAACAAACACGCAAAGGACCGAGCATCAAATACACCCAGCTTCATATTGCACAATGAAATAGAATGTTTGTCGCTGTGATCACCACGAACAACCATAAAACTTCCGAATATTTTTCGTTAACCTGCGTTTTTTGAAACCAAATGTTAGGCTTTGTCCGGCTGTTGAAGTGTGCCATAAAATTTAAGATCTAGAATGAGATCTCAAGCATTCATTTTACCAACTGTCGTCACATGATTATCCGATACACTACAGCCATTCGAAAGCCGTTCAGACCATGCTTGTTTCCTGACCGAGGGTATACACATACCTTTTCTCAAAATACTCCAATAACAGATATGTGAAATCTAATAATTCTGAAAAATGATCGATGATGGAGACTGAATTTTTTTTATGATACTATAAAGATGCAAATTGCGGTTACTTAATTGCCTTGAACATCAGTATATTATGTATTCGGAAAAGGGGCAATGTGAATGATGGTATATTTACCCCATGCCAGGAGTGTCAGACATCTTGGATCGCTCGTCTTTCTGAGGAACATGAAATATTAAAATATAATATGTTATAATATATAAAATACATTCACTGCTAAACAATATTCATGGATCCTCAAAAACATTTCATTTAACTTTTGCTACAGGGCGTGATTACATCACCAATGCAGTGGATTAAATGTAAGCTGATTTTATAAAAATTCAATAATGGTGAACACAATTGTATTCCGTGGAGTGTATTGACTTCATCCTCTATACCACTTAACAGAGACTGTCGATACAGAGATAAAATACACGAAACACTCAGTTTGTGATATAACAAAGAAACACTGAGTTTATACTTAACAGAGACTGTCGATACAAGATACAAAACACGAAACACTCAGTTTGTGATATAACAAAGAAACACTGAGTTTATACTTAACAGAGACTGTCGATACAAGATACAAAACACGAAACACTCAGTTTGTGATATAACAAAGAAACACTGAGTTTATACTTAACAGAGACTGTCGATACAAGATACGAAACACTTAGTTTGTGATATAACAAAGAAACACTGAGTTTATACTTAACAGAGGCTGTTGATACAAGATACGAAACACATAGTTTGTGATATAACAAAGAAACACTGACATTTTCTTTGTATCCTATGTTGTTACGGTATCCGTTTATTCCTTTGCTTGTTTATTAGCGTTCCGATGTAGTTTCTGTGATACTTATTACGTAGTTAATGAGTCATAACGTGATATACATATTTCTATGATGACATAAGTATCACATTTACCCTTGGCTGTCGTCTGCCATGGCACACAGTATGTGTGTGCCTTTCTGGGCGGAAGTAGGTACCCACGTGACTGTGATGTACCCTACCCCATTACTGATGGTAAGAGACGATTTGGTCAGACCAGATGGTGCCGTCAGTTGGATGTCAGTTATTCTGTGAATCAAGAAATAAAAACGTTGCTTAATACCATCACCTCTTACATCAGTATCTCATGAACAATTTAAATCCCATACATCAACTAACAACCCAATTTTCTTATTTCTGTAAGCTTACAAATGTCTTCATACGTAAAACTATACAATCATATCAGTGGACCAGAATTTTTTATTTGTGATTTAGGATAAAAGATGTCTGTAAATGTTTTGAACTATTTTCTAGAGTTATCTCCACCTTTCAGTTTTTGTTGATCAGTCGCCTTGTGTTTGGTTTCCACACTCCTATTCATGGTTCGATGCACTTTAGTACACCTTCTTATTTGAAAGCATGACAATAAGCTACTGCAATTTCTGTTATGTATTACATAAATGTGCACACGGGCTTTGTAAGGTCTCAGTCTAAGATATTCATTTGTATACACAAATACTCGGGACTGTAGTGACTAGTGCCAGATCGAGGTGTTCATATAAAATGATAAAAGATAATTGAGCTACAAAATGGTCAGTTGCCAGAAATCTCCTCTGAATAGTAGCTATTGAAGTTATTCTGGATTTTTTTTCGCTTTTTCAAATACTGCTAAGGTCAAACAAGAAGTTTGGTGTCTTCCTGTTTTTAGATACCCCACTAAAATCCTGTCCATATTTCGCTGTTGCAAACATTTCATTCAAACACAGATAACAAAGACACGCAAGTAATAGCACCATTAAGTACATGCTTAGATAAGACACAGTAGAGCCAAGCAATGAATTAAATTCCATTATACAAAAATACGAATTAATTGTCAATAAGGAGTTTACCTAGATGCTGAGGAGGCGGAAATTTGGATACTCAAACGTTGTCTTTCCTTTATAGAAATAACATGTCCCTCCGGTGGTGTTGGGTTCACAAACACAGGTCTCCTGTTACAAGGTCCGCTTAGTTGAGGGGCGGTAATCAGGAACTTTAAAAGAAACCTTATACCAACAATTTTCTTTGATTTAACTGAGATTATTTGCGCTTACTTGGCATGAGGTTAACTTCATGTGTTTTACCAACATCAAATAATTTCCATATGTCTTTGTATGCAGCAAATATTGGTTGAAAATGCTGTAAGGTACTATAAAGGATATAAAGTATTGCGTGATAATGATTCTATAATTAATATTTTTGTATTTCAGACAAATAATAAGATATTTATGAACTAACCAGAACGTTGAGTAGGAATACTAATTCATTCTAAAAAAATCGCAGCAACATTGGCACAGTTTTTTTTCTCTGAGAGGGACGAAAAAAAAACCAGAGAGTTCTCAAGTATGTATATACAAAGTGTATGTACAGTACCATAACAACGCCTCGATTGCTCATCCTTTTTGAGACACACTTTACGGACTATCTTTTTAAGGCACTATGATACAATTCACAACAACAGCTGGCAAATTCAATGTCCCGGAAAATATAAGAGAGGATATATCATATAAACCTCTGGAAAATCGGACCCCTTGAGTAAAGACAGACATTAGAAAATCACTCGGCCTAATCCTTGAAATGTTGTTCGTCTATATCATACAATGATGGACTATCCAAAACGATGTTATATTACCTGTAAAGGAACAACAGACAGAGGTCGAGACGGACCAAATACAGCACCCCCGATCGTAATACTAGACGAGGGAAAGTCTTCCACGGTTATTGCCACAGCATACCAGCCCCCTGATCTGTATTTCTTAGACGTATCTGTAGTGAAGTGGATCGTGCAGGTGTCCTTTAGGACGAGAAGAATAGACCATTGTTAAGACGTGAATGTAAAATTACTTAAAGCATGGAATATGTAGTCTCCAAAACTGATTAATACAGTATATTACTGCTCAGTACCGCATACTTTTCCAATGGTCACACCTGTACAATATATATGGTGTTTGAAAAAAATACTTGAGCATTTAATCGTTATCGTCAGATGCGCAGAATCTCTCCAGTAGTTCGATTCCTTACCTGATCGAGGGTGGCGTCTGGGAGCGACCGACACACCGAAGCACACTCGGTGCCCCTGGACCACCGACATTTGACGACATCCCCGTCAGCGTCTATCATAGGGATCTTCAAGTTGTGCGAACAATCACTCTGCATTCTGAAACAAAATCATACTGGTTTTAATAGATCTGTAGAGTAACGTTTTCATGTTGTGATTTGTACTTTTGGAGGGATACGGTGTGCCTTAACTAACTAATGAAAATACATGTACAAAATATATATGTAATTCTGATAATGATGTATCGATAATAACTAGCATCAAAACATTCTAAAAGTCGAACATGAATACAAAGATTTTTAACAATAGATGTATTATGGTAATTGTAAAATTTACCTATACAGAGGCTTGCTAGCTGTGATTGGACTCTGGTTTGGCTGGTTCGTATCGCTCCGTTTCCTCAAATCAACTGTTGTATAGATGTTCCAACCGGAAGCACTCCCGAAATCTAGTGCCATCCAAGCACTTCCGGTAAATCTGAGGGCAAACAGAAAGTGATTTCAATGGCCTGTTCCCATTATCACGATTGTCGTGCAAGAAGTCAACTGGCTGACTAACTCGTAACACAGGGTCGCCATAGTGATCTCATTGAGAAATATTCTATTTCTTTGTGCGATATGGAGCTGGACATGTTTAATACTTATTGGTCCCATTGTTGTATACCTTTTCATCATTTGAGAATTTGACGTTACTTACTTGGATTGACCAAGATTTACATGGCGGTCGTTATTGATGAAATAGAAGACGCTTACTCTTTCGGAACCCCCAGTTTTATTCGTCTTGTACTTTTTCAGGTGAGTAGTCTCCTTGTAAATTATTCTCTTGTTCATATTTTTTGCCCTAGATTTATTGAATTTGAGTTTGGATTATAATTATGTTGACATGTTGGTATTTCCTTGATGTTTTTTCTAGTAAACTAATCGGACCTTTATTAAAAGTCTAAAAGAATCTTCATGTTTTGTGAAACGTAGGTGTAAGAAAATATTTTTTTAACAGTCAGTTTTTTAAAACCGTGTTCTCATTGGGAACGTGACATTACTGACTTGAATTGACCAAGATTTACATGCTTGGTGCCGTCGATGGCGCTTACTTTTCCGGAACACCTGGTCTTATTCTCCTTGTATTTGGTCTGTAGTACCCATGTAAACCTTTTGTCCGTAATTTGAGTTTTAGACTATGTTTCTGTTGACACGTAGGTATTTTCTTTTGCATAAAAAATGTCTCAAGACGAATTCAATGCATACGAATTCTACCTCCTAAATATCAAGGGAAACTTTAAAGTTGAACTTAGCTTGTATATTTCAGGAGACGCTATATTTATTAAAACTTCATCAACGGCATATTTTGATTTTTCATTCATTCAGACTGCTTGTCAACTGTAGCAACCCGTCACAGCATTGTGAGTATGCATAGACTATGCAACACAACACAAGTCATCAAAGTATTACAACACGATACTATATCATTAAAATGTCCAATTCACTTGACAATACGTTTTTTGCAATCTTTCCACTTGGTAATGGACATTGTAAGGGAGACAAATAAGACACGAAGATTTTATATCCAACAGATATAGATGAGATCTTGCAGGGTTTTTTTTTACACTTAACAAACACACGCGGTGACGGTGATAAGCAGTGAATATGTACATATAAGATTTATACTTACGACACGGTGAATGGTCCGGGCCCCGGGAAAGTGTATCTGAATGTCCGTTCGCCTTGTTCCCAGTTCTCAGAGCTACTGGCAGCAGTACACACGTAGTTCAGATTCGCGATATTATTTGGTGAGCATTTATCACACATCCAGTATGAAGACGACATACCCGTTACCAACTGTCCAATTTTAGATACAGTACAGCCCGGTCCATTACCATATGTCCAACCCATTCTGAACTTGAACTCAACCTCACGAAGAAAAAAACCCAAATATTTATCATGTTGCTAAGAAACGAAACAAATATCACAGTGTCAACACACATTTGCAACTCGAGCCCGAAGTCGACACCGGAAACAGGGACACCGCCCAAATAGGAATCGGCGAAAATGACAGCTTGTATGACAATGACCGACAGGCTAGCCCACGGTTAATTCTAGTTGACCATTGTTTCTCCGTTTCCATGATCAGATTTATATCCCCAGTCAAAGTATGGTCCTGCGATTTAGCGATACTTTATCAAAACTGGATCGCTGCGGTTCGCAAAAACCACCAATAAACAAGAATCCAATAGGATAACATGTCTTGTAATTCTGGCTATGACTCATCCAAATTGTAGACACACCTTCATTATCTTATCAGTAGAGGTTTCTTTTTATTCTCTTCCCCAGGAAAAATAACGGGGAAAAATTTACGCGAAATATTTACTGGAACACGTCGATCGCAGAAAAAAAAAAAAAGTGAATGGATGGATACGGGTGTGACCGATTTCCTTAAAGCGGGGTTTAAATCTTCATTTGATTCCCATCATCCATATTCATCTCCAACTGATGGCATTTGTATGAAGCATTGAATTAGAAGTGAAAGTTTTTTCCCAATATTAGATTTCATGATACCGATGCTGAACTCTAAATATAAACAGCACCACTTGCAACACACATATGAACACATGTGTCCTGCATTACATTTAACGACAGGTTTAGCGAGATGATAATATGTCGCCAGTGTTTTGTTTATTTACGGACTTAGATATAAATTTCTATGTCAGTAGTTTAATATCAAATGTGTCTACCTTTAAAACTTACCAGGTGTTTCCATCTGCGCGTGCTTGGCTTAAAAAAAGAATCAATAAGCAAACAGTAGCGAACCACGCCTCCTATGACATCAGCTTAAAGGCAATTTCAGCTGCAATGAAGTGGATCTATTAATATATATTATGTAATTGTTCGTCCACCCCCAACCTGCCACAGCGGAATGTGATCTACATAACACATACACGTTGTAATGAAAAGTCAGTATGAGGAGATTTTGATGGCTTGGTTTGGTTCTCGCGATGTATTGGTTAACAGTTTGTCCATAATTATAATACATAGGTCTATGCTGTGATAACGACACTTCCTGAATGTCAGAATATTGTCATGTTTCACCTCTGCGGAAAAAACGAATAAAACTATCATTATAAGCTACTTTACTAGTGATAGGGATAGTTAATAACATATTTGCTATTGGAATACGGGAATATATAGATATGATAAAAACGGATGAGAATTTTATATCGTCACAATTTTAATGATGTTTTGATTGTGTAATTTTAACCAATCAGAGAAGTGCTTTCTAGTCACTGCATTGAAATTCATCGATTTTTCATTTCGGTCTCAAGTAAAGCGTGGGCACGTAAAGCGTCCAATTTAAAATGGCGTCGTCTTGTTGTCAAGTGTAACAACACTCTCCGACGTTACAGATTGTGCTCATATTTCCTTTCTTGAGCACAAAGTATTTTTTGTTTAAATTGGTCCTTTGTGTAATTTTTAAAAATGCAATATAAGAAGATTAAATGAATTCCCAGATAGAATAAATCGATATATTCTGTTCGAGAAAGTATTATATATATATATTGCACTGGACACAAAATGACGCCACGTTGAAGCCCCCAATACATGCTTTATTCTGTCGGTTTCTACATTTATCAGTTAGAGTCGATCAAAAAGGTCTAATTTGAATTCAATGAAAAAATGCATTGTATAATCAAAAGTTTGGCGAAAATCTACTGATTCCGACTTTTCTCCGTTTGTCTCCGAACCGAATAGGCGAATTTCAGTGCAGCTGCTTGGAATCGACAAAATAGAAACGGCTATTTAGCAAGCGATAAAATACGTTTTGATATTGTGATTATTTGTAACACTAAACATTTGTTAAATTATTACAAATGAAAACTGGATTCTCGTATTAATCATCAAATACATGTGACATAAGAGTCTCGATATATCGTATAAATATAAATACTGCTTTCATCATGTTTTAGAAACATATGTCACGTGTAATCACACTTACCAGTGATAGATAAATAAATACTGCTGGTGTTAATTTCAATATAAAGTAGAAAATTGAAGGAAAACAAGGAAAACCATGAGGTCTGGTAGATGTCTCATATTTTTTTCCAAATCCTTTGCAATATAGACAGACAGACAGACAGACAGACAGACAGACAGACAGACAGACAGACATTCTTTATTTCCTCCTTACGGAGATTAGTCTTAGCATTTTCAACACAATATTATGAAAAGTTGTATGGACATAACATATTCAGGACAGTCGTATAGAAATAATAATAATAATAATATGGACAATGACATGACTATAGATATTACAGCATATCACGCAATACCACATGTGTGGTAACATAGTCGTGATGACATAATCCTTTATAAGAGTTCATTCATTTCGAACATCATGCATGGAATATTTGAAGCCATATTTAACACAAGTGCTTCCCATTCAGAATCCGTCACATATATATTACCTCTATCTCCTAGAAGAAAACTGCATTGTACCTTTTCAGGAGCGTTCGAAAATTGAATATAATTTTGGACTTCAATAGCGTTAACAACACCGTCTAGTAGCTTATCCCTACTTTTAAAGAGCTTTGGACACAACAATAAAAAATGCAGAGCTATGTCTTTGCTTCTTTTACCATATAATTTACACAGAACTTCTTCAGACTCACATTGATATGCTAATTTGATCAGCTCGGCAATTTTCCAAGTTGATTTCGGGTGCTTCCTGGTAAGTTTCCACAAGGGATTAGGGCCTCTCTGTGGATGTATCGATACGTATCTACTGAGAGCATCAATGTTATTTGCTCTTTCAATCCAAATTGCATCATAGTAATTCTCAACACAGTTTTTTACGAACATTTTCCAGTGCCTTGTGTCACCATTATGTCAAATATGTCACGTATGAAGCTTACTTCTTTCAGGTAATTATTACACAAAACAAAGCCACACAAACGAATTAAAAACAGCGTTTTCCAAATGAAACCTGTATCAGCGCGACAAAGTTTGTTCCAGAAGAACAACTTTCTTACCTCCACTTCTCCCCAGATATCGCGCATTCCTAACGCCCTTGTTGTAATGAGTGAGGGAGATCTCTGTTCGAACCCTTGGCATCGCCTGGCGGCATATCGCTGGGTTCTTTCCAGCTCACTGATACAGGATTTTGTTGGGTCGGACCATAATTCGCAACCGTATAGGATACTGGAAATCACGACCGTTTCTACCACTTTACTGCTCAGCAATGGATTCATTCCATTTGGATGAATACCTACACTGATGAGAGAGTTGAGCGACTTCCTTCCGTTAGAACACGCTTGATGTATACCCTCATTACAGGCAAGATTGGAGCAAAACATTACACCAGCATATACTTTGGATGTTTCCCATGAAATAGGATCGTTTCCTACATAACACTGTGCAGTTGGTGTTTTCTGATTGCGTTTTTTGTTGTTGAACTGCATCACTGAACTTTTATTAGAATTGTAATTAAGTCTCCAAAGATTGGCGTAGTTTTGTACGATGCCCAATTGCTTTTGCAACTTCCCAATGGAAGCCGAAAGAAGAAGGGTGTCATCCGCCAGAAACACGCACGGTATATGTAACTGGCTTATTACCAACCCGTGGCCAGCTATGTCTAGTTGCTTTGCGAGGTCGTCGATCATGACTAAAAATAGCCAAGCGGATAACGTTCGGCCTTGACCGACCCCTTGTAGCACAGGATACTCCTCTCCTCTCTCTCCATCGAATAGTACGCACGCGGTAACATTTGAAAATGAGTTTGCTAGAATGCGCCAAAATTTTCCGTTTAATCCTAGCTTATACACTTTGTAGAGCATCCCATCAATCCAAACACTATTGAAAGCTTTGGCATTATCAAGAAACGCCGTGTAGACATTTGATCCTAGTTCCAAGTATTGACATACAGATTCTTTAACGGTAAATGCTGCTGTTATACTACCACATTGTGGTCTAAAGCCTTGTTGCAAAGGATGAGGGAATCCTATGTCCGTGCACTTTTTCAAAATACGTTTATACAGAATTTTTTCTAATAACTTTTGTAAAATTGGTGTTAGGGTAATGTCTCTGTAGTTGTTCATGTTAAGACTGTCCTTATTTCCGCCTTTAAATAACGTTATAACAATTCTTTTTTTTAAATGTTTCGGGTATTCCTCTCTACTGATGATAAGATTGAATAGGTGTGTCACTATATTTATGATACAGTCTCCGCCGTAACGTAGATGTTCAGTTACGATACCATCGTGTCCTCCTGCTTTGCCATTTCTCATTTCGCTTATGGCATCTCTAACTTCATGCGACTTTATTGGTTTCTTGCATATAGTATTATCATTCTGTTTGCTCTGTCGATACATGTCTGCTAACTTGTCCTGTATTTCGTCCTTGAACTTATTGCTGAAAGTGTTTTTTTCAGAGGGCTTCGATAGCGCACTATAGTGATCGGTCCATGCCTTCCTATTTCTGTCCGGGTCACGGCTGACTACATTATCCACACAAAGTTCCATCGTATCGAAACCTTTCCACTTTCGCTTACATACAATGTTATAGAATGTTCCTATATCTACATTGGCTGCCTCTTGTAAATCCTCCAGCTGTTGTAGCTCATAGATTTCGCGCGCAGCGTCTAAGGATTTTCGAAAAACGCGCTTGGAGCGCTTATATGCTGTGTATGTTTCCGACCTGGGTCCCCTTGGTCGACCGGCATGAATCCACTTTAACCGAAACTGTCGCATGGTAGTGTGAAGATCCTTCACTTGCCCTGCGTTCCAGTACGGCTTAAGGTATGGGCGGTATTGCTTCATAGGTAGAGTTGCATTAGCTGCTTCGTGCAAGATATCTACAATACATTTGGTAATCTTATCAATATCAATAGCATCACGTATTGTTCTTTCGTTAATTTCCTTGTCTAGAAGCAAAACATTCAATCGAGCCTCGTATTCCGCTCTCTGATCAGTGGTAACTCTTTTCCAATTTATCGACTTTTTGTGGATCTGTTTCCGTTTATGTGCAGCAGGTATAACATAGCATATTGACACGGGAAGGTGATCAGACACGTTTAGGTAGTGATCATCGTGTGTATAGGACGATCTTACACAGTCGAGCTTACTATTTTCGACAAAAATATGGTCTATTAATGAGCAGTGACCGTCATTTGAAACATATGTACAACATTCTCCAGAGCTCCAGTTCTGAGAGTTAACAGATACAAGGTTGTTGTTCCTGAGAAACTCTTCTAGAAGTAAACCCCTTTCATTAGCTTGTTGAGTGTTTTTAGCACCAAACATTTTCGAGATCTGTGCATTAAAGTCTCCAAGAATTAGGACTTGGCCCTGTTCGCTATATCTTTCATGAACATCCGATAGACATTCAAGAGTTTCTTTGTACACACGGATTGGAAGATTAGTGGACGGCAACAGTGCTCCCAGGACATACAAAGTCGAATTATTTTCCAGCTGTACAGCAACGCCAATAACACGATCAGATCCATCATTAATAAGTGGTGAAACTGCCATTTGTTTCTTCCACATAATAGCAACACCACCAAAACCGCGTGACTGTGTCCGTAGCTCAGGATCTGCCGAAATACGTTCGTCGCTTCTACCGAAAGACTGAAACTTGCTATGAACACTATTCAAAAATTCCATCTGCTCCGGAAGGAGCCAATGCTCAGTTATAACCGCTATATCTATGTCATTCAACAGCTCTGAAAGCATGGGGGTACCATACATTATGCCCCGTGTGTTCCAGGTTAGTAAATTAATGTCAAGACAAAGAAAGGTCGCGTACATAAAGCAGATACAGCAGACAAAGTATACATTCACCATGACGACCGCTGATGCTCGTATTTTTCACCCGAACGATCTTCCCATTCTCTAATTAACACGTCTTCTGGCCAGAAACTAGGCAGATTGACTCTATCGAAATCAGTTTCCCTCACATTTAGCCTTGCTGTGTACGTTGGGTATCTACCGTCCCAAAACTTGATGATTTTCATATAGGTCACTTTAACAGATCTGTCAGCGGCATACGAAACGATACTGTCTATCACGTCTTCCTCTGAAGCGTCAGCTTTTATTCGTGACATCAAGAGTCTCTTGATCTTGGGCTTTCTTTTAACACCGCGAAATTCATATTTTGCAGGTTGGGAATTAACGCCGATTTGCTGTTGTGTATTATAACCATAAAAAGCTACTTTACGTTGCTTAGGCTCATTCATTTGCTTGGTAGCCTCTACAGTTACGGACATGACGTTCGCTTCTGGGGTATAGGATTGAGCTGTCGCGTTAAGATCACTTAGTACTTGTATGTCGCTTGAATCACTCGATTTGTCAGAATATTGTTGATTTGCTGCTGCTATATCTTTGTAAGTTGGCTTTACTTTTGTTTTATCTTTGTTGTTGTATGTTGTTATTGGAGCGCGATGTGTACCCGTTTTCATTACGTCAACAGTATTACTGTCTACGTCTCGTGTAGTAACATGTTTGTTTATGCTTCTAGCTGTTCCAGCAGAATCATTGAAATTGCTTTGTATGTTTGGTTTATTCTGATCTCGATTTACATCTGAGACTTTTTTCTGTAAACCCGATATGATAGTGTCTTTTTTTCGCACATCCGCTTGAAGTAGTCTGATTTCATCCTGCAGATTAGTTATTTCCTCTCTGTTAACTCGAGCCAAATAATACAGTTGGTCTAGCAATTCTTCGCGCATACCTACTATTAAAACAAATAGTTCCGATATTCCCGGGGTAGCTGGGAGCGATGATTTGCCATTTTTACCATTTACACTGATGTCTGGGCTTATCGTTGCGTTCCTTTGGGTGCCTCTGAGCCGTCAGTTACTAGAGACGAATCACTGATTGGTATACCTGTGCAGGAATTTCTCAATGATGCGTTCATATCTATGGTAGAATTGAACCTGTTTTTGTGACGAAATAAACTCTTTAGTTCACCGACATCGACACCGCCGTCAATATAGTGGAAGAGTATGTATATATCATCAATGTACTTGTCAATTGCTGCAGAGTTCCCTGTGTTTGTTCGTCTCACGAGAACATTTTGAGGAGTTTCGGTGCGTTTAACTAGTGCTATATCATATAACGATTGGCGTACATGTGAAATTTCATCTATATCACTATCAAAGATTGATTTTACTTTCGACTTGAGTTCTTTCTTGTCCAAAGTTCCGACAGAATCTAAGAGAAGGCGGAAAATATCCTTATCAATTTGCGTAGATGTCATACTAATTTCATCATCGCCTATTTTCTCGATTACGTTGTCGCTATTTGAAGCCATCGTATGGAGTTCAATATAAACCGACACACGTATCCCACACAGTGATTGTGTAGTTACCTTTCACACCTGGTATGCGATAGGCCGTGACGAGTCGTTGACCGTGGGTACATCGAGTGCATGTCACAGGTAGATTGTGTGTACATATATATATATACATACATTAATATATCATCACAAAAAGTCAAAGTTAATTCAAAAATATTTGCCGAATGCAACACAATTACAAACCAAACTTCGTCTTATTCAGAACCATATCATTCACTGATCAGACCTTAGTCATTGTGTCTGCTTTCAACATGCATAGTCCATAATATCCACAGAAATCCTCAAATATCACAGTACGATAGATGACCACTGCACAGGTGACGGCGCCATCATTAAAATAAATACTGCTGGTGTTAATTTCAATATAAAGTAGAAAATTGAAGGAAAACAAGGAAAACCATGAGGTCTGGTAGATGTCTCATATTTTTTTCCAAATCCTTTGCAATATGAACTATGCTTTCATTATTTTATAAATCTACTTTTTTGGTTAAAAAAATAAAGGCAATGATTTTCGTTACTTCACAATTTTTCCTTGTCACTTACCAGCTTATAGTTCCAACACTAACATCAACATAACACAACTCAACGCAGCACTACCTACATTCACTTGAAGTTAAAGTAAATGATGGCTTTTAGTAGAAAAAAATATTTCATTTTATCAGTGTAAAAAATTACCTGGTAGTTCCGGTACCAAGAGATGGAAATTATGGGTCCTGGTACCAGGAGAGGGGAAACCAAGGTTTCCGGTACCAGGAAAGGGAAACCATGGGTTTCAGAAGATGACATACACCATTGACCATTTCGATTGCAGTAAGCAATTGTCATTCTTTATTTATTGAACTAATACTTGTCATATATGTATGCCTTGTACGATAGAAAAAAATCTATTTCTCGTTTACTTACCTCAAACCCGTTCCTTGTCGGCTGCCAACTTATTGTGCCTCCGCGAAAATGGTTGGCATCAGCATAGCACATTGCCAACAAGTAGAACACAGCAAAACGCATAACTGTAGTAAATACTTATAAAACTTAACAAAGAAGTTTTCCTTCTAGAGAAACATAGATGTACAAGGAGATATTGTAATCGTCTTTCTTTTTTTGTAAAGAAAATATTTCCTTTATATATCAATGCAAAAATAGTTCGATATCAATATGCAAATGATTGAATCATATATAATCTTACCCAACAATATTATCCAATCAGAAGAGACGTCCTGGTTGATATTGACATAAACAAAAGTCCTGTGTACACAGTCAATAAAATATTTAATTTATAGATGTAGAACGACTTCATGAACAGATCCATATATCTTAATATATATCATGGTTACATCCTTATCTAACATATCGTACTTTTAATAACTTATTTCTCTCTATTGGGTGTTCAGGACTAAGACGATAGTAACGCGGCAGTTAGTATTTAATTGTATTTTGACCAATTTCGCTCGAGTGATAAACATCGATCTAAATATGATTATAAATATCGATATAAATGTGATGATAAATATAAATCTGAATGTGATGATAAATATAAATCTGAATGTGATGATAAATCTAAATGTGATGATAAATATAAATCTGAATGTGATGATAAATCTAAATCTGGATGTGATGATAAATAGAAATCTGAATGTGATGATAAATCTAAATGTGATGATAAATATAAATCTGAATGCGATGATAAATCTAAATGTGATGATAAATATAAATCTGGATGTGATGATAAATCTAAATGTGATGATAAATATAAATCTGAATGTGATGATAAATCTAAATGTGATGATAAATATCAATCTGAATGTGATGATAAATAGAAATCTGAATGTGATGATATATCTGGATGTGATGATAAATAGAAATCTGAACGTGATGATAAATATCAATCTGAATGTGATGATATATCTGGATGTGATGATAAATATCAATCTGAATGTGACGATAATCTGTATAAATCTGAATGTGATGATAAATCTAAATCTGAATGTGATGATAAATATAAATCTGGATGTGATGATAAATATAAATCTGAATGTGATGATAAATATAAATCTGAATGTGATGATAAATATAAATCTGAATGTGATGATAAATATCAATCTGAATGTGACGATAAATAGAAATCTGAACGTGATGATAAATATCAATCTGAATGTGATAAATACCAATCTGAATGTGATAAATAGAAATCTGAACGTGATAAATATCAATCTGAATGTGATGATAAATACCAATCTGAATGTGACGATAAATAGAAATCTGAACGTGATAAATAGAAATCTGAAATAAATACCAATCTGAATGTGATGATAAATACCAATCTGGATGTGATAAATATCAATCTGAATGTGATAAATAGAAATCTGAATGTGATAAATAGAAATCTGAATGTGATAAATACCAATCTGAATGTGATAAATATCAATCTGAATGTGATAAATATCAATCTGAATGTGATGATAAATAGAAATCTGAATGTGATGATAAATATCAATCTGAATGTGATGATAAATATCAATCTGAATGTGATGATAAATACCAATCTGAATGTGATAAATACCAATCTGAATGTGATAAATATCAATCTGGATGTGATGAAAATATCGATATAAATTGGCCATTCTGACCATATACCCTTACAAAACCCGAGTATAACACAACTAGTCAGACCTAAGTGTTGACGGGTCATATAAAATTTATTCTACGTATTTCAGTTTTTTATAAGTAAAATTGTTTTATTTTCTAAAATTTCTTTATCAAGATTATGAAAAGCCATGAGATACATCTGGTTACCCTACACGTGCCTTGTTTAACCTTTGTTTTTAGCTCCACACAGATAAGTAAGACGAAGCAATAGTCTATTATCTTATATTTGTATTATGTTTTTAAAAAATGGGTAAATATTGTAAAATTTCAACACCTTATTTCTTCCATTGTTGTTTCGATATAAATTGACTTTTTGGTGTGTGTTGTCCGACAATAAGTAGAAGTTAGAATGTCCAATGAAGTCTCGTTACGATTCTGTGTTTCATAGCCATCAAAGCCAAAGGAGACTCATACAAGTGTTTAGAAACATGTTCTAACTATACACTATCAAACCCTAACATAATTGACATGACATTTTTTCGTATTTGTAATGACAAGGTGTTAAGTCTACACCTATGTGATATCACGACATGTCTCAGGACAAAAAGTACGCCAAACAAACTGTGTTTGTTACATTTGTTTACAAAATGTATTTATGTACGTAGTCTAGACATAATTCTGATAACGGTTCTGTAACTGATTTATGAGATACTCAGGCCATGATCACTTTCAACAACGTTTTGTTTGATATCAATCCCAGTCGATTCCCTTCTCAATTCCTTTATCCTAAAGCTGCAGTTGACAATTCGCATTATATATGTATAATATAACAGAACATTGATGGAATCACAATTGTATATCTAACTAAACGTCGATAGACCGAAGGCAAGATAGGCACATCCAATTAACAGGAGATCTCTTAAACTAACACCAAGATAAAACCAGCTGCCATCTTTACAAAACATGTAGAGTAAGACCATCCTTTTTGGGGTATAGATGAAGAAGTATTAAACTGTATGCGTGTGTTTTTGATATGGTGTAAACATCATATGTACGTATTAACAGGTTGTGCTGTACATATTACCAGTTATTTTCGTTCTTTGGTGAATATATGGAGATGTTGAACAAGATTTACTCTCGAAAAATTACTTCCCAGCTTTAAAAATTTCTGTTAGCTGTCATGTAAGTTATCAATAGTGTTGTTCAGAAAAATCAATATAAGTTCTAGTCGAGGTTGAATATTTTGAGTTGACTTATCTGCCCTCCACTTCCTGATACTGTATTTATTGAAACCTTAGTGTATTGATAAGTAATGTCAGATCTGTTTGTTATTAACGGTATTGTACGTCATCGCCTTATAACAAACACACCACTCTCTGGTCTGCGACAGATATCTTGGAAATCCTCACATCGCACAAGGAAGTCCCATTGTTTTTGTTATAAGGAAGTTCTTAAAATCTTCAAATAAATGACAGAAAGACAGATACAATCAGATAAAACAATAAATAATAATTTAATTAATATCAGGTCGAGATTAACATGATGATCTGGATAACATTTCAGATATATGGTTCTCTCCTAAAGTCCGTTTAACATGTCCTCCTCTGTGATCATCCGATGACAATCCCTGGGTTGGTTCTGTAAAGGAAGTACATTTAAAACTAGTCAGAGAAAACAAAGAGATATGTTATACTTAGTCTAACAAACAGAACAGTTACTGTCTCTGGCTGGTTAAAATTGAAAACCCAATGATTTTCTCAAATCTTGGTTGGTAAAAAAAAGTGAAATGAAAATACTTTCTGTTAAAGACACTAAAGACTGAATCATTGCCTCTATAATTACCAATGCATATTATATTAATATTTTCTATGTGACGTCATACATGTATGGCGACACGGCGATGGTGTTCTGGTGTAATAACGTCTCGATACCAGGTTATATCCGTGTTTATCACATAATTACCTTGTTATCAAAGTGATAACACCCATAACAATGTTTGTTATTAGATACATGACAGACAGACAAATGTAAAAGGCTTTAAATAATGGTAACAGGGTAGTTATGTAAAAGGCTTTAAATAATGGTGACAGGGTAGTTATGTATAAGGCTTTAAAACAATGGTAACAGGGTAGTTAAATAATGATAGTAGTGATAAACGTTTAAAAGAAATTGATAAAATATTTTGGATACAGTTCAAACAGGACGTCAACAGAACTTTAATTTATCACTCATGCGTGAGATAGAGAAATCCCAATCTTTGTTATGATAGTTTGGATTTGAGTATCAAACATCTGGCATCTGATCTAGAATCTTATCTAGAATTTTGTTAGTCTACTTAACAAAGAAGTGATGGATTATTTTCTGCTATCGTACCACTGCTGAAGGTTGCTTGATAATGACGTTTTGTCGAGGATTTCGTTATGCAGGTAGGTCAAATCAATTTATATTTCCTTGTAAAAAGGATTAAAGACCACGTGTGATAGAAATAGATAACAATACTGGTTAGATGTGTGTATACATAACAAATAGTTGAAGAATTTATGGATGGTTTTTCGATGACTACACTAGAATTGTCAGATTCGGACAAATAGTCGAAGAAACCATTTCACGCGACAGACTGATGATGAAACTTAAATTTGCTAACTTGTGTTATCCGAGAATCAATTAAAAAAATACTTGTAGGCCTATCGCAATACATGTACAAAGAAAATACATAAACACAGCATGAATTTTCGATAAAGACTTATGTATGATATATACTGAAAGGATAAAGAAACGCAGGGTAATATTTATTCCGATAATTTGAAAACGCAATCTCCAAATAAAGGGAAACTTTGTGGATTGAGTAATTAGGTCATATTACACCTTGTCATGTATCGAAAATTTAGTCACGGTACAGTGCGCAGCTCTGGTAAATGGAGGAAGGAAAAACAAGAATCTCGTGCACCGTGTTGTTCTGGTCTCATGCAGCGTTGGTCAAGTCACTCTTCGTTAGTCTTTATACAGACCAACTGCTTCCCTAAAATTAATTGAGAATTTGATTCGTTTTAAGAATGGCACGACTCACAGAAGTTCAGAGGGGTCAGGCCGTTCAGATGCTGATGCAAGGACAGCTGCAAAATAAGGTTGCTAGGCACTTTGGTGTTAATAGAACGTCTTGTAAGATGTCTTCGGGAAACTGGGCGATTGGGCGATCGACCTAGGTCAGGACGTCCGCGCGTAACGTCACGACGTCAGGATCGCTATATCGTCGTCTCTCATGTGCGTAATCGGTGCCTTACTGCCGTTGAGAGTGCACTTAGTGTTCGTGGAAATCATGGACGTCCTATAAGTTCAAAAACTGTATGGAATCGATTACGAGAAGTTGGTGTAAGAGCACGTCGCCCCTACGTAGGTCCACACCTTACCCCTGCTCGACGTCAGCGTCGTATGGCCTGGGTCACTGCACATGCTCCATGACGGTTTCCACTGAGGCAGTGGAGACAAGTTTTCTTTACGGACGAGTCTCGATTCAGTCTTTATCAATCTGACGGCCGTCAACGTGTCTACCGAAGTCGTGGCGAACGTTTTACGGACGCTTGCGTTGTAGAGAGGGATAGGTTTGGGCGCGGTTCAGTAATGGTGTGGGGAGGAATCTCACACGGGTTAAAATCACAATTGGTTGTTATTGTTGGCATTTTAACAGCAGCTAAGTATAGAGATGAGATCCTCCGACCCCATGTTATCCCTTTCTTACAGCAGCATAATCTAACCCTCCAGCAGGATAATGCTAGGCCCCACGTAGCAAGGATTTGCCAAGTCTTTCTGGCCAACAACAACATTCAACCACTAGATTGACCGCCATATATCCCTGATTTGTCCCCGATCGAGCATCTTTGGGACCAGTTGGATAGACAGGTTCGAAAGCGCCAGCCACCCCCTGCTACTCGAGAGCAGCTGACCAGAGCTCTGATTGAAGAGTGGGACAACATCCCCATATGACGGATTAACGCTCTCATGAACTCTATGACCAGAAGACCACAGCAAACGGCGGACATACAAGATATTGATGACTCAGTTCAATTTCAATTTCAAAATTCTATGGGTCCATTCAATTTAATCGTTAGTACCTCTAAACCAATTGTCAGATACAAAATACAGACTTTGGAAATTTTTAAGCTTTAATTCATCTGTAAGTATACAAAATTTCGTTTTAAATGAAGCCCGATATCATACTTAATTTCTGGTTTAAAGTTCACCCTGCGGTTCTTTATCCTTTTAGTATATAAATCGAGACATATGGGGATATTATAGTAAGACAAAATAGACGACACAGTGATACCACTTGTATGGTTCAATCTACTCATATCATAGGAGAGGACTGATCACTCACGTCTTCTCACAAATGTAGTTGTACTGTTGGTTACACGTGCGGTCGTACCACTGGTAATGTTCTCGTGTGTTTATAATGGTACAGTGTTGGTCTAGGTGATCATTGTCTGGTTCCGAAGGGCCCCAGTTGTAATACAATGGTGTCAAACGCTCGGGGACCCAAAGAAAGTGACCCTCTACCTCCCAGTCCGTCAAGCCTATCCAAAACTCATGGCTAGGGTACACTAAAGGGAAACACGTCTTTATCAATACAGTTATTGTACTCTAAAGGGAAGCAACTCATTATCAATACAGTTATTGTACTCTAAAGGGAAGCAACTCATTATCAATACAGTTATTGTACTCTAAAGGGAAGCAACTCATTATCAATACAGTTATTGTACTCTAAAGGGAAGCAACTCATTATCAATACAGTTATTGTACATTAGAAGCAATCAGCTTAATAGAAACACATACATAAGAATACAGGTTTTGTAGATTAAAGAGAAACAACTCGAAAGAAACACATCTATATTAATATATTTATTACTCATTAAAGGGGAACAACTCGATGAAATCAACTCTTTATTAATACACTTATTGTCGACGAAAGGGAACTATAACTCCGTACCATTACATTATTGGAACAATGATGGGAAACAGAGGAGTTAACATAGGAATAAAATGACTAATTATAGTTACAAACCTTTACTGAAATTTCTTAGATATTCGGAGAGAAACCTGTCCTCGTCAAGGGTTTCAATATTCACCAAAGTGGCACCATATAGTTTACACATTTCCTGTAGAATCAATCCTCAACATTAACACAAACTCCTCAGTACATTCTATACACCAGTTAAACACACCTGACGTGTCAGTTTAACCAACAATTGTGGTACACTGTAGTTACCAGCACTATGATTGATTTTTATTTGTAAATTACATTCGTTATATAGCTTATTCTGATCCGTCTTTTAAAAGATAGGCCGTGAACCTATGAATATGGTCTATTGTCGTCATACTCAAATTACTGATTTTTTTTGGAAAAGACACGGATTTTTGTGTGATTCATTCATTTGTTGTCTATCATTCTCATAGGAATACATTATGCAAACAACATTCTTTATTTGAAAGATTGTCTCAGAACGCATATCGTCAAAATAAATGATATGCGTCATTGATAAAAAAGAAAATGTGCTTGTTAGTGTAAAAAATCAAATATATTTTTACAAAACACTATGACTGACATGATACTATGTATAATACTAACATATTTGACAGAGTTCACATCTGTTCATCTGTATTGGTACAATGCTCTTTTATCTACAGAATTGAAAAAGAAAACTATGGCAAATTATGAACAAAATAAAAGTTTTAATGGAGGCTTGTGAAAAATTACTAGGATAATAAGACAAGATATTCCGAAACAGTGAGAGGCTTATTCTAACTCATGACAATCCCCGCCATGTTAATATTGGTTCAAGTAAGTAGTGAGAACAAGGTAAACAACATCAGAATCACCATGTATACTAACAGTTTACCTCTATCTTCATATCGAAAAAGAAATAGAATATTTCTCCATGAAATCATTATGACGATTGTAAAATTTCCCCACATTATGATCTCCATCAACTGGCGTCTATCGAAACTCGGTGTTGTAAGTTTATCTGTTTTATGCTGGCATCATGCACGGCAATCGTGATACCGGAAACAAGCCCAAGAATATCGAATCGACTGCGACATGTAAATACCATTGGTTGGGGATGCAAAAATGTGGCAATCCAGAAATGGAAACTTCACATTAGGGAAATCCAAATCATCACGCTTATAATGTATCTTGATAGAAATCTGTCCTTTTTGATCGATGTAAGCGGCTAATGTTCCATGGTGGATGTATATAATGAACATGGTCAATAAATCTTTTATTATTTAAAGACAAGAAGTCATTTACATTTAACAGTCTCACAATGATACTGTTAGTTTGAAACTTTAAAACATTGGTAAAGGTTTGGTTTAACTAGGCGGCAAATAGAGTACGCTCTAGTGCCTATGTCATCTTCATTCAGTTTCTGCAACATTTGTTAGTAACCGAAAAACGTTTGGATGCAGTGAGTATGGTGTAACTGTAGGCAATGCTAGGTGTGTCTCTGAATTTGTAGAATGGTGGGGTGTTACATTGGAATTGGTTATTGGCATAGCGTGGACATTACACAAGCTATCGCTACGTGGTGAAATATTAGTGTATTGACATTAAAACACCTCCTACCTCTGCTGTCACCCATTCCTCTGTGTCTCTGCTGATGTGGTAGCATGACGACTCTGCATTACCAACCCAACCTTCTTGACAGAAGGACTGTGCTGAAATAGTAAATATAGTCAAATGTTAAGTTTATCATTGTCGTAGAGATCTCGGGGTTTATGTCAATGTTATACTTACCGTCAACATAAACCAGTAAAATTCCCCATACGGCAACGCTTAACAACATTTCTGTAAGATGTATGTAATGTACAGATCGCTGTAAAGTCCTACTAAGATATGAACATGACTTCCTATATCTGGATGTATATTCTATATCATGTGTGTCAACTCTGAGACTTCGGTCATATCTAGAACTGTTAAGTTCCGTAAGATCACCGACTTTATCTGAATATACTAGCCATCGATCGACCTTGGACAAGTAGGTCGCCTTTTGTTTACAAACCGATGTGTTTTTGATTTCGTCGTGGAATTCCCTGTTTCCATAACTGCACATTGACAACCAAAGAAAAGAACGTTGTTTAAAAAAGTCATCAATTGTACCAAGTCATTTATTGTTTTTGATAAACACTCCGCTTTCCTAAAATTGATCTTCTATGCTTGATTTAGATTTAGTCACGAAACAAGCAAACAAATATACAAATAAAAATCGTCCGCGTTTGCTCGCAACTGAATTAGTTCTTGCTTTCTTGGTGTGTTGTAACGCTTCATGTTTTTAGTCTGTTTTTCTAGTTTGGAATAGAAAATGAAAATGTACATAATGGATAACATGTTCTAATATATAAGGCTCTGATGGCTTTTCATATTAGGAAGTTCAAAATTATCAAAATCTCTTTTAAGTTCTTCAAAATCTACATTGCTCCTAATTCACATCTGGAGACATAAAATGCAAAATGGTAACCGTGGTTTAGTAGTGTTCCATCTATATAACTTAATTCGTATAAATGATCGTAATTGTAAAATACTAGAAACTTTTCCACTCAAAACTAAATCACGTTGACCTCGGACTAAGTCTTCGGCTAATAAGATCTTATCCGGGTTCACAAATGCAGGTATCACCATCAGCTAGTGATTATTATCGTGTGACACGGCACATTGTATCTGTATATACACAGTAGGTCTGTACCAGTGATTTGAAACAGCCTTTCAAAACCTATGTAACCCGGGCTGATTAACTTCTGTAAATATAAGGCAACCGGAAGTCTTAAAGTCTTAACACAGTACAAAATTTTTTAAAAAGATAATATTCAAATATACATTGAGAAACTGGTAAGAAACTTGCAACTGTGTCGCGGTTATGTGAACTATATAAAAAAAATAGGACCTGAACCAGCTAAACTTCCCGGAGTTGATTTGTTGTTCTAGCTACATATGTACAGTCAGCAGGAGTAGGGGTCTAATGTAAAGGGAATTAACTCTATTGATCTTACCATCACAGCCTTCCCGTCATCAATAATGGAGAAAGAGAGCATCTGTCAAGTGCGTATGTTGTTATACAGGGTCTACGGTATCTCTTTGTACCTAACGACTTGGTTCACGTGATGTATCATTGAAATTACGACAGAACGACATGTGATTAGGGTACCACATCGTCATGTACATAATACCATCACGGAATAAAAACCCGTGGTACCAACCCGTGTGTGTTAATTTGTGCGCATTAATTATAATCGTAAAACGAAAACAGTGTTCAATATACATCTAAACTGATTTAAAAAAACATTGTGTACATTTGAGAAGCATTGATAAACATATTGGGGCGAAATCATGTGATTCAGCTTCTAAAATAGATCAATCTAGGAGAAACCGCCCTCTCCCGAAATAAAACCATGAATGATGCAGATTCTTGGTTTTAGAACAAACTTGGGATTTCCTGAATTATCTCGGTGTTCCAAGAATAAAATCGATGCGGCGTTGTTGGTTCCCACGGATGTGAGCGGAAGGGGCCGATCTTTAGTACATTGTACATAAGAGGTCCCACACAGCACGGGTATCGATCACAGCGCCGTGTCAGGGGTGAACACATTTTACTGGTAAGGTTATTTTCGTTTTAAATATTTCATGTTTCATGTATGCTGATTTGGGTATTATTGCACCGGAGAGTTTCAGATAAGGAAACAGTTCATATTTTCCGCAGTATCATTGTAGTTTTATTCGCTTCCGGATTTCCCCTTAAATAACATGTTAGTACATAGTGGTTAGGAGAAGGATTGTCCTCTGTGCTACATGAATATACAGTATATTAGATGAATGTAAAGAAGTTTCATTGTAAAGAGCCCAAGTATTAAATAGACTAACGCTTTCAAAATTTTATTCGTGCTCTATAAATAAAATTATGTTTACCATATAACAAAATATTCTTGGGGTCAGATCTGTTCCGCATGTTTGTTACTTTCTCTTCTGTTCATCATACACATACATTAATGTTTGTTATTGTCGATGACAAAGTTCAAAAAGGAAACAGCTTTTACGGTCGCAAATTTGTGCCATTTCGTTAAATCGTCCTTTAAGAGCCTTACTGGAAAGAACGAAACAACGAAATGGCACGAAACGGAAAAGTAACACAGAGAAAATGTACAAATCCTATCTGATCCGTTTGTGTGCTAATCTCATTTTGTTTCTGCATAGACTACAGATAAATGTGGAATGTGACAAATTTAAAACTTCACAAGGAACACTACTCAGCTGTCATCACTATGACACTGTATTGACCAATATATACATGTACGGGGTAGAAAATCCAACAAGAGGTACTTCATTTTCCGTTACTTGGAATGTTTAGGGGCAATTTTTTTTCAATCAGAACATGGTCTTTCCGTTCCAATGGATAAATCCGTGGATAATGATCACCCCTGCCTTTCCCTGAACGTCACGCGTAATTGTCCCGTGGCAACCATCCAGCGTAACAATCGCCTGCCGTTCAACATTGTCAGAGATCTTTTTGACTTAATGGATCGAGAAACATCGAAGGTCCTTTGTCAGTATCATGAACTAAATCCTCCCAAGGGTAATTATAGAAACTGAACGCTCCCGTGGGTAATTACCATTGTTATTTATGTAAATTTATAATATTGGAATAACCTAGTTTTGTTGAAAATTGATTGTTTTTTGTCTCTTTAAAATTACAATCGCTTTTTTATGTTGAAAACAGCAGTCAGTTTCTACTCTAACGATTTATGAAGATACATTGTTTCGAATATTGACAACACGTTGTGAAACGTTATCTAAGTAAACCAACGGGCGACAGTCGAACAATCAACCAAAGATAGTTAGGAAGTAGTACGAAATAACAAGTTCAATATTACAACGTCCTTACGGACAGAATATTGACGTGGAAAACGGACAGAATATTGACGTTGAATACAAACAAAATACGGACAGAATACGGACAGAATATTGACGTAGAATACGGACAGAATATTGACGTAGAATACGGACAGAATACTGACGTAGAATATGGACAGAATATTGACGTAGAATATGGACAGAATACTGACGTAGAATATGGACAGAATACGGACAGAATACTGACGTAGAATATGGACAGAATACCGACAGAATACTGACGTAGAATATGGACTGAATACGGACAGAATACTGACGTAGAATACGGACAGAATACCGACAGAATACTGACGTAGAATACGGACAGAATACTGACGTAGAATACAAGATAAATCAAGAGTGACTTTCTATAAATCAAGAAAACAAAACATAGATATAAAACTCATACGTGTTGTGTTGGTGTAGATCTAACTTGAGATATAACACATACGTGTTGTGTTTGTGTAGATCTAGCTTGAGATATAACACATACCTGTTGTGTTTGTGTAGATCTAACTTGAGATATAACACATACGTGGTGTGCTGGTGTAGATCTAACTTGAGATATAACACATACGTGTTGTGTTTGTGTAGATCTAACTTGAGATATAACACATACGTGTTGTGTTTGTGTAGATCTAACTTGAGATATAACACATACGTGTTGTGTTTGTGTAGATCTAACTTGAGATATAACACATACGTGTTGTGTTTGTGTAGATCTAACTTGAGATATAACACATACGTGTTGTGTTTGTGTAGATCTAACTTGAGATATAACACATACGTGTTGTGTTTGTGTAGATCTAACTTGAGATATAACACATACGTGTTGTGTTGGTGTAGATCTAGCTTGACATATAATGCATAAGTATTGTGTTTGTGTAGATATAACTTGATATATGATACATACGAGTTGTGTGTGTGTAGATCTAACTTGATATCGCGTTTTCGCGAAACATCTAATTTGAAATGTTATATATATGTGTGTTTTATCAGCGTACATTGTTCTAAACGCATACGAATGAATATAAAATTATCATTAAAAATTTAATACAAATTTAGGAGAAGGTAGAGTAGATCAAACTTTATCATAGAGCTAACCTGAGATGTCTCATCGTAGAGCTAACCTGAGATGTCTCATCGTAGAGCTAACCAGAGATGTCTCATCATAGAGCTAACCTGAGATGTCTCATCATAGAGCTAACCTGAGATGTCTCATCATAGAGCTAACCTGAGATGTCTCATCATAGAGCTAACCTGAGATGTCTCACCATAGAACTAACTTGAGATGTCTCATCGTAGAGCTAACTTGAGATGTCTCATCGTAGAGCTAACCTGAGATGTCTCATCATAGAGCTAACCTGAGATGTCTCACCACAGAACTAACTTGAGATGTCTCATCGTAGAGCTAACTTGAGATATCTCATCGTAGAGCTAACCTGAGATGTCTCATCATAGATCAAGCTGGAAATAGATTTCTCACCATAGAGTTAACTTGAGATGTTTCATCATAGTGCTAACTTGAGATGTCTCACCATAGAGCTAACTTGAGATGTCTCACCACAGAGCTAACTTGAGATGTCTCACCGTAGAGCTAACTTGAGATTTCTCACCATAGAGCTAACTTGAAATATCTGACCATGGTTCTAACTTGAGATATATAATCACAGAGCTAAATGTACCGTAAGATATAACACATACTCGTTGTACCATTTGATATCTCACGTGAGATATAAGATATCAGCACTTTATCGGCGAATATCTAACTTTAGATATTACACTTGCGTGTTGTGTCACAGGATATCTAACCTGAGAAACTACACATGCGTGTACAACTGTAACGGTTAAAATCTATACCCTAGCTCGGCACGTCAGTATATCGGTATGGACCACTTGTAACTGGATCCGATATACTCAGGTGATAATGTATCATTTTGACAGTGTCTGTAGATACTCTGTCATACTACAACATGTTGTATGATGTTGCAGACTTGTGTTCTTAGAGAACATGTAAAGATCTTACATGTTGTACAGTGGTGTCACTCCCGCATTGCCGTTATCACTGACACGTGTATAGTTCTCAGAACGCTTAACATAGAACTTGGATTTCTATGTCTTTCTGCGCATCGTCCTTTGTCACCTTTCAGCCTCAGCAGTTAACTCTGGAATTCCGATCAGGCTGCTTTCCCTTACAGACGCTTGTGCGGTAAGGGAAATCGAAAGTTGGAAGATTTACCATCTAGTAGGATCCTAACAGTCACAGAGGGAGTGTTCTTGTGTATCACAGCAGTACCAGAAAAAAAAATGTCAGACACTGCACGTATCGGTAAATCACGTCCTATTCTATTTATAAAAATGATAATAGGACACAATTGGTGTACATCTAAAGAGATTTGATAATCGGAGCAGCGACATACTTAAAAGTCCCTATAAAATATAGTGCAGTAAGCTACTCTGACCAGAAAGCCACAGCTGTGCTGACCAGAAACCTGTCGGAATAAAACCAACTGTAATGTTATAACAGGCCTGGATGTACTTACAGCTGTTACTACCTGCGAGCCTGGACTACTGTAAACAATGAAGTCAGACAGAATAACAGTTGTAAACCATGCCCGTGTGACTATGTGTCGGAAATCTATTTGCGTAAGTATTATACACTGGGATGTAATCAATAGACGACATATTAATTAACAGTAATTTATCGGCGCAGTAGAGAGAACTCCTGTAAAGACTATGTACGTGTATATTTAGATCATTCGAACTGTACGTGTGTATACGGTGATCAATGATACTGTACGTGTGTATACACTGATCAATGATACTGTACGTGTGTACACACTGATCAATGATACTGTACGTGTGTATACGGTGATCAATGATACTGTACGTGTGTATACGGTGATCAATGATACTGTACGTGTGTATACACTGATCAATGATACTGTACGTGTGTATACACTGATCAATGATACTGTACGTGTGTACACACTGATCAATGATACTGTACGTGTGTATACACTGATCAATGATACTGTACGTGTGTATACGGTGATCAATGATACTGTACGTGTGTATACGGTGATCAATGATACTGTACGTGTGTATACGGTGATCAATGATACTGTACGTGTGTATACGGTGATCAATGATACTGTACGTGTGTATACGGTGATAAATGATACTGTACGTGTGTATACGGTGATCAATGATACTGTACGTGTGTACACAATGATCAATGATACTGTACGTGTGTATACGGTGATCAATGATACTGTACGTGTGTATACGGTGATCAATGATACTGTACGTGTGTATACGGTGATCAATGATATTGTACGTGTGTATACGTTGATCAATGACATTGCACGTGTGTATACACTGATCAATGATACTATACATGTGTATACGGTGATCAATGATACTGTACGTGGGTATACACTGATCAATGATAATGTACGTGTGTATACGGTGATCAATGATACTGTACGTGTGTACACACTGATCAATAATACTATACATGTGTATACGGTGGTCAATGATACTATACATGTGTTTACGGTGATCAATGATACTGTACGTGTGTACACAATGATCAATGATACTGTACGTGTGTATACGTTGATCAATGACATTGCACGTGTGTATACACTGATCAATGATACTATACATGTGTATACGGTGATCAATGATACTGTACGTGGGTATACACTGATCAATGATAATGTACGTGTGTATACGGTGATCAATGATACTGTACGTGTGTACACAATGATCAATGATACTGTACGTGTGTATACGGTGATCAATGATACTGTACGTGTGTACACACTGATCAATGATACTGTACGTGTGTATACGGTGATCAATGATACTGTACGTGTGTACACACTTATTCATGATACTGTTCGTGTGTATACGGTGATCAATGATACTGTACGTGTGTATACGGTGATCAATGATACTGTACGTGTGTATACACTGATCAATGATACTGTACGTGTGTATACGGTGATCAATGATACTGTACGTGTGTATACGGTGATAAATGATACTGTACGTGTGTATACACTGATCAATGATACTGTACGTGTGTATACACTGATCAATGATACTGTACGTGTGTATACGGTGATCAATGATACTGTACGTGGGTATACACTGATCAATGATACTGTATGTGTGTATACACTGATCAATGATTCTGTACGTGTGTATACACTGATCAATGATACTGTACGCGTGTTTACACTGGCCAGCAAGGGTACTGTTACTGACATCCTAGAAGGGCCGCGATAGCTGTCGGTTGGCCATCGTCTTGTATAATCTCGAGTAAAGAACCTTTGTGTAAAGGTTCGATTCCAGGTCGGGATGAGTTGTGTTTATCAAACCAGGACCATTCAGTGTTCTTGTTATTGGTTAAGACATATATTGCTCTGGATGGCATATGACTATGTCTCCCGTAAATTGTTTAGTGGCAGACCTCCCGTATATTGTTAAGGGAAGGATTCCTACATCGAGCCTACTCAAAATAACCGACATATCAACCAAAACACATGGCTTGTAAACTTAACACACCCGAGGTATTGGTTAAGAAACTGTTTGTAGTTCTAAAGATACCTAGTAAACTGTAATTATACCATTTATCGGCCATTAATTCCGATACATTGTAATTCTATAGATACTTTGTAAACTGTACCCATACCGTTTGTCGGCCATTAATTCCGATACATTGTAATTCTGTAGATACTTGTAAACTGTAATTATACTGTTTGTCGGCCATTAATTCCGATACATTGTAATTCTGTAGATACTTGTAAACTGTAATTATACCGTTTGTCGGCCATTAATTCCGATACATTGTAATTCTGTAGATACTTGTAAACTGTAATTATACCGTTTGTCGGCCATTAATTCCGATACATTGTAATTCTGTAGATACTTGTAAACTGTAATTATACTGTTTGTCGGCCATTAATTCCGATACATTGTAATTCTGTAGATACTTGTAAACTGTAATTATACCGTTTGTCGGCCATTAATTCCGATACATTGTAATTTTGTAGATACTTGTAAACTGTTATTATACTGTTTGTCGGCCATTAATTCCGATATAATGTAATTCTATAGATACTTTATAAACTGCAATTACATGTTCAGCATTAGTAAACAAAAAGGAGATTGACAGAGTTATTAAACGGCAGCAGAAAATTAAAGAAAAAATGTTTTTGTGTCCATGGCCTGCAAATGTATAGGTCAGCAAGAGGTGACGTGGGTACAATTAATGGACAGTGTCCTTAGGCGTGCGATAGTTCTTTGTTGGTCAAACGAGACATCCAATTATAAATCTCCTGTGGACACATATCATCTTAATCTGTATGTGTGAACATAGAAGCTCGAGAAAATCAACAAATCACATTATTATGCAAAGTATGAAGACTTTATCAGACTAAGACGTGCCGTGCTGGCCAGCAAGCCATTACTGGGGAAGATAACGTGCCACAATTAATTACTTCCATAGCTTCAAAATGGAATGACCAGCATCTCACCACAACCATTGGAATATATTAACTGACTACCATGTGTTTTATCAAAGTCCTTGTTTCCATTATATTTGGTCAGTATGAGTCACCAACATGTTCATAAAAGTTACGTGGATGGGTCCTACCCTATCACACAACGAACAATAGTTACTCATACTACAATGACGATTATTGAAAGTACACGTTTCAGTCTTAAAACATCATGTTTCTATAGCATAACTTCTAAAGAAGCACAAAGATTTGTTTGAAATGACATGATTCTTGACAAATTTGTGGAGTTTTTCTATCTTACTATGGCGGTAAACGAAGACAAGCTTTCACCTCCATATATAAAATTTGTTGCCAGAGATTTCTCCCAGAAGTCCTCGTAATTTCGTGGCCCCTCTTGGAACCGTATATGTAACTTATGTCCGCATAATTCTAAAGTGCATCAAACCATTCAGTGTAAATTAGCCCCAACGATCAATAAAGTAGCGCGAAGTTGCTGGTTTTCAGTTTACAGGCGTGATTACTAGGAGATAGGATTTTAACTGTATTACTGGTGTAGCCAGATGGTCGCCCTCTTGTCAATGTTTTCAGTCCAACAGCGCCATCTTTAATATCACCTCATTTCGTTGCAGTAATGAATAAAAAAATCAGACTCTATAGCAAGTGTTTAAATATTGATGGAGAGCAAGACAGTTATACCATCTCCTCTAGTAAAATACATTCCTTTATTAAAATTTACAGTCATAGTTTTAACCAATTATACTGGCAAACTTTGAAATATCGGTCTTTGCTTGTCAAGTTATCGCGCATGTGTCCCTTGAATGGCAGATGTGTGGAATTTAACTGTAAATCAAAGATGCCGTCTTGTCCTTCCTTGTAAATTATTCAAAACGTTTGAGTTTCCCCCTAAGTCTGCCCTGGAAGTTGAACTTGTGTCACTGTCGCGTTTACACCAATAATCCGAGTCGATTCGCGTGATAAATAAAACATGCTAATGTCCTATCACATTAATATTTTCACGCTGGGGACTACTAGGTTCATGGACACGAGACGTAAAAGTGACGTGGAAATAAAGCTATGTGGATGAACAGAACGACGGTAAACCCGTTAGGGTCCTGAAATAACACCACTTTATCCCTCGTTAGAGAGTAATTACCTGCGGAGAACAGAGCCTGATTGGTACCGTTATTGACTCTGTAGCTGCGACTCTTTGTTAATACATTGTCAACATCACCTTTAGAGTAATTATGATTTTTTGATTTCCGGTATCTGATTGTCTTGTAAAGATTTACACCGAGAATCCTGAGAAAGTACAAGGAGTGTAAGACCATTTGTTTCAGAAGAGTAAGCGTCTTCTGCTTCATCGACAACACCAGTCAGGTAAATCTTTGTCAATCCAATTGGGTAAAAACGACAATAATGTATACAACCGCGGAAACAATAGGAAAAGTAACGAGCATCAAACATGTCCATCTTCCTACGCACAAAGAGATTATAAAAAATAAATAAAATATTTGTCATTGAGATCGTTATGACTACGGTAAACCTTACCAATAATTTCACTCAACCTTCATCTTTTGAAACCATATGTTGTGAGTTTGTTCATCAGATTTTTCGATCTCTTGCACAAAAATCGTGAAATTGGGAACAAGCTCTTGAATAACCATAGGCCGGGGGTGCAGGACTGATGCTATGGTGTCACTCATCAGAAATCAAACTTACATTCTTGACGACGCTATGTTTCCCCTTTGATAAGAAACCTAACGTAAACTGATCTACATCCTGTCTTTGATAACAGATTAAAACGTCTCTCAAGAAGTAATGATGTGTCAAAAGAATAAAACTTTTGGCAACATTGAACTTGGATTTAAAAAGGAAGTACAACGTACGTAATACCAAAACTTTGTCCTTAATGACATTTACCCTGCTCAGACTGATTTAATTATCCCAAGAACAATACTTTCCCGAATTGTGGCATATCCAGAGATTTAGTACGCTAGTTTATATCGTAAATGAACATTCAATTAAAACACACACTTTAATAACCAGTTTTACATGTGTTTTACAAGGCGACTTAATCACTGGATCTGACAATGAACAATCGAGAGATTTAATTTAAATATTGATGTGGTGATTACTTGTAGCTGGCACACCGTATGTATCTGTAGTACTGATAAACCCCTGTGAGACGAGATGATTTAATTGAGTAGAAGGTTCGCCGTCTTGTTCCGGCGATAAATTACATGGCTTCTGTAGTTATTTTAAGGTTCCGTCCATTGGTGGTGCCAATGTTTAATTACAACTCTACTCCTGGCCTGCCGCCCCTTCCATCGCCTTAGCGTGGAAATACTCCAGTATGACACCATTCCCGAGAGGCAGCCGTATAAGACTGGACCAGAGAGAAGCGCTGGTCAATGTTGGACCATCTAATGTACAACCCTGGTCAACTCCGGTCATTACACATCTGTCTACAATCCCCAATAGCCAGGTGGCAACAATCTCTGGTCATAATTTCTGTCTTTTAGTAACTGCCTTCAATGACAGACACGTATTTCTGTTAAAATAACGACATCACCAGCTATAACTATAGTGTTACTGTCATATTAACATCATTAGACTGGTCATTTGTGTCCATAAGTCACTAAATGTGTTGCCTTGGTATTGTCACTGTCGATCCTTTGTGGTTAGTTTCACACCTAAGTCACTTAATGTGTAACCTTGGTATTGTCACTGTCGGTCCTTTGTGGTTAGTTTCACACCCAAGTCACTAAATGTGTTGCCTTGGTATTGTCACTGTCGATCCTTTGTGGTTAGTTTCACACCCAAGTCACTAAATGTGTAACCTTGGTATTGTCACTGTCGATCCTTTGTGGTTAGTTTCACACCCAAGTCACTAAATGTGTAACCTTGGTATTGTCACTGTCGGTCCTTTGTGGTTAGTTTCACACCCAAATCACTAAATGTTTAACCTTGGTATTGTCACTGTCGATCCTTTGTGGTTAGTTTCACACCCAAGTCACTAAATGTTTAACCTTGGTAATATCTCTGTCGATCCTTTGTGGTTAGTTTCACACCCAAGTCACTAAATGTTTAACCTTGGTAATATCTCTGTCGATCCTTTGTGGTTAGTTTCACACCTAAGTCACTAAATGTGTTGCCTTGGTATTGTCACTGTCGGTCCTTTGTGGTTAGTTTCACACCCAAGTCACTAAATGTTTAACCTTGGTAATATCTCTGTCGGTCCTTTGTGGTTAGTTTCACACCTAAGTCACTAAATGTGTTGCCTTGGTATTGTCACTGTCGGTCCTTTGTGGTTAGTTTCACACCCAAGTCACTAAATGTTTAACCTTGGTAATATCTCTGTCGGTCCTTTGTGGTTAGTTTCACACCTAAGTCACTAAATGTGTTGCCTTGGTATTGTCTCTGTCGGTCCGTTGTGGTTAGAAAAGTAAGTCACTAAACGCCTTGGTATTCTGTACAGGCGGCCTGTATCAGCAGTTGATGCATCCGTCCATCCATTTGATAAGTTCCACTGGTAACATCATAATACGATTTAAAATCACCGCTAAAGGCAACCATCAGAGGAGGCAGTCAGGAGACACGTGTCTGTTAGTGATTAATGTCTCAACATTTAACATGAAATCGTCTCTGTTAGGTCTACGTGAAGTATGAAGACTACACATGGCGCGACACAGAAGGATAGCAGTAATTAAAGTTACCACTAGTAAGATCGCGCAAATATAGAATAAGTCAGCGTTCAGATGTTGTTTGTAGGTCATGCAAGCCACAACATTGTTTGGACTGAGATGTTTGATTTTTATGACGTATTACTGGTACAACAAGATTATTGCAGAATCTCAAGGGATGTATTTTATATTGTGATCACACTAACCCTAAAAACATGGAACCCAGTCCTGACAGGGTATAGTTTAAACACAAGATGTGCTACAGGTAGCGTTAGCGAGTCTGTTGGATATTCATTGCGATAGAACACGAACCGGCGCTGTCTGGTCTTACTAGAACTACTTTGGGAATTTCGGACTTTACAAACTTTTGGTAATAATTCATTTCGTTTTATGAGCCATTGGTGTAGTGTCGTGACCATTGGTGTAGTGTCGTGACCATTGGTGATGCATGGTGATGCTTGCCAAACGTAATGACTACCAGCTGTCAAGTATACCGTATATATCCTAATCCCTTTTACTCTTGAGTAAAATAGAGGCAATCATCCACGCCACTCACTCCCTAATACGCCCCTTGCTTGAACTGGTTTATATTTGTGAAGATAAAATAATCTACAAGACCGTCAGTCCAAATGATACTGATCAATATAGCGAAGTGTTATATACCTCGGTACATTCGGCCTGGAGACGTTTCATGTACTATAACTGTGTATGACAGCTACCGCATGCGGCCCAATATAAAACCTGAAGGAGTCATAGAGTCATCGACGTTGGTTTTACCGTCTAACTAGCCATAGTCACGTGACTAGAAGGCGTGGTACAGGAAATACCACTTATGAAGGATAGTTACACCAAGAAAGTAATTAATGATGTGAGACCTCATTAATGAATTTCAGGGATGTAATTTGTCATAACTTGAACTATTTTAGATGTAAACTTTCTCTAATCGTGCTGTGGCAATTGACGTCGTTCGATATAAACAGGAGGATGTGAGTTAGGGCATGTCCGTTCAATAGTGCATACGATCGTATCTATTGTGGCCGCTAATTGGCAGTAGATAATTCATGAGGGCTCTTAAATGTCCATTACTGTGAAGTAGATCACAAAGCTATTGGATGTCCAGAGCATGCGGGATGATTTACAAAGTACCTTTGAATGCAGACTGCAGGTACATAAATACATCACGATGTACGCGCAATACAGTGATGTGCGCATGCGCACTTACACCGACTCAGGGGTCTGGTACTTTCACTTTGTATTATTGATATATATTGTAAACAAATGAAAAACACACGTAGTGTCCTCAGATCTGGAAAATGTTATAGATGTACAACAAATGTTATATCGTCGGATGTAGTAAGATTAAGGACGTTAGGAAATGATATATCTAGACCAATGTGTAATCAGTGATATTAAGCGGAGAATTTCCACAGACGTGACAATGCCATATGGTTTATACAAAACTTTCCAGATGCACGAACAAGTTGGCGTGAGTATGGACCGGACAAAGAAACAATATCAATCAAACAAACGAACTATCGGTTAGTTATTCTCCATTCAACCTATTGGCCTCAGTTGTATTCACGGGTTCATTAAAGGTGATCTGTTTAGGTCCGTCCTGGTCCCCTACGTAATGTCATACTTTTGTTTTGTTCCAGCCGTAAAAGAATGAACACAGTCCGGGTATGAGACCTCCGGATCCAGCCACCATCTTGTATTCATTCGTCTGCTTTAGCCTGCTTCATCTACAACGTTCCATGGCGTCTCTCATTCCTCAGACATATTTCTGCGGTTCAGAGGTAAGTATGATTTGATAGGCAGAGTCTAGAAATATGAGTTACTTGAAAGATGTGTCAATGATAAATGTTGAGATTTAGAAATTGGCTCAAAGCAAATTGTGAGAATAATGGGTAGGAATCCTCCTCCTACTCCCTTCGTTTGGACTGTTTATTATATATTGTTAAAAAAGCTTTCATATTGTTATCCATAAGATCTTTACAATAAAATAGTTTTACAAATGAAGTATAAACCGTAAATATCGTTCCTGACATATTCCTTGAATGACATATAATCCGGATTATCATCATACAGAAGATATATGTGAGGGTCATATGTCGTCTTCACAGCAATGAAGGCAAGTACAGTGTATGTCGTTTGCAATGACCGTCTAATACCGCTTTCTGCGACGGTCAGTAAATATGTGGAAATCCTATGACCCCTTCTGGAGTGAGCATATGTCCAACGATAGCTACTGCAGATATACATATCAATGCGACATTCACATAGAATGTTGGATAATGTCTTAAGTAACCAAGACTTATGAACACATCTCTAAAGGTGGCCATTGAGGATCCTTGTGACATACACTGGAAAAGTGTACAAGTGATACGACAATCACTGAAAACATGGATAATATCAATGTAACCAGAGGAACTGAGTATCAAACGATGTCTGTGATATTCATGTGTCTCTTATACATTCAGATCAGTAGTAAGAGATAGAGGAATCAGTTAAGGTAAGAGACTGGCTAAGGACAATCACTGGAGGTGAAGCTACATTTTTGGCAATCACTGAAGATCACTTCCTTTCCGATAGCAAACAAAGCTGTTTATCAACCTAGTTCCATTACTAGGCTTTCCACTGTTGTTTTCGGGAGAGGTACACATGGTCGATATCAATGTCAAGGGTTCCACGGCTATTTTTATCAATGGTTACTTAGCTATTCTTATCAAGTGTTCCTCGGCTATTTCTTTCAAGGGTTCCTCTGCTATTTTTGTCAAGGTTTCCTCAGCTATTTTTGTCAAGGGTTCCTCAGCTATTTTTATCAATAGTTTGTCATCTAATTTAATTAAGAATTCCTCGCAGCTATTTTTATCAAGATTAGACAAGATTAGATCAGACATTTGTACCCAGTTTCCTCGTACATTTATGTGAAGCGTTCCTTATATATTTACATTATAAAATTTCAGGCATACCTAACACAAGTCTGTCGATCGTTCCCTAGACATTTAAATTAAATGCCACCACGACAATTATGTAAAACATTCCCAGACATACATGTCCAGTGCTCTTCAGAAGGCTTTATTGAGCCTTCCACCTTTTTCATTAACGAAACATTCCAAATACAAGTATAAGCGTTCCGCAGTCTTTCACATGTAGATCAAGCGTCCTAGAGACATTTTAATCGAGCGTTCTTTGGATATTAGATTAAACGCTACACAGACATCTGTGCCAAATGCTTTGGCAGTATACACACAGACAATCCAAAATGTCTTTTTGTTATCTATATAACGTCATCGAATTGTGTAGGTAGTTGTAATTAGTGTCAGGAGAGTAAACTGCCTGTTGCAGAAATACGATTATACGTATCGTGCTCCAGTACATAGGTGATGGGCCAATGTAATTACATACATCTGGACTATCAACAGATGTTTTTGATAGGTAATCTCATATTATGTTAAATCTTATCTATATTAGTACAAATAATTACGGGAAAAGAACTCACACTCTATCTAAACTTACACGGATATATCGTGGGATAGATTGTACAGTACAAGTACTGCACGGGTCGGGAAAGTGGGGAAAGATCTGTTTCAAAAATTTCGAAAAAACGAATTGTAATAAAATTGATCGATGTTTCTTCGTTTTAAATGCTAAAAGTATGTGTTGGAATTAGTGAAATTTAGGCGATTGTAAGATTGAATCAGTTATTTTATTTAACCAATCAACCGTGGAAAAAGTTGCGTGCACACTGTAACGAACCAAGAATGACGCGTTGATACTTTATGTAGTTTTATGATAAGGATTTTGATATGAATCAAATGACCAAGAAAATATGTTTTTCTATCGGTAAAAATAAAAAAATACAAATCATATAATCACCTTCATTTATTAAGAAAACGTATCGATGGAAACATAACTATACGGATATCTGATTGCCACGCGTAAGATACACACAACAATGTACGCGCTGCAAGTTTGCTACTGCTCTGTGTGATGAAAGACGATATTAATGATATCAATAATGAATTCGTGCCAAGTTATTCTGGAAGTTAAATAAAATAAAAATAAAATGGAAGAGTAATATCTATTGCACGAGTTTGCTGGATTGCTGCCTGTGGTACTGAGAATTCTCGTCAGATGGCCGATATGTATCTGTTAGAAAGTCTCGTCGCTGGAATATACGTGCTATATCATATATTCATCTTTACTTCTAATACGTTAGCTACAAAATTTGAAACAAGTTAAAAAGAGGAAGATGGTGATGCATGAATATTTCCCAGTGTTGATATCTTCCACCTGCAGACAAAACGGCATGGAATGTTGTATAAAAACACTGGTTATGTAATATTGATAAGGCTTTAGTAAATGTTATTATCGTATTTTCCATTGCAATAATGGTTGTATACTGACTTCCATCAGGCGCTTTGTGTTCCTATCGGTGTAACACTCCACTGTTGGATCGTGCACAGTCGGTAAACTATGTATGGTACGTTCACATACACCAATTTTTAGCTTTTTAAGAAAAAAACAAAAAAACAAAAAACAAAAAAAATGCATTAACCCTATGAATTATTTATTTAGTTGTCGTAATACAGACCAATCAGATATACGTTGTCTCGTGACACACTGTTTTTTATTCTGACGTCAAGATGAAAACACGTCACAAACATTTTGTTTTACATGTTTTTTACTGTTAAAAAGGGTACCGATTGTAGCAACTAGCCGGCAGAGACTGAAAAGATGCGGGCTCTTTGCTATGAATCCCGTTTGTTCGGAAACAGAAATCAGTTTTACGGCCGGAAATAGAAGAGTGAGTCGTTATTACATTGGAGATATCAGAGGACCCGGCTGTTGACAAGATAGCACTAATGTAACTACACATCTGTTTTTACACTCTCTATCAACCAACAAACTCTAGTCGGACAGAACCGAACATTCTGTGATATTCCCGATGGATTTGAACAAAACCGATTTTTGATATCGCCACCTGTGAATGCCCTTCTGCCGGCCCGATCCGTTGGAGTATATCTTACAAGTGATAGGCCACGAGTTTTCTACGAGTACAACACTTTTGGTTTTATTTAAAGGGAATTTCTATCAGCTACTGTTGATGTACACAGGCCACTTCGACTGGTTAGTTTACATGTAATCTAGCTTGTCTGACAAGGTACACAGACTTGTAGCTTATCCCTTCATCAGATCTGAATCATTGTCATTCTGTAACACATCACACTTGTTACCACACACAACTAAACCTAAAGCATATCATCATAGTTCCCAAAGGAAGGCACATGAATGTTGTTTCGTTTGTTCTTTCCCGTCGAGTTCATGCATTACTTAATTACACAACGTATTTGTTTTTCTTTTTTTGTTATAATCAGCTTAAACCTAAATGTAGCCTATCGTCTTATACCACACCCAGCTCTTCCCTCTAGTCAATAAACATTATAATACCACGCTCGGATATTTCCCTCTAGTTAATTAACATTATAATACCACGCTCGGATATTTCCCTCTAGTTAATAAACATTGTAATACCACGCTCGGATATTTCCCTCTAGTTAATAAACATTGTAATACCACGCTCGGATATTTCCCTCTAGTTAATAAACATTATAATACCACGCTCGGATATTTCCCTCTAGTTAATAAACATTATAATACCACGCCCGGATATTTCCCTCTTGTTAATAAACATTATAATACCACGCTCGGATATTTCCCTCTAGTTAATAAACATTATAATTCCACGCTCGGATATTTCCCTCTAGTTAATAAACATTATAATACCACGCCCGGATATTTCCCTCTTGTTAATAAACATTATAATACCACGCTCGGATATTTCCCTCTAGTTAATAAACATTATAATACCACGCTCGGATATTTCCCTCTTGTTAATAAACATTATAATACCACGCTCGAATATTTCCCTCTAGTTAATTAACATTATAATACCACGCTCGGATATTTCCCTATAGTTAATTAACATTGTAATACCACGCTCGGATATTTCCCTCTAGTTAATAAACATTATAATACCACGCCCGGATATTTCCCTCTTGTTAATTAACATTATAATACCACGCTCGGATATTTCCCTCTAGTTAATTAACATTGTAATACCACGTCCGGATATTTCCCCTAAAATATACATTGTAATACCACGCTCGGATATTTCCCTCTAGTTAATAAACATTGTTATACCACACCAAACTCGCTCCCTCTAAAGATAGACACTGTAATACCACACCCGGCTCTTTCCCTCTAGTTAATATATATATTATAATACCACGCCCGGCTCTTTCCCTCTAGTTAATATATATATTATAATACCACGCCCGACTCTTTCCCTCTAGTTAATATATATATTATAATACCACGCCCGACTCTTTCCCCCTAGATAATATATATATTATAATACCACGCCCGACTCTTTCCCCCTAGTTAACATATATATTATAATACCACACCCGACTCTTTCCCCCTAGATAATATATATATTATAATACCACGCCTGACTCTTTCCCCCTAGTTAACTATATATTAAATACCATATATATATATATTATAATACCACGCCTGACTCTTTCCCCCTAGTTAACATATATATTATAATACCACGCCCGACTCTTTCCCCCTAGATAATATATATATTATAATACCACGCCTGACTCTTTCCCCCTAGTTAACATATATATTATAATACCACGCCTGACTCTTTCCCCCTAGTTAACATATATATTATAATACCACGCCCGACTCTTTCCCCCTAGATAATATATATATTATAATACCACGCCCGACTCTTTCCCCCTAGATAATATATATATTATAATACCACGCCTGACTCTTTCCCCCTAGTTAACATATATATTATAATACCACGCCCGACTCTTTCCCCCTAGATAATATATATATTATAATACCACGCCTGACTCTTTCCCTCTAGATAATAAACCTTGCAATAACACGCCGACTCTTTTCCTCTATATAACATACATTGTAAGTCCTGCTATGTTAGCGCCTGCCTGCGATCTGCTCCATACATTAGATATATACAGTCCCGCTGTGTCCAAACATTCCTCTCAATGGCAGGTCAACCACTGAATACAATCTGCCTTCTTAGCGGTGTCCAAATACCCTACACTGTTAAGTACTAAGCCATCTGTGCGACTTGGGCTCGTTCATGTTTATAGCAATGTAAATACTACCTTCTTGTGTTAATCTAATATGCTATCTGAACATTTTAATTAGCATATTCATCCTGTCTGTCCGTACTTCTGGTTTGATGCGATAAATCACTTGTCATTAATGAGCAAGATATATATCTATATATATATCATTAAAAAGAAAAATGTCCAGAAACTGACAGCATCTTTTGTTGGGACATTCCTGTAGGATGCTGAGGTCACAATTCAGGGATTACCGATGCAAAAATGTGCACGCACGAGAAGTTGTGTGGGTGATTACAGATTGTGATTTATCAGTAATCTATTTATCGCACATTAGTAGTTAACGTGAGTTGCCAAAGACCCCATACAGGGTGAATGTTGTTACCTGATGGTAAGATAGACCAACAACTGTTCAACATAGGATGCCTATACCGATCATTTCTATTATGATATCGGAGCTCTAGGAGCGCACTAGATATAAAGTAAATTTCAAAAATATGTTTAAAGTCGAGAAGAAGAAAAAAGTGTTAAAACTGTTTTCTTCTTTAAGACCAGAACATTACTACACCAAGAGATTCTTGTGTTCATACTACTTGCTAGGCGTTTGCGTATTTTTTTTTTGATTAGCATTCTTATTACATACAGATATGTGCCGGCTTGCCTGTAAAGCGGAAGAGTTTGGACCAGGACCCTGACCAGGCTACCTTCACACCCACGGCCCATATCACTTTACCTCTCAATTCCAGCGTATTTATCGACACATTATTAGACACGGCGCCTTGTCCACCTATCCAACGCGTCCAGCTCCTCTGTGAATCGTGGTCAAACAAGGGTAACAAGTTGACTTGTGAGGAGAGAACACAGATTCTGTCAAGGTGTGTTGAAGGATTACCTATTGGCGACATTTGTGCAGTGATTAGGAAATGTCCATTTACATGCACAGCATTCGCTAAAGTTCGGGATTTACATTGTCCTAAACAATCTGCCATACCGGAAACCCTACCGTCAGTAAGTGTCACCAAACCTACTATAATGACATCTGTTTCTTATGGTGTAAATTCAACCAATGGTTCTGATTGGTCTTCAACTACATCAGGAGCTGGAGGGGGTGTAATAGTTGATAAAGACGACGGAAGACTACAGGGAGAGGTCGTCATCGTGCTCATCGCTGTCTGTGTGTTCGGCTTTGTTTTCCTTCCTCTTATCGTCTACTTTTTACTGGATAGGTAAGTGTTTCTTAGTCCAACAAGTGTTTGTTTTACTCAACAGGTAAGTTTGTTGCTTGATTAACATGGACTGATGCGAAGTGAACACCTTATAAATATATGTCTTTAGGTTTACTTAAGTAAATGCAACATTTTCGGTCTTCAAACCATGTCGTTAAAAAAGACTATGATTATGACGCAATCAGGGTCACACGCACGTTTAAAAATTGATCTAGCTAGATCTACACAGAATTTCAGAAAATAAGATACCATATGTTTTTAATGGTAAATTCAGGTGTGCGATTTCCACAAGAACATAAATAGATAATTTTTAACAGTTTTCTTCAAAAGCGCCTTAGGGAATGCTACCTTGTGCGGAATATCCTTTTAATAATACCAATGTCTTAAAAAATTGTGATTCAAACTCAAATCAACATCACAGGAGCAAAAATGTAACCAAAGGGATGTTAACACGGAATAAGACCAGGTGTTCCGAAAGAATTAGCGTCTTCTGCTTCATCCACGACACCCGCCATGTAAATTTTTGTCAATCCAAGCAAGTAATGTCGAGTTCTGAAATGAGACATAGATTTACAACAACGAAACCAGCATGCAAAATAAGGAGCATCAAACATGAAGAAATGGAATAATTTCAATGAGATTATGGCGGCGACAAATTTTACCATCCCTTTACTCTTTCGTATTATTTCTGGAACCTGTTTTGTAAATGTGACTGTTAGCTCTCGACATATTTCATGAATCATGATAATGGGAACAAGTCTTCGAAAATTCAGCAAACTGCAGCATGTAAACACCGTAGGTTTGGAAGTTGTTAATACTTTGTGTGTAAAACAGAAAAATCACATCGAGGAAATCCAATTCATCACACTTACCTGGCAGGTTTGTGAAAAGATGTCCTGTTGGTGTTGATATAAATTTAATTTTGTTTTTTTTTTTACCCTCGTGTCATTGATTATGATTTGGAATTTGTAAATATGTAGGTATTTTCATCTTCTCTCTACTGTTCAATAATGACAGCATGCTATTTAAGTACCATGCTGATAGTACTTCACAGTGGGTAGAATTAAGACTTTTGGAGCTTATAGGGTCTATGAAGAAATGATCGGTCTTGTAAGGATCCTGATATCATGATATTTCAGGGACGACAAGAATGACCTTTACATAGTATCCAATGTCATGGGAACGAAACATCTCACATTGACTGTCTATATGTATATGGCCCAAAGTCATAGGGTCATATTTGGCCGAGGGCTACCTGGTTGGTTGTTTCCCATGGTTAATGTTAATGAACTTGTAGGGTCACATGGTTGTATATCTTAGTATTTTCTAGCATCTTTTTGATGTAAGCAAGAGGATGCCTACAGTTGCATTAAAGCGACATAACGGTAAAACTATTATTATATATCTCGGGCGCAAAGAGGGACGGTTTCCGCTGAAATCCGCGCATGGAGATATTAATCAATAATTATAAAAGGAAAAAATATCTCGCAACCAATCAACAGTCTGTATATGTAATTGTTTTACGTCATAAATTATAACGCATGCACGCAACACACCATATCAATAAACAAGAAACGTGATTCGGTCGCGTTTGAAAAAAAAAATGTTGCAATGTTAGCCACAAAGCCAAGGATGGCCAAATGGGAAAAACACTCCAGAATGTTCATGGGGAAGCTTAGCATGGCTGATAGGAACTTATCAAACGAGAAAGCAATAAGGACGGTGCGTGTATTCTGCTGGATTGACTGACGGCCTGACAAAGTGGAACTAGGTCAAAGCTTTGCATAACTTTTACAATACGTGTATGGTTAGAGTGAGACTTTACGAAAACCTTGGATATTCATGGAATTTTTGTCATACTCCCGAATTAAATTTCAGTTATCAAACAAGGTCTACTCGTCTGTATCATATTTGAAAACCGAGAAAAAAAGAAAATTACACATCTTTTTAATGGCAATGAGAAACAAAATTGAAGAAATAAAAAAAAAAAAAAAAAACATTTAGATTTGAAAATCAAACATTCGTGTTCCTGTGTATTGCTTTCGTTGGACCCATGCTTTCGTTGGACCCATAGTTTCGTCTTAATATATTTCATGATCGACACCTTTACCTTATCTACATATAGTATTTAGAAGAGTTGTAGCCTTTCATATGTCATCTAAACTCTCAAAATAGTAATCAAACGCAAGTCGTCCAACAATACATTTAATGGGATGAAAACAGTTAATTATAGAACGTATATTTTGTAAAAGTTGGGAGTTACCATTTTTCTGCATCATTTATAATCAGGTAGACAAAAGTACAGAGTTCACGCCTTTGTTCAGGACTTATTTTAGAAAGTCGAATCCTCAACACTCAACACATTCGACATTAGAATTCTACTAGTTTTACAATTTGGATGTCTCCGCTCTGAATTTGAACACCCACCTCACTACCTGCGTGATGGATGTATAGCTTGTTCAGGAGAATTAACAAATCAAAGATCGACTATAGAATACGGAACAAGAAATGTCCCACATCAGCAATTTGGCTGTCATTTTATCTTTGAAAATTGATCAGAATGCCCAACATTTATTGAGAGTTGCTTAGATATTTCTGGTTCTCCTCGAGATCCAAAGTGTTTCTTGACCGTCACAGGTCTGTAGTTAAGGACCGTATAATATAGATAGTCTGTTGGGGCGTGCAGCCACTTACCAGGACGTCTACTCAATACTTCAACAAATTAAAGTTGATTTGGCGAGTCCTGGTGCTTCTCTTTTATTGTTACAAAAGTATTCTTTACAAGTACGCTCGCCAATACCATATTCTGACTGTCGGTTCCTTCTTAAAGCATAAAATGGTTTACAATAAATGTTAGAAAGAACTTTTCAAAAGACAAAGAGTGGATAGCACTGTTCAATAGAAATCTAGAAACAGAGACAGTACAGAAATAATGTTCAATGGTTAAATTTCATAGTATTTAATATTTTCTGCTTCGTACAGTCAATCTAACATAGTAGAACCAATGCCAGGACACAAGATAGTCAGTAATAACACGTCTTACCATGCTAGCTGGTAAATGAAGGGGAAATTGAAATAAGTAGTACATGTTAAACCAAGAAATTAAGGAACCAGTTGTTTAAGGAACTAAACTAATTGTATAATGTACATCTCGTTTTCTATATGTTTTGTATTCGCCAGGCTGTAAAATGCTTTCTTAACTTTGTTGACTGATTGACTGTAAGGCTTAACGTAATAAAATAATTGAAATTGAAACCATGACAACTGGTAACTGTACTATGCCAGGTTACAAGGTTAGACGTATACTTACCATGGTCATGGACCTTGTAACCAGGCTGGCAAACTACAGGAGATCGGATTACCATGATACATGTTGTAACTATGGTAAGGATACGTCTAACCGTGTTACTAGGTAAACTACAGGAGATCGGATTATCATGGTACATGTTGTAACTATGTTAAATATATGTTTAACGGTTTTACTAGGTAAAGTGCATGAGATATCGGAGTGTAGTTTAATTAGTTTGTACAAATTCCCATTAATACTGACCAGGCAGGTCGTCCATTTTGCCGAAATTAGTTTCAGGGATACTTGCCGTATTAGTTGTTTACATGAAGTTCTACGTTGAAGTGTTTTGTTTACTACGATGAGCGTGTTGGTATGCTGATTGGCAGAAGATCGAGGTAACAATTAGCTGTCTGATTCTGCCCGGATGGTACCCATACAGAGTCTGCTGCTGTCATTAGTGCAGGGCCCGGCCCAAAAGAAGATAGCTATCGTTAAGTCCATCAAGTGACTTATCTAACCGTGCCATTTCATCTCATGCCACACGAACGGACCACCAACATATTCATATTGTGGAAAATTTATATCGTTGATTGACCAACATATTTTAATTCGATTGGATTCGCGTAGGAGATACAAACAGCCACATGGCTTACTTTCAATTAAGTCTTTGATGGTTCTATATTTAGCTTCACCTAGGCGTGATGTTTAGTGGGTAGAACTTGGAGATTGTATTTATCCCCAAATCTGACAAGATGGTTTACGGAAGGAAAGAGAGAAAGATGAGCGGGGAGTTGTTATGGGATACCGAATCTCAGCGGCGTCGGAATCAGTTAAGTGCTTCTTTATACACTACCTGGTTTGTTTTAATTGAAACAGTTTGTTGATCAAGATTACTGTTTGAAATGCACGAAATTCGACATACCCAGTCACTGTTTCTAGATGAAATTTTCTATTAAGATCGAGGCTGCAATAATTTTCACTCTAACATTTATTTTTGTGATGTATTAGGAATCGGTCATATTGATGAACGTCGGTACAGCACCACTGGGATGCATTATGATGGTATGACAGACTAGTGTGCAGGTCTCGGAGATACCATCTTGGTCACTTAAGATCGTTACTTCAATGTTTACCTTTACATCCCACGTTATTTAGATCTGGCGTGGTAAACATTACAAATATACTATATTGTACATTGGACGTACTAGTATATAAATATAGAGGTTAGTTGTTTTGATCAAAGTTGTAAGACTCAACACGTGTGATGCATACACATTGATGTTTGTTTCATGCTGTAAATGATTAATCGACAGTTCTGTTTAAATCCGCTAATACATACCAGGCGTGCGTATCGTTTCTACTATCAGTATGATAAACACGTGTAAAACGGCAGCTACCTCACGCTGAAGATGTGTAGCGAAGTCGTACCGCCAGGTGGCGTGGCACTGATCAGCACTTACGTGGAAGGGACGATGGATAATTAACGCTGTCAACAACTTCCTGTGGTAGACTGTATTTTATAGTTATTATTTAGATAACCCTTCCGGTAGTGAGCTTCCGGTTACTTTCCGGAAGTCTCGCAGGTTTTTGTTTATACATGGTCAACTAAGTAATGAATGATTTATGACAAACTAATACACAATGTACGACAATCTAACCATTGATTATTGAATTCAATATGATATAAATCCAGTGTAACATTGATAACAAACGTAAAACGGTACAACACAGTCACACAGTATGGTGTATAATATACTCAGACAAAACAGTAACACAATATTATATATATAATATACTCAGACAAAACAGTAACACAGTGTTATATATAATATACTCAGACAAAAGAGTGACACGGTATTCTATATATAATATACTCAGACAAAAGAGTGACACGGTATTCTATATATAATATACTCAGACAAAACAGTAACACAGTATTATATATAATATACTCAGACAAAACAGTAACACAGTATTATATATATATATACTCAGACAAAACAGTAACACGGTATTATATATATAATATACTCAGACAAAACAGTAACACAGTATTATATATATAATATACTCAGACAAAACAGTAACACAGTATTATATATATAATATACTCAGACAAAACAGTAACACAGTATTATATATATAATATACCCAGACAAAACAGTAACACGGTGTCAATACTTCACTAGAATCTCCCCTTTAATGTAAACATTACATTATTTCATTACACATTAATTTTTGGACTTGTGCTTGAAAACGAATTTGGCTCTAGTGTTAATTTAGGAGCCGGTTGTCTAACCGATTTACCTTAACAATGTACTAGCCTTGGATGAATATTATCGCACTTATTATATATAATATGGAAACACGAGCTTCTTGTTGATAACTAGACTGGGGGATAGCCCGTCGATAGGTATGTGTTTGGTGCCTCTTTATATTAGCAAGGGCCTAACTTACTGCTACATCTTCCCCGTAATTAATACCTACTTATGTGTGAGTTTACATTCCATCGTTTACCTATGGTGCCTTGAATTAAGTGATCATACGAATCGAGAGTATAGAGTATTGATGTGTTTCCGACCTACATCCGAACTCCTGGGTAAAGGGGATAAAAATAAGTTATTGCAACATTTTATAGATAGCAAATTACAAAAAAATGGTGGTCAGCATGCTCTAGTAGAAGTAGAAAGAAGGTCGTTTACAACCAATCTTGGTGGTGTATTTATGTGTGTATGTAGACAGAACGCGCGCCACCGACATGCGTCGTACACATGTATAACATGCTACAGACAAGATGTTGATAATATAATTACACACGAGCCTGAATCTTCAACCTATAACTGTTCGGATGATAAATACTTTATATATGAACGGTCTGTACGGATTAACAAATGAACCTTTATCTGTACGGACGATATATCAACCTTTATCTGTACGGACACTAAATCAACCTTTATCTGTACGGACACTAAATCAACCTTTATTTGTACGGACACTAAATCAACCTTTATCTGTACGGACGATAAATCACCCTTTATCTGTACGGACGATATATCAGCCTTTATCTGTACGGACACTAAATCAACCTTTGTCTGTACGGACGATAAATCAACCTTTATCTGTACGGACGATATATCAGCCTTTATCTGTACGGACGATATATCAGCCTTTATCTGTACGGACACTAAATCAACCTTTATCTGTACGGACGATATATCAACCTTTATCTGTACGGACGACTTATCAACTTTTATTTGTACGGACACTAAATTAACCTTTATTTGTACGGACGATATATCAACCTTTATCTGTACGGACGACTTATCAACCTTTATCTGTACGGACGATATATCAACCTTTATCTGTACGGATGATATATCAACCTTTATCTGTACGGACGATATATCAACCTTTATCTGTACGGACACTAAATCAACCTTTATCTGTACGGATGATATATCAACCTTTATCTGTACGGATGATATATCAACCTTTATCTGTACGGACACTAAATCAACCTTTATCTGTACGGATGATATATCAACCTTTATCTGTACGGATGATATATCAACCTTTATCTGTACGGACGATATATCAGCCTTTATCTGTACGGACGACATATCAGCCTTTATCTGTACGGACGATATATCAACCTTTATCTGTACGGACGATATATCAGCCTTTATATGTACGGACACTAAATCAACCATAATCTGTACGGACGATATATCAGCCTTTATCTGTACGGACACTAAATCAACCTTTATCTGTACGGATGATATATCAGCCTTTATCTGTACGGACGACTTATCAACCTTTATCTGTACGGACGACTTATCAACCTTTATCTGTACGGACGATATATCAACCTTTATCTGTATGGACGATATATCAGCCTTTATCTGTACGGACACTAAATCAACCATAATCTGTACGGACGACTTATCAACCTTTATCTGTACGGACGATATATCAACCTTTATCTGTACGGACGATATATCAGCCTTTATCTGTACGGACGATATATCAACCTTTATCTGTACGGACACTAAATCAACCTTTATCTGTTCGGACGATATATCAACCTTTATCTGTACGGACGATATATCAGCCTTTATCTGTACGGACGATATATCAACCTTTATCTGTACGGACACTAAATCAACCTTTATCTGTACGGACGATATATCAGCCTTTATCTGTACGGACGATATATCAACCTTTATCTGCACGGACGACTTATCAACCTTTATATGCTGTACAGACGATAAGCCAACTAACATAATGCACGATTGATCAGTCAATATAAATCTGTGACACTGATATCATATTGATGATCTTAGTTTATATGAACGAGCAAATCAGTTAATCAAATTAACAAAGTCATCTTTTAAATGTGGGTTTTCCTACCTTCTAAACATGCAACGTATGTATATAATGTTTCCTCAATTTAAGGTACGAAATAACAGATAAAACGTCAAAAATCGTGTTATTGCATTGTATCAGATATTCAGTTATTTACCGAATGCCGACCAAGTATTGATTTTCCTTATACAATACATTTTTTTCTAATCCACAATATAATCCTGTTCCAGTTGTGTAATCAGCTGTTTTGTAACACGGCAGTTGTTATTGTAGAAACTACGTATACAGTATAGATAGGATTATCAGGTTAATCAGGACGGCTATTGCAAGTGCCATCTTATATCGTATGGAATCGTATGGAATATGTCTTTGTATTGTTATAATTTCGTCTCTCTGTTTCAGTGATAACAGGACGCGGATATCCCGTTGTTGTGGAGTAAGTATTCACACCTTCCTTTCTTATATTCAGTTAAAATCATTATATAGGTAACCGTCCTGTTGATTCAATGAAAACATGCAAACCAATGGGAATATTCAACCCCAACCCCAAATTTCTTGTCCTGAAGGATACCATGTCTCCCTCCCTGTCTTTCAACCTCACGTAAATGTACTTTCAATTAAGATACCCCGATCATAACAACAGGCTAACTACATAATGTACTACCTCTCGCCCACGTTTTAGTGAAGAATTAACCAACTACCTTTCTCAACATTTTGAGGTCATTCTTTAACACCGTACTATGACCCATACATGCTGTGTGCACAGTAGCTGCATCGCCTTTTGAAGCTTGGACTACCTTCATTTGTAATCTCGTCTCTTTACACACTTTTCTGCAACCTAAAGCTTTTCCTTTTCGTAAATGTTATCTTAAATACGCATATAATGTTTTAGGAACACTTTTATCGTCGTCGGAAGTGTTACCACAATGGTGTGTTATGTACAGCTCATCTCAGTTTTGACCCTTATCACACTCCACCCAGTAAAACGGTTCATCTTCATTATGTCAAATAACCATGGGTTTATCTTTAGTCTCACAGTACAAGCTGTGTTACCCATGCCTCCCTGTACAATAAGAGATTCTTCCTGATCAGCAGACATGACAAATGCTGCGTCTCTCGTATGAGTTACTTTTGCTCTTACAACTGTCGACTGTTTCCAGCCTTCCCGGGCGGCATGCCAGACAAGCAGATATTTATTTTTTTTATCACAAAGACATATGTGGCCTCATTTTCTGCAAGCTTCTTTCGTGAATGTCGTTTGTTTTGATTATTTTCTACACAAAAACGTTTTGTTTGAATATTCAGACAGCAGTGAAGTAATCTGATCAATTTATTTAGAAGATGGATTTTGAAATATCTTCCTGGACTCCCGTGGTGAACGGTGTGATGTGTGCAGATATTAAAGTGCAATTATCAGCAGGTTGTCGCGTGAATGTTACATGTTGTTGAACAGCGATTTTACGTGACGCGTAATTACGAATTCTTTATTCCTGTGGATATGTGTGTGTTAAGATTGCCAACATATTAGGACTAGATATATCAGACTGGATCGCTGGTTTTCTCACAGAGAGAATGTACCTATGTTCACAGCCAATTATTTTGGCTCCCAAAGCATGGAAATATTTACAGTATATAAATGTTATTATATCTCTGGATATCTTATGTCCTTATTTCTCTCGGATGATCACATTTAGTAACAAATATCTGTGCGACTTCTATGGCAACAACAATAAACCGGGTGTCTCCTTGCTATTTTTCCTCTTCATGCATGTTGAAATAATGTACCTTTTCAGATGAAAAGGAATTATTTCTGTAAATATAAATATCATAAAAAGTCAAATGTGTTATGGGTTGGGGTTGGGGGTTGTGCTTATTCCAAAATTCAAGAAAGTCCACAAATTTAAAGATTGCATGATTTCTTAGACTGTTATTTAATTCAGTCGAAAAACGGTACGGTCCAGATTATACACATGCACTTCACGTTCTTTAAAACCTGAGATCTATGAAAATCTGGAAATTTATTTAATGATGGGGCTAGTGCACCTTCCCATCAAGATTTTGACCTTTGACATATCTTTCGATCACTTTTGATTTTCTTCAGTCGCCCCCTTACCTTCAAACTTGAGGCCAATTCAGCATCTTAGTTGAGTCCTCAAAGGGCGATGTAATTCAATTGATTGCTTGGCTCTACAGAAGCTAACTATATTTATATCAAAAGATGTTATTCACTTGTGTGTCTTTTGTACAATTTCCATAGTAATGTCAAGTAGATGTGTATCAATTAAGACATGCAGGTTTCGACAAACTGCGGGAATTTAAGTTCATCAGCAGTGTCTACAACCTGCAATCCTGAAGATTGTACAAGCGACACTTAAGATAAAGCGAGGTAATAACGAGTAACGGTTTAATATCGACCTGATAGGCATAATGAGTAACTAGTATCTATATACAGTGTCTAAACATGACTCTGTGCAATCCAAATAATTTTATCAAATAATTAAGTACCAATTCCAACAGTTCATAAAAATGGACTATCTACAATCCGGAACTCTCTACAAACCGGCCAAATTATTCGGTCTAAATGGTGCCCGATTTAGACAGATCCAACCGTGTATATACATGTATATAACATTTGATGAATTATGTAATGTTAAATCCAATATATAGGTTGTGTAGATAACAAATAAACGTACAGAAAATGAATAAGTAACATTCAAAGGTGTATACGTTGTTAAAATACATAAAAGACCTCTTCGAGAAGAACTTATTATAAGTGTTCCTTGTATATGACTAATTTTAACCAATAGCGATAAGTTTCGATCCCTTAGAGACGGGAATCCAGTGAACGGACTGGAAACAGAAAACATATTATTAAATAAAAACAGTTTTGACAGAGTTTATGTCCTAATTATTCAAGTCAGTGCTCCAATAAAGTTACGATATCAGTGAACATTGGCACAAAGAGTGCATTTTAAAACTTTTTCGATTTATCATTTCTGTTTGTGTTGTTTCACAGAGGATGTGGTCATGCTGTACACGAGGGTTTTGGTCTTGGTGTAAGTCCAAAATATGCCCAACTCACGAACGATTCAACAATGAAGATAATAAAAAGGACGAAGTCGTTGAAGAGATAGTCGCCATTTCCGCCTTGAACGCTGTAGAAGCATCGCCCGGCAGTAAGAACCCAGCCGGGTCCTATACCAATGATAGTGGCATTGGGTTTGATCTAGACTTTCCGGAAGCAGATGAACAAACACCGGATGAATATAGAAATACTCCCTGGATACAACGAAGAAGTTTATTGGTTGAAAATGACTTTGAATTTGATTGGTCACACCTCTGACCCAATAGAAACGTTTTTGTTTAATTTAACTTACCAATAAAGTGACCTGAGTTTGGTTTTAAACATAAATGTGTTACAATCAAAGCAAATAATTTCCATTAGTGTGGAACACAGCTGTCATATCCGTTAATCTGTATTAACCTGAATTAAGAGATATGTGACCAGGATTAGATGGGCTATATTAACCGGATAAGGAGAGGCTCTGTGATCTGACTATGATTAGAGCGGTTTAGTGACCTCTATTTGAGGCTGTGTGATCTGAATGAAGAGGGCTGTGTGATCTGGATAAGATACGCTGTGCAACCTTGTCTATGATTATTGTGTGATATATATAGAAGGGCTGTGTCATCTGAAGTAGGATGGTTGCATGACTTGTAAGACGGGTTTAGGGAAACCAAATTATGAGGATCTTGTGGCCTGGAGTAAGATTGCTGTGTGCACTCTGATGACCGTCCTTTCTGAACTTCATGCCATGTTAAAAGGGAGATCACTCTATTATACTACGCTGTCTCTCAAATCACCTGAAAGAAGTGGATTTATGATACATGTTTGTATAAAAATGATGGACATGTATAACCATTCAGCATTACGTTTGAAACTGTTAACATGAAGAATGCATTTTGGATGTCAGTAGATGAAAACGTAATAAATCTTATATGAATTATGGAAAAGCAAAAGAAGTTGTTAGATATATAACCAAAATTACTGATTAAATAACCGGTTCTTATCAATAACACGTGCCTGTTTATAAGGAATCAAAATACTTGTATGTTGTTATGTTAGCAATAGGGAATGTGTAATATAAACTTATATATCTTGTATTTTGTCTATCATTACGTGTAATTGTAATTTATATTTTACGTTTTACTGTTGTCTAGCAAACAAGTAGTTATTATTTGAAATGTGTTGCTGAACATATCGTCCCTATGTGTTGTAGATTTTGTGTGCCAGATCTGTTGCAGTTATTATTTCCACTACGTGTACGCCAGAGAGACAAAATCATTGATCAATATTTATTAAGAGATTGTTGTGAAGAATAAGACAAAGACTAGCTTTGCCTACTAGAGTTGCAGTCCTTGCCAATCCCCTGTCGCTGAAGAAGTTTGACTGAGCTTATTATGTTTCATATGATTATCACAGAAAAAAAAATCAAACATCCAATTATCTCCCTTTTTATAAAGAACATAACGGAGTTGGTGCTTTTGTGTCTGTTTGTCCGTGGTGCAGAGGTAATCACAGGTTGTATATTACTAAATTGTTATAACATTGTACATCACATTAATCTGTAATGCCTGGAGACTGATTGTACAGTAGATGTTTTCTTGATAATCGATCTACTGAAAAATGCGTTTATTATTTTTTGTTGTTGCTTAAATTGCATTCTCCAATAAGAAGGACCAATGATATATCATAGCGCTCTGGCGATACAACATAGAGCTAACTTCTGAGACGTAAGATCATATACAGATGTATACTCATGTAGACAAAGGATTCACATAAGAACATGTCACATCCTCAGTTATTTATATCACATTTTACAAAATAAAAAACTTTGCTGTATTTGTACATTTTAAGCATGGATCAATGCAGCTACATTGAGACAAAATATTCACGCTTTCTGTTTTGAATCTTGTACACAATGTTTGTAATTATTACCAATAAGAACGACGCCTAAGCTGTATTATAGTAGTTATAAAAAACTTTCTAACGGTAGAAGGGGGGACCCCTAAGGTAGTAACAGTCCTGTATCAGTTGTTAGAGGAACCAGGCACGAAGACCGTTGGGTAAAGTGTCTGTTAGAAACACGTGTATCTCTCTTCTCGCCATGGCCTTAATGTCAGCAAACATGTGCTGTCTTGGTGTCATGGCACAGTTGTCAGTTATATTGTCCGTTATATTCTCTATCGCCTTTTCTAGTTCCTGTTCTTTTTCGCAATATTGTATACCCTTTCTCCAAATTTCCTTTCCAATTTTCATTTGTCTTGGAACATCTTTAACATTATCTGAATATTTCCGCAGCATTTTTACTGCCACCCAATTTTCTCCTTGGGCGCAGAGATCGGCTGCCGTATGTCCCTGAAGATCGGCCCGGTCTATGTTGACTCCGAATCGCTGAAGCATTGTCATTTGAACCAGTAGAGACTGATTTAACTTTGGCGCAGTACATATAACATATCCCTGGACCACCACTGCCTTTGGCAGGCGAGATGCAAGCACGTGCAATGGTGTATGTCCTACTTTGTCTTGCACGTTCACATTAGCTCCAAGACTAACAAGCTTTTGGAGTGCCATATATTCCTCCAAGGAAGGCGACTGTCCAGAGCCGCGAGGTATTGATCGTTGTAAGTCTAATATGATACGAACTCCTTTTTGACTTAGTTGATAATTTCGCTCCAGAAGTTGTTCAATACTTGATCTTTCTTGTTCGTGTATGTGTTGTTCAAGTTCCATTGGCTCGAAGACATTATCTTCCGAGGTCAACAGATGTAAAGGGGTTTTTCCAGACCGGTCCTTGGTGTTGAGCATAGCACCGCGATTAACCAAACATACCATCAGGGGTATGTTGTAGTTCCATGCAGCAAAATGGAGAGCTGACATTCCATTCGAGTCTCGTGAGTGAACATTTGCACCCCTGCTCAATAACCATTTCGTCATATCCGTCAAATTACGACGACTAGCTAATAGCAATGGTGACATACCATGACGGTCCTCTCTGAGATCGATCATAGCACGACTTGAAAGTAGTAGTTCACATGTCGACTTCCGGTTGGATGAACATGCCCAGGCAAATGCAGTGAGCCCCACGCTGTCGGCTGTGTTGACAAGGGCACCATTCTGGAGGAGTATCCTCACCGCTTTATTGTTGCCCCGTTCGCTAGCCACCATTAAGGGGGTAGTGCCAACAAAATAGCCGACATAGTTTCTCTCGAAATTTTCTAGGAATTGTAACATCTTTGGTCCATCTTGAATCTGAAGGTTGACATTTCCTTTGTGTTTGACCAGAGACGACAACTCCTTAATGTCTCCAGTAAACGCAGCTCTATGTATTTCTGGTACGGTAAAGGCTTTCTGTTCCCAACCTAAAAACAGATATGGAATCTGACTATTATTATATAAAGAACATTCGACTTAATCACACAAAGTCACTGTTGAGTGTACGCACAATGAGAGAGTACAATGGAAATAGGCACTAGAAATATGTGATACAGTGTAGCTGTTTTCGTTGATCTAAATTCAGAATTGGTTGATATCTTTGTATCATCAATTTATGTAAATACATATTACAAAACAAACTTACCATACTTTCATAATACCCACAATGAAGAACATCCCAGGAATAACACAATATTAAATAACGGTTCGAGTATGTTTTCTTTAGAGTAATCTATCGATCTCAACCTCAAGGTGTTAACCTAAACTTATCTCAAACTCAATATCGATAAAACGAAGGGAAAATAGAAAGATCCATACGGAGATCCTTGAATAAAGTACAAGGATGATAGGAACAGGTGTTCCGAATGAACAATCGTCTTCTGTTTCATCGACACGAACCGCTATGTAAAGCTATCTCAATACATGCAATGTCGCGCTCTCAGATTAGAACAAGGCGAGTTACTTCGAAACCGACAGCCAGACTAATTAGAGTCGAAAACTCCTAGTCGCATAAAATGTATTTCACAATATTATTTCTTAAGTGATATCGACAACACGATCTTAATTGTCACTCTGAAGCTGTGCAGTAGGTATACGGCTGTATCAAAGTGACTTAGTTCCCTTATTGTCATTAAAGGGATCATCAATCTGGTATTCAAAAATGATTGAATTTCATACCTCTAGTTATCCTATTACAACGTAACATCAATAGCAATGGACCTATCAATTAAAATTCAGCACTGAGTCAGAAATACTTCAAGGATAAATATCATATGTTCGCTGTACTTTGTCATGAATTTCCGCTAAACATAATTTTATCCTAAATTAAGGTGTTATTCAAAATTAACGATTCGTTTTACTCCTGAAATCGTGTCTTCAATCTTCTGAAATAGTTATAACACGCGTGGAATTATTGAAAGTCTCCTCAACAGCGACAGGAAACAATAGACGTTGAATTCCATTTAATATTGCAGAAAGTGTAAGCATAGACGTCACATTATAAGGACAGGTATATTGGCAGCTATTTGATAGGGTACCTGTCCTCGTTGTACCAATCTTGATTAAGTGTCATTTTGAAAACATCAAGGTTGCGTACCAAACACGTACTGACATCGGATGACATTGTTGGTGATATAAATTGAGTTTCTAGTTGTTTATTCATTAAAAAGACAAGGAAAGTATAGGGAATACAAAATCAGAGATATGAAGGAGTAGTGGTGAGATTATAGACTATTACATGTAGGCACTGGTGAACACGTCTACGTATGTACCTGTTTCTAATGTGACTTCACTACCCTGATACAATTTTAACCGATACAGGTCGTTAAATAACATGACATCATCAGCATCGTCTTTAAGGAGCTTGTAGTCCTCCACTTCCAGGCGTCCGGAAGGCTTCTGCATCTTCACCGTCTACAGTCAAAAATATTGACAAACTATGAGTATGTAAAGCTACTTTTAAACAACAATATATATCTTGACATGTCTTGTACATTATAATAGATAAACAACTAACCTGTCGTCGACAGGTAAAACGTTCCCAAACGATGTGAACATTGGCGGAAACGACCTTATCACCGGCAAACATAACAATATGGCTGAGAGTAGACACTAGGATAAGGATGTACATATGCGTTAATCTGTAACGACACTATAATGTTGCATAAATTTAATGATGTCTATTTTTAAATGATGGTGTCTTTTTTGTAATGATGTTGCTTTTTTAAAAAAGGTATTTTATATCAATGTAACCAGTATATAGAGGAAATTCTCATGGATGACAATTATGTTTCATCGAGTTTGGTGGAAACTGAGCTTTTGAACGAGTGAAAGTTTTCATTCCACGAGATGATCGTTATTCATCAAAAAGTAGGCATATTCTATTTATCACATTTTCTCCCAAAGTTCATTGATGTCTCTCTCAGTTTTTAGTTTAGCACCAAATATTATATAAAGTCAATGTAGACAGAACCTAAGCATATTAGCACAAAATATTGTATATAGGCAATACCAAGAGGACCTAATTAGTGTAACTTAAAATATTGTATAAAACCAATTCCAATAGGACCACAATATGTGGCGTAGTATAGCGATACCAATAGCATCATTTTGGACAGGTATTGTCTGACAAATTATTCCTTATATATATCTCGAAATACTTAAATAAACAAATCTGAGCTACTTTTGAAAGATTTCTTTGTATATGTGATATCATCAGTAGGAAGCCTGTCAGAAATTCTAGTGACACACTATAAGGTACATTTCTTATCATAAAGATAATCAGCACAATACTGGTATATATCTCTCACAATTAACATTACAATCCAATAAAGATGTCCTTTTTTGCGGAATATCTGGTAAGTATTGCTTAACATTCATATTGCATATGTAATTTGGAGTCATTTCTTACGTACAGTTGAAATGCTTACTTTACATCCGTTTTTTAGCGGCAATGAGCACCGGAAGCAATAATACTTCATATTATTCGCCAAAACGTCATATTTTCCTGAAAGACATTGTATAACGAAAGGTACCGAGTGGTTACCTGTTGTAAAACATCCACTTACCTTTGTTCAATATACCTCCAAATATATTACCATTTCATTTGGCAGCGAATATGAGGGTTGAGTAACCAGTTATAAATGTTGATGTTTGTTTCACTTTCTTTGTGTTCACTTACTGTTGTCTAAGAACCCCTGTTGCAGCAGTGTTTTGGAAGTGGTTCATATAACAATACGTGTGAGGTAACTTTACATGTATACGTAGCTTTAAGAATATGTGTAGTTATCCCGGCGTAATTAGATGACACTGTTTTGTTTAACTTTGGGCAACGTACGTGTTTGGAATACATTCGTGCATACAACTGTCACGCAACGTTAACTCTGTGTCTTCTCGCTCATGTATAACACGCTGTCTAATATATGTCAAGTGACAAAGGTGTATCTTACTGTCGTATATATACACAATGAATATCTTATGTCGCTATTTTTATAAAAATAAAAAAGCCTAAGTTTGAAAGCGAGATCTACAGAGTTCAAGAGGAGGTTGAATTGCAATTTTATGGTCAACAAAGGATAAAAGCGTTGTACGTGATTTTCTTGGTAAAGATACCGTCCCACATACAATGTACGTGATAATGGTGAAGGTGGTGGTGAAGTTAACATCTCCCTTAGTAGGAGCTTGCCCTTATATCTATATCGATGTTGACATCTTATCTTCGGCTATATAATATGTCTATAAAGCACATCGTCCATATACAGTTTTACATCACGTTAAAAAGAAAGGGACACTACCCCGAATATCGACTTGTAATACAAACCATATGTGTCTATACAACAGGTACTACTAGCTGCTTATTGTACTATGATATTGGAGTCGTTCTCCTTGTCAAAACCAAGATATAGAGGATATTTGTTGATCTGGAGAGTCTTCGTTCATAATTAATTGGTAAGT